GTGGCTGGGATAGGGGCCTGTGGCCCTTTGGGCGCGGCCACCAGGCCTCTCGTGGGCTTGTGAGCGTCCATTGCTTCACAGTCTCTGACACATATGCTAAGTTAAATCCTATGAAGCTCTAAATAACTTGACATCAGCTGGAGTCGTAAGTGTTTTGAGGCAAGGGAACAGTTGTTCTTACCATTAGAAACATCTTGCTAGAAACTTCCTTATGGTCTTTGTTTGAAGCTTGAGTCCTGCTGGGTTTATTTATGCTCCTGTATGCACAGAAAAAATACTCGTCAAGAAACCAGTTGATTCAGGGGAAAAGCAGCCAAATTAGTTCTGTGCTGGACGGATACTTCTGTGCTCCAGGGGAAAAAAGAGAGACAAAACCTCCCAGTCCCAGAAGCACATGTGTTTTTTGAGTCATGAATTATGGTTCATTTTTCCTGGAATAGTGTAAAAAAGAACGTAAACACTTTCTTTTTTATCAAGATGGAAAATGAAAGCCAGGAAAAGCTGAGCGCAGCCTGCAGGGCCCCAAGTTTGGAGCAAGACCATGGCCGAGTGCACGGACAGACTCAGCAGTTCTGTGGCCTCAGCCTCCCCAGAGGGGCTGACTCCCCAGACACTCAGACGGTGGACTTGGCTGGTCCTGTGCGTCTCGGGTGCGTGTCACCACAAAAGCTCTGCATCGAGGTCCCGCAGGCGCTCAACGCCACCCCCACTAGCAATGAAACATTGAGGGCCTGGTTGGGCTTTGGCCAATCACTGTGGCAGGAGTTAGACTCTAGTGGTCCAGGAAGGGGAGCGTTTCCAACTCCGACCTCAGAGACTTCTGGGGCCCAAGGAGAGGGAAATCCAAGTTCAAGTTGAAAGCCAAGAGCCTAGTCTGGGGAAGCTGAGTCAGTACTGGGCCTGGAGGGCCAGAGGCTGGGCACGAACTGGACATGAGAGGCCTGGGTGGAGGTGGGCCATAACTCTGCCCTGAATTCTGGGCCATGATGGTCTCCTGTGGCTTCTTTGTGGCCGACACGTGATGGGCTGGTAGTTCTGGCTGTCTTAAAGGCGGAGAGTGGGGTGTAATATAACATATTTGAGCAGTAAAAGGTTCAGAGGACCAAAATATTTTCCATTCATTCCTCCACTCATTCCTCCCTCATTCAGGAAACATTCTGTCCTTACGGTGATCCAGGGTCTGCGGTTGGTGCTCAAAAAACAAAAATGAGGAGCTGAGGACCCTGCTCAGCTGGGAAAGCCCACAGTCAGCAGAGGCTATCAGAGGAATCGTAAATTCCCAAAACCAAGCAACCCCGTCAGTTAGGAGGTGTGAGGGCACACAAACCTCCCTAAGCACTTGGGGCTGGGGCTGTGCTGTGCCCGTCACTGATGGAGGAGACGTTGAGCTAGATGCCCAGCCTGAGATGGACTCACCGTCCCATGCCGTGTGGACGGGGCTGACCGTAAAATGCCGGGGAGCGCAGCTGCCGGCCGGCACCACCACCGGATTATGTCAACAGAAGCTCTTTCAAGGGCCTGGAAAGGTATCAGCCACAACCTCTATCACAGCTCCATCTTCCAGTCAATATTTGCCCAGCTTGGGAGCACGAAAAATCAGACAGCTACAAGACGAGCACAGGATTCTCTGTGGCTTTGCACCAAAAGCCTTCTAAGAAGGTCTTTGTAGGAAATAAGCAACAAAGAAGCGACAGAACGATTTGAAAATAGTAACCAGGTTCTATCTTACAATTTGACAGGGTCTGTTTCTCTTGGGAGTAACTTGGTGTGTGTCTGTCTGTTTTTCCCTGAGACATCCTGTTTTGGCCATCTGTGCTCTTCCGTCCCCATGAGGAAGCAGCAGCGGATGCTCCCAGAACCCACACACCTTCCTTAACTTTGCACAGCCCCTCGCCTTTAGTCTTCACTGTGCATTGCGTGTGCTGCCCCTCAGTGGGGCAGAGAGGTTGCTCAAATATTTACTTTAAAAGGCATTTTTAATAGTCACCCATACCGTGTGAGTTGTAAGGAGAAAGGTCATGAGATTTGACTACATAAACATTGACATTTTTATAGGTCAGAGTAAAATTATAGTCAAAATTAGGTCGAACAAAAATGAAGAAATTGTCTGCAAAATCTATGAGGCATAAGGGTGAACATATTAGAGCTTTTGTAATTAAATAAAAATAGTGGAAGAGTGCAGCAAACAAGCAGTTCATGCAAAAAGCACTGCAAATGACAAACGTGGGAAAGCCATTGAACCTCATTAGTAAAAGTAAAATGAAATCGTTAATGCCTGTCAGACTTGCAAAGTCTGAAATGAGAGCTCAAATCCAGTGTTGGTGATTTTATGGCAAAAGGAGAATTTTTATTCACTCCCTGTGAGGGAGCACTTTGGTTAAAAAAAAAAAATTCCAAGGACAAATTTGGCCATATAATTTAAGAATGCTAAAAAATGCATATCTCTATAAGAAATTCTAAGATATGCTTTTCCTTTTACAAATTTTAAATGCAAAACAAAGTGTGCCAAAATTTAAATATAAGGGCCGGCCGAGTGGCATGATGGTTAAGAACTGGCTTGGGACGCCAGAGGCCCCGGTTCAGATCCCACATATGAGGGCCAGTGACACTGCCCTCCACAGCTAAGATGCTGAACTACAGCTCAACCTGGAGCTGGGCTGCCATGAGTCGCCGGCAACAGCGTAGGCTGCAGCCCCTGCGGCAGTGGGTTGCCATGGGCTACCGTGTGTAGCCAGCAGCCAGCGTGAGCGGCCAGCAGCCGCTGTGAGCGGCCGTCCAGAAGCCGGCGACTGATCTGCCTCGCCCGGGAAGAGCGCAATGATGGTGCCAACTTGGACCAGTGAAGCAACGTCCTCCACAACTAGACTGAAGAACAAAATGACAGCAATTTGTCTGTTCCCCTTCCCCCAATTCCCCAGCACTGTTCCCATCCCCCCAATTCCCCAATAAAAATCTTTAAAAAAATAAAAAAATTTAAATATATGTTTGCACATCTGTGTTTTATAGAAAAGCTAATCACTAGCTTATTGAATGCTTATTTTGTGCATCTGTTCTAGGCTGTCCCCATGTACTTATCTAATTATCACAAAAAAGTTATCTGAGGTAGTACGGTTATCCTGATTTTTGGTTTTGGTTGACATGGACCACAATAACAATTTCCTTCAGGGTGTGCAGCTAATGTACATTGAGTCAGAGCCACTGGTTCTTGATCCTGAAGTGTCCGCCATTAGGGTGAAAACCGGAAATGACCCAAATGTTCACCAATGCACATTGTGAATACAGCACATTTCAATTGTGGAACACCATGCGATTCTGAGCAATCATGCCATAGACAAGGATTTGTCAGAATGCGCTCCTAACTGCCGCGTGGAAGAAAACGAGCGAGCAGGAAGACCTGCCACTGGATCCGGCTTGGGTTGCATTTGAACCATGTCAATGTGAAATACTTCAACTTGACAGAGAAACCAAGTTTCATTCTAGGTGCAACATTTGAAATTATCAGAGCCACTCCAAGTGAAAACTTGATTTCAAATCCTGCAGGCCCAGGGGATTATAAAGCAGAAGCCACACATTCCAAGCTGTGTGGCTTTGCGCTAAGATGCTTTGGAAACGAGGCCTGGCACTTTGAATGAGAACCAGGACCTTTCATGGCCCTGAACTTATGACATACAAAGATGCCATGGAACGTCAGACACACACCTTGGTTTTTCTCCTGCTGTAATTTTATCATTCCTTGTGGCTGTAATTCAGAATCTTATATCCTAACTGCTGTCACTCCTGCACTCACCAGATAAACAATGTACCTGATAGCATTGCCATGGGGAGCTGTTATAATAACCAGGTTTAAAGAACCTAAAACTGTCCCCTCAATGTCAGCTACACTGTTCGTGTAGCAGAGAGCACTCTGAACACAGATCACTGGACAGAATGCTGAGGAAAGGAAAAGCACCTTCAAACTGGTTCACCTCGGACAAAGATGCTCTTTAATCAGGCTTCCTGGAGGCCTCTTACCGACTAGGTCCCCACTTTGTTATGCTGAGCCCAGTTTTATCAGAGACTCCTGCTAAGCCATTTATCCAGGATGCCTCTACCTGGATATCCAGTGGAGCCCGTCCTCCACCGTAGACCCCTGACAAGTTGCTTTGAGTGAGTTTCCATCTTCCCTCTTACCCTACCCATTGGCTCTCAACCCCCACTTGCCCCTGTTATACTGGGGCTTAAATTCAGTCTCTCTTCCCGATTGCAGTAGTCTTTTTAAAAAATCTGTCTTGTTGGGTTTAACAAGTTTTCGGTGAATAATCTCTCTTAAACGCCTTTAACCTCATAAAAATTGTGAAAACAAAACAAAAACCCAGCACAGACAATGGGAAACAATGGAACAAGTTCTGGTAATATGACTTCAAGATTGTCACCTACGCTGTTTATAGTGGATGTAGAATTGTCCCCCATGGGAATGCCAATCTTGAATTATAAAGCTGGGAACTACGGCAGGAATTCAGAAATGCATCCCTTGCTTAGCGTACAGTCAATTCTTACAAATACAGGGAACGTCCTGAGAGAATGTGCCAGAATTTTGAGTCATCGGATTCTAGGTGGATACTTTTCTTTGTGGTGTTCAAGTTTCCTGTTTTGAAAATATAGTCAATTCTTATTATCCACAGATTCCCTATATGCAAAATCGCCTACTGCTAAACTTCCTTTGTGTTATGATTCCAAAGTCAATACTTGGGGCGCTTTTGTGGCCGTTCACCCTCCCTCCCTCACTGCCGTTGAATGAACCTTTCCTTTTTCTCACTTTTTAGAGTCTCATGAATTCTTTCACATTCTGCGAATGACAAGGGGTAATTTCTACACCAAGGCACTCCTGACTTGGGCTCTGGTGTTCCTCGGGGTATTTGGGGTACCTCCCAGGTGGCCTTAGCAGTCGACTTGCTTGGACGCCCCCCACTGCAGTTTGGAGGCTTGTGTCACCCGTTGATTTCTTTTCTCTCTCGGTGCAGCTCTCACCTCTGACAAAGCCCAGTCACCATGAACACAAGTGAGTTCAGAAGGAGAGGGAAAGAGATGGTGGACTACATAGCTGACTACATAGACGGTATTGAAGGACGCCAGGTGTACCCCGATGTGGAACCCGGCTACCTGCGCCCCCTGATCCCCACCTCTGCCCCCCAGGAACCAGACAAGTACGAGGACATCATGCGTGACATCGAGAAGATAATCATGCCAGGGGTAAGGGTATCAAGGTCGGAAACAAGAGGACTAGTGTTACTGCTGGGGGTCAGGTGACTCACGTGTACTGTCCCACCTACTCCGCACCACCATCCCATTGGACAGAAGCCCTTACCATTTCCATTGTACAGCTGGGGCAACTGAGGCCCAGAGAGGTTAGGTGATTAGCCTAAAGTCACACAGCTACTAAGTGATGGAGCCAGAATTGCAACGCAGGTCTGTGTGTTCCATGGGCAGTGAGTGAGCTCTCCCCGCAGCCCCCCAGGTCAGTCCCCTGCCCTGAGACCCCAGTGTAGGGAGATGGTCATGGTGTTGGAGGAGGAAAGCCCTTGGCGGTTGGTTTCAAGTAAGCCCATCGCTCAAAATGAAGCATACCCCTACCATTTCGTATTTGGCAGGAGGTAAGGTGCATTGTGGAAAAAATATTGGGTTGTCGGAAAAGCCATGACACATTTTTGCAACGAAAAACATAGAAAAAATACGTCATGATTTCTCCAACAACCCAATATTTGATTTGTTTTATTTGAGAATGAGCAATGTGGACCAGTTCGGCGCAGAGGCTAAGCTTGGCGTGTGGTGCTCAGTGGGGCCACAGGCAGTGGTAGACAGGACCAGGGCCAGCCGTCCCCCCGAGAGCATCTCAGAGGGGCGGACAGTTTATGATCAAAGAAACGCCGTGTGGCTATTTCCCCAAGATTTCTCTGTCGGGGAAAACCTGGAGCTTCAGTGTGGCAGGAATGGTCTCCATGCCTTCCCCTTGTTTTCAGACCGGGCGGCAAGACCTAGACCCGTGACCATGGGACGCGGTGGGACCCCAGCCCTGGACGTCACTGCTCAGGAGCTCAGGATCCAGTCCTCTGGTCTCACTTCCTCCTCCCAGGAGACTTTCCCTGACATTTGTGCTCTGAGCCAAGCGCAGGGTCTGGTTCTCACAGAGAAGCTGTTCTCGCGGAGAGGTTGTGCAAACACGCTAAGCCCTCTGCTTCCAGTCCCTCCAGGGGGAGGTGCAGTTAAATGTCAGGCACGTGGGGTCCTGGTCGGCTCCAGCTGCCGTACAAAAGGTCACCGCTGGGCAGCTCAGACAGCAGTCATTTGCTTCTGGGGCTCTGAGGCTGGGGTCCCAGGTCAGTGTACCCCCAGATCCAGCTCCTGGCTTGCAGATGGCAGCCTCCTCATGTGGACGTTCCTCCCTGTGGGGGCCCCACCCTCATGATCTAATCAGACCCTAATCACCCTCTCAAAGGCCCCATTCCCTAACACCATTGCATTTGGGGTTGGGGCTTCAACACAGGAATATGGGGGACACAAACATGTCCTCCAAAACGGGGGGTACGGGAGACTATGGAATTCTTTCCACTCGGTTAGATGGGGGCTGTCACTGTGCAGAGCTGTGGTGCATGCGCGGGCTGGGGACAGGGCCCCTGGGTGGGAATCCCAGCCCTACCAGGTGCTGCTGTGTGACTGCAGAGGGAGCAGGAAAGCTCTCTGGGCTCCAACTGGAGGGCGAGTGTCGGGTCGTCCATCTCCAGGGCTGAGGATTAGTTGAGAGTGAAAGCAAAGATGCTTGTGTCTCCAGTCAAGAATCACTCGGGTCCCTTCCCAGGTGTCAGAACAGGTAGAGAGAGGCCTCCAGTGTCTGAAGGGGCCGGAAGGCCCAGGCCACACCGCCGCCCCCGCGGGCCCCTCCCCCCACAGGAATATGGAAAATTATGCTGTATGAGTACGTTGCCGTACAGATAAGTGTATTGACATTAAGGAGTGAACTTTTTTCTTTGACCTGAATGTTTACTTTTTCCTTTTGATTTTTAATAGAAACTAAAATGTTTCCCAGACCCCTAAAATATTGTGGGCCTGGCCACTGAGCCTGCTGTTCCTCACGGCCCCTCTGCCCACCCCCAGCCTCCTCTGCCTCAGCCCGCCAAGCTCCATCTGTGCTGAGGGTCCCCCCTCCCCAGACCATTCCCCAGCCCTTCACAGCCCCACAGCCTGCCCTGCTCCGCCCTCTCCTGAGCCTCCACACCCCTCAATAGGCTGAATCACTTAGTCCTCCCAGGGGCCTTCCCTGTCCCCACCCTGAAGACGTGGGGTGGCCGAGTTGCAGTGGGACCCTGTCTTAAGTCCCCATGACCGTAAACCCTGCTGAGCTCTCCCGATTCTGGGAGCACCCCCAGTCGGCTACCTTCACACTGTGGGGACTCCTTGCCACGTCTCACAGTGCAGTTAATAACCAATGTATTCAGTGTTTGCTTGTGGCCCAGACTTGAAGTGACTAATGCTGGCAGAGCACCCCCACAGGTTGGGGGAGTCTAAGACAGGCCTGGCGAAGGTGACACGGGGGGACACACTGGGTGCACACTTTGTTTTACCTGAGAGGATGTGGGTGCTCAGAGACATGCTCTTAAAGGCCTGAGGTCACCCAGAAAATCCAAGTGGCTGTCAGACTGGCTGTCCAGGGGTGTTCCCAGCACCCATGCAGCTGATGTACTCAGGGAAAGAATGCCGAGGTCGGGGGGGACAGGCTGCTGGATCGTGTCAGCTGGACAAGTAAGAGCTTGTAACCCGAGTGGAGACTGACTGACCACGCCTGGTATCTCCCCTCCTCCTCTGAGGGGTGGGGGTGTCTTCAGGGATTTACTCTGTTCTCACATGGCGGACGTGTCATGGACAAGAAACTAAAGAAGCAAAAACTGGGCCACACACCCACATTTTCTCTCCTCCCTCTGTCTTCTTCCCAGACCGAGGTTTTCCCAGCCAGCCCGATTCACCTCTGAGACCTTCCCACCCCAGAGGGCTTTTGGGCTCCCGCCCCCTGAGAGGGTGCGCCCCTGCTCATGCCAGGTGGGGCCGCACGGCTGCCTGGCGGGGCTGGGGCACAGGGGGTGAGGCCCCTGAGGGGTGACAGGGCCACGCTTGGCTGGAGGGAGGGGACTGTACAAGGGAGTGAGGAGGCGGCCGTAAGGCCAGGTGGAGAAACCTCAAAAACAAGTGCCTTTTTGTAATTTCCCTTTATGGACGTAGAAATCCAGGTTTCTAACACAAAGAGATGAGCAGTACCTGACAAGCACACCGAGCCAGAATTTCAAACACAGTGTCGTTTAGAGACCGCACTTGCTGTGGCAAACTGCGGGTCCTGGGTCCTGTGCTGGTGGGGGTCCCCTTGTACCCCAGTGACCACCTGTCTCCCTTGCAGGTGACTCACTGGCACAGCCCACACTTTTTCGCCTACTTTCCCACGGCCAGCTCGTACCCGGCCATGCTCGCCGACATGCTGTCTGGGGCCATCGGCTGCATTGGCTTCTCCTGGGTAAGTGACAGGGTGACCCAGGGGGTCCTGCCTTGGGGACATGCGCCTGTCTTCAGAGGGAGAGTGATCAGGTGGCCGTGCCCCTGTGAGAGGGGAGAAGGATTCATCCCCTGCAGGGAGTGCCTCATAAGGAAGTGAAACAGAGGGAGAGAGAGAGAGAGAGACGGTTCTGGAAGGTTATCAACCAAAGGGCAATTCTGCACAGTTGCACTTTCTCAGAGCCACTGGGTGTGGACTAAAATCTGCCCTGGGTTTCTGCAGCCCACGCCTGGAAATCTGCATTTCACCAAGTGCCCAGAGGCATTCCAGGTGATCTGCAGTTGAGAAACGCCACTGCCCACATCCGGTCCCCTCTGCTCGCAGGGACAGGCCCCATCCCTGAGGAATGCAGAGCAGGCAGCTCTGGAAATGGGGCCAGTGCCTGCCTCCACCCACCAGCCCAGTCCCATCTCATCTGGGGATGAGACGCTAGAAAGAGCCCTGCTCACAAGGGCGGGTGGGGCCAGCCCTGTGGCTCTCTGCGCCCAGCACAGCCCCACAGGGTGGCCACCTGCTGCCCGGATGCACAGCATGGACACAGAGCTGTCGCTGACTGTGTCAGGGCCCCCAGGCTGCTCGCCCCGCAGGGACTTCAAGGTGAGGGTCTGCCCTTGGCCTGTTGGGTCCAAATGTCCACTTGCCTGTGCCTCGGAGCTGATGGACTCATGCATTGACTCCAATGAATCAGGGCCTGAGGCGTGGGAAGGGGAGGTCAGTTTAAGAATGCACGGTGTCCAGCACTGGAACCCATAGCTGCCTACTCGCCACCCCCCATGTTCCCCAAGTTGCTGGAGGAGTGGGGTCAGCAGCTGCAGCCCAACAGGAAGGGTCGGAGGGTCCCCCAGCCCTCTGACCTGCTCCTCTGTCAAGTGCCCCAAGGCCACCCTCTCCTCTGGTGGAGCAGCATGGGCACAGCCTCTGTGACCCCAATGACCTTCCTTTGTCTCTGCGGAGCACACCCTCTTCTGAAGGTCGTTTTGTTTCCTTAGATACCACAGCAGAACTCATCTAGCTCCGCTGGTCCAAAGCCGACCTGTCCCTTCAGGGTGATTTGCCTTGAATCTCCTGTTGTGCCTGTTCTTTCCGAGGACAGGAGGACAGGCTCATTTCTCTGGGGCCTTGCAGGGCTGTCGCACTGTCTCTAGGCTGTTGTGCCGGCCGAGTCCTGGGTCCCTCATAGTGAGTGCAGGTTCCTCTGCCTGGAGCTGGGCTGAGCTGGGATGGGAAGGGCCCTCCGATGGGGCTGACGAGCAGGAGAAAGTTCTCTTGTTCTAACCGGTGGTGCTTCAGGAGCTGGTACACACGGGAGACAGGAGGCCCTGAGCAGCACTGTGACAAACACATGGGGAGAGGGGGCGGCTCAGTCCATCCCCGGGCGGGGCCAAGGCCAACCTGCCCGCCCGTGTGCAGGAAGGTACTGAGAGCACCACTCGAGAGCTTCACAAGCAAGGCCAGTGACCTGTCCAAGGCTCCCAGGGGATTCAGCTGCCCAGGGGCCACCTCCTGGCTGGGTCCAGTCCCCTTAGACTCACTGTGACTGTGGACGAGGGTCCAACCAGTTGGCTTTCTAGATCGTTCTGCAAGTAAACAGGTCGCTAACAGAAGGGCACGGTCCCGGGCCAGGCAGCAAGGACGTCACCGCGGCCCCCGCCGTCCTCCCCAGCCTTTCCCCCGGGATGTTGGTCAGAGCACCTGTTTGACATGTGCATTCTCATAGCATCTGGGAGGGGACGATTTTAACCTGGGTTGAGTGACAGGTTAAACCCTGCTTCTGCTCCTGAAATTCTGCATGACATGACCCTTTGTTGCGACACCAGCCCTTAGAGAACTGTCGGGGAGGAGGGTGACATCCCAGGGACCCCAGTCTGCGGGCCACTGACTGCCACGTGCAAACCCTTGCACAGCGGGTGGCAGGTGCAGGGTCTGGGCAGTGTGGTTCCCTCCAACCCCAAGCACAGTAGCGACGAGGACACGCACAGGCCAGGCCCTCAGCACCACGCTGGCCCAGAGCAGCCCAGTGATGCCTCAGAGCTGCTGGGTGGAAGGAGAGGGCCTGCTGCCAGCAGGGTCCCAGGGTCCCAGCTTCGCCACCGCTTCTCCCTGCAGCTCCAAGATTCACCTTAGTTCCCACCCATGATGGGCCTCCTGAAAGCATTTAAAACCGTCTGTTAAATTGATAACGTGTAAGTGACAGCAGTGACGGACTACTCCTGTCTATCACTCCCCTTTATCAAACTGACAGGAAGCTGAGGGCAGCCGGCCTGTGGCTAATTCCCTTCCTCCTTCCCACGGCAGGCCGCGAGCCCGGCCTGCACCGAGCTGGAGACGGTGATGATGGACTGGCTGGGGAAGATGCTGCAGCTGCCGGAGGCGTTTTTGGCCGAGAAAGCCGGCGAAGGGGGTGGGGTGATCCAGGTAAGGCGGCGGTCCAGCTCTCGGGGGTGCGGGTTCCACAGAGGGACCAGGGCTTCAGGGCACAGAGGTGTCCTCCTATCTCCCCTGGAGAGGGGAGAGCCGTGCTGTTAGGAAAACCGGATCTGGATTTGGAACTGAGTCTGTCTCTCTCTCTCTGGGTCCACCAGGGCCCCATTTGGGGTACACACAATGGTAACTGTCACTTAGCAGGTGCCTAGTAAGAAACACAGAGCAACTGACATTTGTGTTGTGTCCCTGTTGCCAGCCACCACGCCTGCGCACTTTCCAGACATTACTCATGTAATTCTCACAACAACAGTATGATATGGGGGCCATTTTGATACCCCTATTTTACAGGTGAGGAAGGTGAGGCACAGAGCAGGGAGGTACCAGGTGCAAAGTCCCAGAGCTGGGGTCTGAGCCCACATCTGTGTGACTGCGGAGCCATGCTCCTCACCACCACGCAGGGTTGTCCTCAGTCAGACAGTGGCAGCTGTGGCCACATGCTTCAAAGACTTCTGGAAGCTGCTGGAATCTGTGGGAGCCAGAAGTTCACCTGCAGATGCCGCCTTCTCTATGTGCTGATTTAATTCATTCTCTTCATGCGTCACGTACCCTTGAGAGAGACGATGTGCCAAAGCACACGTCAGGGGATGCAACGGACCCAGATGACAGCAGCGGCGGTGTGTCTGCTCCACTGGGGTCTGCGGGACAAATGCCTCTAAGGAGACTTGGCCTTGTGCTTTTTTATCTTCTAGCAGCGAAGATGGACTCTATGATCCCATCTCCCTCCCTGATACCTTTTCTCTCTTATCAAGTATATGATGGTAATATTGGGAAAGCACTGTTTACTTTGAAACAAAAGGGGATTTTCTTTTCAGATATTGTCTTCTCAAAGGCTGCAAGAACTAGTTAAGGCAGCTGTTGTTATTCTGCACGCTCGACCAGTGAGAACGCTGAGGTACGGATGTCCCACCTGGCCAGTGTGGCCAAATCAATTCAGGAAGCAAGCTCCCAACTTCTGGACCTGAGACGGCTCAGCCAGACTGGCCTCTGTCAGCTCCCACATGTCAGCTTTCTGTTGCTGCTGTACCAAATTCTAGTGGCTTAAAACAAAACAAATCTATCATCTACAGTTCTGTAGGTCAGGCATCTGACACGGGTCTTCCTGGGCTAAAATTAAGCTTGACACCTTGGAGGCTACAAGCGAGAACCTTTGCTTGACTATTTTAGTTTCTAGAAGCTTCCTACACTCCTTGGCCATGGCCCCTCCCTCACCTTCAAAGCCAGCAGTGCTCCATCTCTCTGACCCTCCCTTCATGGTCATGGTCACTTATCCATCTGACAACGGGTGGCTCTCCACTTTTAAGGACCCATGTGATTCGATCGGGTCCATCCAGATAATCCAAGATAATCCCCTGTGTCAAGATTCTTAACTTAATCACATCAGCAAGATCCCTTTTTCCAGGTCAGGTAAATAGTCACAAGTTCCAGGATTAAGTCATGGACACCTTTGGGAGGTCATTATTCTGCCGGCCACACAGCGTATGTCAGAGTCACGAAAGGGGACCTGGACTCTGCCCCTAGCAATTGGATTCAACAGGTTTTTTTAGGTGGGCCCAGGAATGTGCATTCTAACATGCACCTCAGGTCATTCTGACGCAGAGACCCTGGGCCCACTTTGCTGAACAGGCCATGTGCTGTGACAGATGGGACTTCTCTGGACCAACGGGCACGTGGCCAGACTCAGACCCATTTGCTCTGTTCTCACCTGCCTCACATTCTTTCCATCCAACATCACTGATTCTGAGCGGGAAGCTGATGAAAACCATTGGCTACGAGGCCAGCAAAGATTGGATTTGATGCTGTGACCCAGGCTTGAACTTAAAAATAGCAGCAATGCTGATTTCCTGAAAAATGCAAACTATTTCAGGTCCCCGGACAGTTTCCTCCTGATCATAAGGTTATGCAGCCCAGCTAATCTCTGTGACAGAGATGACACACAAGGACAGCATGTCCACACGCCCTTCTGGCCTTGGGGAGGGTCGGGACCCTGCTGCACAGCCCGTCCCCCATCTGTGCCCGGCAGCTGACTTCATGCTGGGGGGCAAATGGCTTCCAGTCCCGGCCCATTAGCCCTGATTCTGCAGGGGACACACCGTCATCCTTCTCTGACACAGAGCAGAGTCATGTTGACAGACAGCACAGCACCAGCAGTAGGAGAGGAGAGGGTGCTGCTCAGAGGGGGTGACATGACGCCTCAGTGCAGCCTGGATGCTTGCACAGACTTACCGTATTTCCCCATGTATAAGGCGTACCCTTTTTTGAAAAACTTGGGGTCTAAAAACTGGGGGCATTTTATATAGTAGTTGTAGATTTTTTTACTTGCATTTCCCACAAGTGATGAAGAGTTGTATGAATGTTATGATGAATAAAACTTGACTTCAACAACTTCAGAGCAGTCATCCCCCAAATTTTTTTCAAATTTCGGGCTCCAAAAATAAGGTGCATCTTATACATGGGAGCGTCTTATACATGGGGAAATATGGTACTTTTTCTGTATAATTCCACCTATTTCGCCAAGGTCTCCTTTTTTCATTTGTTCTATTCGTTTGGACCCCACCCTCCCGCCCAGCATTTGGTGAACCCGGTCAGCTGAGACTCCTTTCTTCCCCGGGAGATTTTTCTCCCACTAAACTGTAGTTACCGCGTGAGCCCTCTGCTCTCTTCTCAGGAGCTCCCACATCCACAGGTTAGAAACCTTGTCCATAGCATTGAGCTGTCTCTTATTTTCTTTTTTTGCCACTCTATCTTCTGTATTTTGGGGGAACTACTCATGGTTTTCTCCACATCACTGTTTCAGTTTTCCACATTGCCACTGTTTTGCCTCCAATGTCCCCTTTCTACGGGTGAAAACCCAACATTCATTGTGAAAATGGAAGACAGGAGCATTTTGGGGCATACTTCCAGTGTGTGTGTGTGTGTGTGTGTGTGTGTGTGTGTGTGTAAACAAATCGGGATAATACAATATGTACATACAGATTTTCTCTATGGTATTTTTACTTACCATTTTATGGTGAGATTTCCCATTACTTAAGCATTCTTTGAGAATATCATTATTGCATGACTTTCTGTGATGTATCACAATTCATATAAATAATTTGAGACATGTTGCGCCAAAATTTTCAGTCTTATAAACACTATTTCAGAGGACACCCTTTAGGATGAGGTGTGACAGTCTCCTAAGCTTCCTGCTGGAGTCCTTGTTGGCTGAGCCCATAGTCACTGTTTATGCTCCACCAAAAATCAAAACAAAATATCAGCAGAGAGTGTTTCTGGCTCATGGGAGGTTACAACTAAAACAGTTTCACTTTTAGTTCTTTTCAGCCGCCCAAGCAAGATGCCATCTTAGTTTGATATTGCTCAAAATCCGTGCCAAGGCCCATAATCTGAGGAAGCCACACTGATTTTCGACGCGCCTTGGCACTGAATGCCTCCCTGAGCTAAGCGTGCGATAGCCCATTTTGTGGGCTTTATGTTGCCCCTTTCCAGCCTCCAGTTACTGTCGCGGGCTGATTGCATTATAGACAATCTTCCATCCAGGAGGAAACGGAGCCCCAGAAAGGTAGTGGGGCCAACCTGAGAGCTCGGCCGGTCAGAGACAAGGCTCGTACAGACGTGAGCTTGGCCTGTGGACGCCACGCCAGCTCACCCCCGGCCCCTGCTTGTGTTACAGTGTGCAGAGGTGTGCATGTTGCCATGAGCAAATCTTTCGATTACCGTTTTCTTAAAGATGATTCCCGTTTCCCAGAGACAGTGGAAGCCCTAGCATCGGGATGGGATTAACCCTGGCATCTGTAGGCCCAGGATTTGGCACACTCCTCCTTGGAGCCCGATCTGCGCTCAGATTGCTGGATGAGAGAAGACGTGTCCACGTCTGTGTCGCCCTTCGCAGCTGGCAAGGCTGATTAATTTTCTGTAATTTGCAAGGCCCCGGAGGGCACCGAGCTGGGTGACAGCCCTGGAGCCACAGCTGCAGGGGATGCTGAGCCCCTTAGAGCTGCCTGCACAGGCGCACAGTCGGGCGTCTGAATCAAACGGCAACTCATCCTCTGAGCTGGACCAACGGGGCTGCAAAGTAGTCTCTTAATTGGGTTTGAAAGCTCTCATGGAAGACAAGCTAATTTCCTGCTGTGTGTGGGGTGACAACACCCAGGAAATGAAGGGCCATTTCTGCTCACGGCACCAGCACTTCGTTCTGCCTCTTGGCGGGCTTGCCATGGCAACCTTTGTCTGCTGCCATCAGCACAGGTGTCATTATGCTCTCTGAGCCCAAGAGCAGTCATCCCCCACTCGTCCCTGTCCCTCGGCAAGGATGTGCTTCCAAGAAAGGGCTCAGAAACCCATGCATCTTCCTGCTCCACTAGGCCGAGGCACTGGGAGCTTGAGTGACAAGTGTGTCATTGGGCATTTTTAAATCAGTTTTCATTGCCCGAAGCAGGGTACTTTCTCTCAGGGTGTGGACAGAGCCCACAGCAAACCCCTGATGACTGGCATGGTGATTCTAAGCCTTTCTGGAGGGTGTGCTTAAGAGGAGACTGGACTTTTGGGGGGTCATGTGCATCCAGGGCCTCAGACAGAGGGTGGGGTTTGGAGAGTGGCCACAAGCCCACGAGAGTGCTGGGGTGACAGGATCCCATCCAGGAGTTGTGCCTTCAATAAGCTTTTCACGGTGCCAGTCCAGTGAAGACGAGTTAGGCAAAGGACGGGTCCATGACACGCAGAATGTGGGGACACAGGAGGAACACGGCCACCCGAGAGGGCTGCCCGGTGCCCGCCCTCAGGGAGCTGGAATCCTGTGATATCTGCCTTAGCTGTGCCAGCCAAGCTTCCATAACCACACCTAAAACTGGGTGCTCTAAAACCGTACCAAAACCTGTTAGTGAAAATGCGGCCTAAAGAAAATGCCAGACCCATGTTAGAAGCTAAAGTAAGGGGATGACATATGTATATACATGTCCACACATCAGAGCTACAGAACTCCAAGTAAACGTATTTCTCTTTAAATTTCGCCCGTATTCCCAAAGGATATGAGCTGACTTACAAAAAGAAGTAAATGCATTAAATTGGTGAATGAAAATAGGAAATCAGGATCAATGAAAGGAGGATAAAATGTTAACGAGAGGTTGACCTTTAATTTTTTTATTGTACATTTCTCTATAAAACTGTAAAATCTTATCTTTCTCATAGTCAACAAAAATCCACCTTTAAAGTCTTTTTCTCTCCAATGTTAATCGAGTTTAGCACCTGGGTTCCTTCTAGGGTTTACTTCACACACAGTCACAAGCAGAGGGAGCAGAGAAAGTTGCTTGTAGCCTGGAAGGGACGTGGGCGGCTCCTAACAGCGCCCGTCACTAGCCGCTGATCGGGGCAGCTCCCTTAAGCCCTCTGAGTATCGGTGCCCCACCTGAAGATGACAAAACTAGAAAATAAGACAGTCTCGCTAATTAAATGGGATAGCCAGGCGGGTGCTGAATCTGTATTACCTCCTGACCTCAGGGGCGTGAACTTTGCACCGTTCTCTACTTTGCTAGAATGAGCTGTTGGCGTCCCTGTGTTCATTCGCTCGGGCTGCCATCACAAAGTCCCACAGGCCGGGTGGCTTACACAACAGACATTTATTGTCTCATGGTGCTGGAGGCTGGAAGTCAGATGGAGGTGGTGGCAGGGTTGGTGTCCCCTGAGGCTTCTGTCCCTGCCTGCAGGCGTGGCCTCTCCCAGCGTCCTCAGGTGGCCTCTCCTGTGTGTGCATGCTGCCTGGGTCCCCATGGCCTCCCCTTTTAAGGACATCAGTCAGCGTGGGTTAGGGCCATGCTAAAGACCTCCTGTAAACGTAATGATCTCTTTAAAGCTTGCAGCTCCAAATACAGCCCCATTCTGAGGTCCTGGAGGTTAGGACTTCAACACATGGCATCTGGGAGGACACAGTTCAGTCCACAGCATCAGGGATGGAAGAAAAATCCTCCAAGGTGGTTTCTGAGTCTTGAGGAAAATATGCCGTCTTTATAAGAAGACGCAAACGTGTCTGCCCAAGTTGTCACTCACACGGGGCTGGGCTTTGATGCTGGTCCCTGGGCCCTGTCCCTTCCTCTGAGGGAAACTGGAGGGCACCTGTAGGCCCGACTGTGAGGATTTGTGGGAAAACGTTTGTGATACCTGCTGCCTGCCAAGTGCTTGGAACTGCTGGCTGTTATGTTACATAAAATCGATGCTGCACTGTTGAAATAATAAGAGCTAAAGTGGCCATCATAGCTGTCCAGAGTTTTCCTGTGCAAAGGAGTGTGAACTTTGCAATTTCAGGTTCATCTTTTAAGAAAAATACAGCGACTTAATAGTATGCCTCCCCAAAGCTGAGATGTGGGTTCCTTTGCTGCGCTGTGGGACTCATTTCCACCTTTCCTTTGATGTAGGGAAGTGCCAGTGAAGCCACTCTGATATCCCTGCTGGCAGCGCGGGCCAAAGTGACACGACGCCTGCAGGCCGCCTCCCCGGGGCTGACGGAAGCCGCCATCCTGGAAAAGCTGGTGGCCTACTCCTCGGATCAAGTGAGTGTGTTGACCGGAAGCCCCACAAGCCACCAAGATCTGAGAGTTTCATGTCCAGTTGAAACGCAAAAGACCGTGTGGGATCACATCCGATCTATGAACAGTGGCTCTGGTGTTGCTGAGATAGACACCTGCCCTAGAGACGAGGTGTGGGTGCAGGTGGGACCTTAGCAAATCCAGCTGAAAGCGAACGTGCTGTGAGGTCGCCAGAACCAGGTCTGCGGCTACCTGCACTGGCTTCCCCTGCGATCACCTGGTCGCCTTGGGGAGATGTGGCACGTGGGGCTCAGAGACCCAGGCTCATCTCCCAGCTCTGCTGTTTTCAGTTTCGTGATCTCAGGAAAATCATACACGTCCTCTGAGCTGCTGCCCCGTCAGACAGGGTCACAGGTGCCCGCCTCTTGGCGCTGCTGCCCTGCCCGCGAGTGGCCACGCAAAGGCAAAGCCTGCCGCTTCGAGAGCGCTGCAAACAGGAGCTCCTAGTGTGACTCCACTGACCAGCTCGTTTGAAAAAGGTTAAAAAAAATTAGCAGAATTGTGTGAAATGGAAAAGAAGGAAAGAGAATTGAGCAGCGAAAAGTAGCTCCCTGAGGTAAACTCTAGTCCAGAGGGCAGCACCCTCAGTTTGGGGTTCCGCAATGAGGACTGGCCTCCGCTGCTGACACGGTCACCTTTCACGCATCGTAAGCCAGGCCCCTCAGCAGTGACAGCTTAGTCCCTTAGTACTATTGCATCCTGAGAGAAAGTCACTCCCCACGTTTCCGTGCTTCGTCAGGAGGCTTGTCTGTGTGTAGTCTGACACCAACCATCAGAGCCCCTACACATGAAGAAAAGTATTCATTTATATTTACCTCCCCTTTGTTTCCCAGAAGGACATGAGGGAATTGAGGAAAATGCACGTGTCCGTACTCAATAAATAGGTGTTGACATAGGCTGCCCCCACCCCCACCCCCAGTGAGGGGAAGGGCCCGGGTCCGAATCCAGGTGATTTCACTCCATTCTGGGGTGTGTTTTGCAAGATCTCACGGCTTACTCTAGAATTCAAACCAATGAGTGACAAACGTCACCAATGCTGACGTAGCATTTCACTCTCATGAGTGTCAGAGTCACTCAACAAAAAAGCAAGATCCCACAGGACCTGAAACAGCTCAAAAAGGTGTGTGTGTGTGTGTGTGTGTGTGTGTGTGTGTGTGTGTGTGTGTGTAGGAGGTCAGGGGCTGCCTCTGCCTCCTCATCGCCAGATGAAGGAGCGTGAAGGGGGGCCGCTCTGCAGAGCCGGGGGCTTATGGCGCCGTGTGGAGCGCAGATCTAACTCTGTGCTTTCTTTCCAGGCCCACTCCTCGGTGGAAAGAGCCGGATTAATTGGTGGAGTGACATTAAAAGCCATCCCTTCAGATGGCAAGTTCGCCATGCGTGCTTCCGCCCTGCAGGAGGCCCTGGAGAGAGACAAGGCTGCCGGCCTGATTCCTTTCTTTGTAAGTTCAGCAGCACTTGTGCATAGGGGCCCCTGGGAGTTCTGAGCCCACCTGGGCCTGGGGTCGGGCTCGGGGGCCAGGCCACTTTTGGGCTGCCATGGCCGTCAGAAGCGAGGCAGCACTTACACTGTCAGCCTGCCCTCCATGAGGACAGCTGAGGAAGAGTCCACGTAGTTTTCCTTCTGCTGCGTGAATCTCAGAGCTAAGCAGAGAACACCAGCCTGGAGGATTCGGCTAAGATGAGACGTCTTGTATCTGCTTCCTGTGAAGGTGACACCATGCGCTTTCACGGGGACAGTACTTTGTGCCGCCTGTGACAGTTCTAGATGCTCTGTCACGAAAACTGTGTGATGGACGAGTGAACCAAATGAAAACAAAGCACAGAAGTCCCCTAGATCAGTGTTCTCGGTAGATACCAAGACGTGGCGTCCGTGGGAGATGCGAGCAAGCACTAAAGTAGGTGACATATCTCACTAGCCAAGTAGCGACAGTACCTGCTTTTCTAGTGCACAGATAGGCATTTTCCAGGGGGAAGATGTGGCTGGTGTGGCAGCCAGAGCCTGGGAATTGTCACCCCCAATGTGGCCATGGCAGCCTGCAGTGTGTGTGACGGCTAAAAAAATGCTGTGACCGAGGCACCAGCCCCGTGGTGTTCACCTGGCTGCACATGCGAACCGCCGAGGACCTGAGGGGAGGTACCAATGCCCAGGCCCGCCCCGGTTCCCTGGTACCAGAATCCCCAGGGATGGAGCGGGACTGGAAATGGGTCCCAGTGACTCGGGGTCCTCATGTGCACCCAGGAAATGCTGGTCAGGGGGGCATGCTCTATCTTCTGGGCATTTGCCAGCTGTCAGAGCAACCCAGCTGGGACAGGCAGCAAAGGTGCAGAGATGTGAAAGATCACAGGATGTTGGAAGAGACGCAGCCGACGTGTTCTCTTAAACCAGCAGCCACAGGACTGAAGGGAGACAGGCTGACCCAGGCACGAGGGGCGGTGGCTTGAGCATTGACCTTACGGATCTAGTGGTTACAATTCTCACGGGCATGGTGGCTCTGGGCTTAGTTCTGAGATGCACGCCACCTTCATTATGTGCTGAAGGGGGTTGCAGACCCCTCACCACCCGACACCCCTTGCTGAGGGTGAGGGCACATTTGGCAGGTTTGGACCGGGGCGTCATCCAGGAACTCGCTGGGGCTGTGATTGGTCCCTGGCTTCCTCCTGAAGGTCTGCTCTCTCTGCTTGATAAGGTCAGGCTGCAGGCAGAAGGCAGTGCCTGCGAGACGCATATCTGAGCAGAGTGGGCAGGTCCTTAGGTAAGGGAGGCGGAAGAGAAGGCTCTGGAAAGGGGACGTGTGCTGGCAGGAGGGACACCGCAGGCTCAGAGATGAGGCGCCTGCCTGGTGCTTCTCCTTCCCTCACCCCACACAAATGTGATTATGCCTCTGCAGAGCGGCTGAAATCAGGTTAGAGTCACCGAGCTGAGCCGGGGGAAACAGAGCCTGGGGCACAGCAGGTGCTCAGCGTTCAAGTGGTGTCTGGGAGTCAGGACAAGCTGACTGGCAGCCGTCTAGAACACATCATGCAGGGCCAGCCTGGCACATCCTCGCTGAGAACCTGGGTGCCCACTGGCCTTCCTTGTGGGCTGCTTGGGGCTTGGGCTGGTTGGAAGGGACTCAGGTGTGGCCCTGGGTGCTGGGTCCTTTAACTGGCAAGATAGCAAGAGTCAGTGACGCCTGCTTCCCATCTCAGCGTGCCCGTGCCCCTCTGTGCGTCCTTGACCCACCTCTGGAGTCTCCCTTAGGTCGGTGTAGAGTAGGGATCGTAACCGAGTCCCACGTGTTAGGTTGTTGTGATGACTGAACGTCACATCTGCAAAGCCCAGGCCTCAGAGGAAGCAGAAAATGTCACCTCTTCTTGTTTACTACTGCTGCCTCTCCTAGGACTAGGCGGGATTGATGGTTTTTACAAAATGCTCCATCCTCAGAACAAAAACACCAATAATTATATAAATATCTAAAAATAAAGGTTTATATTAACCAAAATCTCATCCTAAGAGACAAACAATATGAACATTTGGTCAACATCCTTCTAGGTACTCTTCTGTGCATACATTAATAAAAAAACATTTTAACAAGGGGATAGTTAATATTTATATCACTTAAAAACAGAAGCCATTGCATTTCATTCAATTGGACTTTAACTGAGGCAACGACGCGAAGTGGAAGGGATTGCTGAGGGACCGACATGCCATTCCTAAGAGAAATAAATTACAAGCAACATTACGACCATTGAATCACGCTGTGTTTTCTTTAACTACATACTTTTTACTATTCTTTTAATGACACAGACAAAGCATCTTGAGTCCCGTGCTCTACCCACAAAGCCGGGCATCACAGACAACGTGTCTTAGTACTCAGTTATATATCAGAAAGAAATTGCAAATACCAGGGGAAAATAGCACCCTGACTGGAATCCCCACTCAATGACCCTTTTGTCAAAAGAAACATGTTTGGAGAACCCCAGCCCTGAAGGGGAGCGCCCGCAGAGGTGCGGAGGAGGAGAAAGCTGAGGGGTGGGGCGTGCGAACCACAGACACCGTATCACAGGCGGGCACCACGTCCAGTGCATCCGGGTTGTGCGTGAGGAAACCCACGCCCAGCCAGGTGCCAATGTGGCAGAGCCAGGCCTCCTACTCTGGTCTGTTTGCCCCAAGAGCATGGCTTAAATGTCTGTGTGTTCGTCGGGCCTGTTTATTTTCTGCGTTTCTGATGCATTGACGTCTGAGACCTTGCAGCCCAGGAGGCCTGCCCCACCAGGCTCGCCAACTCCCGGAAGGAGCAAAGGGCTCCCCTGCCAGTGAACCTTTCATATGCAAACAGCCACTCCAGAGCCCACGAGATCCCTCCACCTCCTCTGTGGGGCCCTCACACTCAGGGCCACCATCCCTCTGCCCTGATGACGAGGGTAGCCCCTGTGCCCCCATGAACCACTGAAAGAATTCAAGTTCCCCAATCCTAGGCCTGCTCGGCTGCCTCGCCTGGCCCTTCTGGCAGAAACCACAGTAAAGGCACTCACCCACCTCCCCACCCTTCCCCACCCCCTGACCAAGCCTGGTGCTTCCCCGTGTGGCCTGCAGGGCATGGGTGCCCTCCTCCTGGGAACTGGGAGTATAAAAAGCTGCCCTTCAATGGCAGTTGCCTCCTGATCTGCTGGCCTCGCCATGCCTGAATGGTAATAAAACCTTCAAAGTCCTCTGCCCCTGCCAGGCCTGAGAGCAACCCCGCAGGGCCTGACTCCCTTGGGTGGCCTCCTGGATGCCTGCGCCCACCACAGAGTGTCCAGCACCTGCTTTGGCACCACTTCCTGCCCTTGGGTGCCCTGGCAGTGGCTCTCCAGCCAACAGCTGTGCCAGCAGAGGGCCAGGGCGTGTCAGCTGAGCCACCCCCAGGGTGACATGATGCCACCTTGGTGAGAGGGCTGGACCCTCTGGGAGGTGCACTCAGTGTTTGGGGCAAACGCAGGTGGTTGTAGATGAAATGGAACCAGGAAGACCACCAGGTCCCAGGTTGACGAGGTGCATGCGTTTCCACCCTCCCCAGCTCTGTTCTCACGGCTCGTAGCGTTGCTGGGGGCTCAATAACGGCTGCACGGATTGGATGAAATTCCACACTCTCGTCCCATCTCAGGAAGCCTCACTAACCAGACTGTGCCTGGCATCATAAGTCGGTTAGGCTCGTTGGTAACCATGGCAGGCTTTTTGTAAACATAGGTGCTTTTTGATAATTTGCAGAGTTTGCATTCAGCACCTAGGCTGTGTCCAGCAATGCGCCAGTTCCTAGTGATACAGAGAAATAAGACACGGACCTTGGCGTTAGAGCTTCGTGGGGAGACAGCGAGCGAGCCAGCCTCGCACGTGGCACAACCAGCTGGTGCACTGCTGTCAAAGGGCCTCAGGGTGTTCAGAGACCAGGAGGGGAAGGGGGTTCACGCCATGTCCCCAGATGTGTGACCACCCGTGCTAGGCGCTTGCTCAGAACACAACACTAAGTTATTTCTAACACTGCAGGGCTGTCTCATGAGTCTCCTCAGGGAGCAGATCTCCTGGAGGGTCGGAGTTAATCTTCAGGAGCCGTGTGGCTCAGAAAGGAAGGCAGCGATGACAGGCAGCAGTGACAGGCAGCCAGGCTCCTGGGGGGCTCTGAACCGACCCAAAGGCTGTTTGTTCTAGAAGAGGCAGTCCAGCATGTCCTGCTGGGCGTGTATCTCTGCTGGTGTGTATTCTGCGCGCGCGCGCACACACACACACACACACACACACACACATGCACAGACACACACACACAGAGGCACATACACACAGTACACACACACACAGGCACATACACACACACAGAGACACAGACACAAACACACACAATACACACACACAGGCACATACACACACACACACAGAGACACAAACACAAACACACATACACATACACACATAAACAGACACAGACACACAGGCACAGACACAGATTCACACACACACACACACTAAGGAAAGACCCAGACATACTTCACAGAAGGCACAATAGACCTCAGATGTGCTCTGTCAGGAGCGCAGAGCACGGGAACCTGGCCGTGGGATGGCTTCGTCCCTGCCCCTCGGCACCACGAGCCGCTCTGACCCAGCCTGGCTCCCTCTCCAGGTGTCACGAGGCCTCCAGCACCTACGAGTGTGAGCTCAGAGTCACGTCTCTGCGCGGCAGTCACCATGCATCACACACGGCGGTCTGGGTAGTGGTTGTCCGTATGCAGGTTGTGACCGTGACCAAGACGTGGGGCTCATGAGGACATCTGCTCTTTACCCTCCAGGTGGTGGCCACGCTGGGGACCACGTCCTGCTGCTCCTTTGACAGGATCTTAGAAGTGGGTCCCATCTGTAAGTACCCGTTACATTGTCTTCTGGAGAAAGTTCTCCATACGTGCGGAGTTTCACAGACCCTCCTCGTGGGTTCCTTTCTCCTCCCCAATATTAACTTCATAGTATAACAAACAGAATATAACATATACCATAATATCAACATAATACAACTTAACATCATGATGGTTTGCCAAACCCTTTTTTTTATTTGCAATAACACAAACCCCATTAGCTTGAACTCCACATATCAGAATTTGGACTAATTGGACAAGAGCAGCGCTTAGCTTTACCACCACACTATTTATTAAAAAAACCAAACAGCTGTTCTGGCAATAGAAAGTGACGTAGTGTAAGGCTAGCTGCCACGCTGAGGAGAAGAGCTTGCTCTCCAAACCCCAGCACGCCCCCGCCCAAGGGCCTGCATACACAGCACGTGAGGTCATCCGCCCTTGAAGTAAGTCTTCCATCATCCTTTTTAGCCTTTTGAAATGACTGAATGTAGTTAAGCAAATTACTTAAATTGATTAAGCAAATCAATACCCAAACCCTGGGTTTCTCCAAGGAGAGTCTGCGCTTCACCCCGCCTCCTCCCCCACCCACGGCACCTAGGTTTTCTCCTAGAGGCGGGAATTCAGTGATTTTGAAAGGCGAACACTGACGATGAAACTGTTTGAGAGTTAGGCCTGGGACGGGTTTCTGTACCTTTGCTCGGTGGGGCACCGGCTCCTGAAATCCTGTTGCTCTGTCCTTGGACATGGTACTCCAGATGGAGCTAAGCGTGCAAAGGCCTGGGTGTCTCCGGAGCTGGTCGGGCCCTCAGGCCGCACTGTGGCTTGTGCAGGTCTCAGGGGAATCCCTGGGCACTGGCTCACCAGTGACCTGTATGGCCCCAGCACGTTTCTCCCCTCTCCTAACCGGGGATCCGCTGTGGTCCACACTTGGGGTGTGGACCCCCTTCTCCAGGGCCGTGGGTGACAGCGTGGGGCACAGCCTTGGTCACAGACGAGCCGTGGTGCAGCCCAGACCCACCGCTCAAAGCTGTGCGCCTTCTCTTCTGCGTCCCTTCCGTAAAGTGGACAGGAAAATGATGCTTGCGAAATGATGATGTCTCCCTCACGTGATTCTTTAGAGGATGAGTTAATGCGCAGAAGATGGGCGAGACAGAGGCAGAGTGTGTCACTGGGGCTGCGAGGAAGCTGGGGCCAAGTGGCTGTGGGTATGCACTGTCCCCTCACCCGGGCTCTTGCTCTGCCATTTATGACCTGTGGCTTCTGGAAGAGCAGCTGGCTGAGAGCACCCGCCATGGCCAGGGCTGGGGGAAGGGACAGGACTGGTCCTCTCAGGACAGTGGTCATGGAGTTGGCATCATCAGTCACCCGGGCCAAGCAGCTGGGCATCCCTTCTGACTCAGATGTCAGGCTGAGAGCTGGACATCCTGGACAGGGGCCAGCTGATGTAACCCTGGGAGCTATCGGGTTTAGAGGACTGAGGTCTTCACAGGACAGAGCCCACATGGCCCCGTAGTCCCCCGAGCCCCAGCACTGGCCACCCACTTGACTAGGGAGATGGCAGTCAGCGGAAGGCACCTGGCCTCCATGGCCTGCTGGGGGCACCCGGTCCGTCTTCTGCTTCCTGGGTCTGGGGACCGTGGGCAGAGCTAGATCTGTGATGTTTGGTGCCAACCGCAGAGGCCGCTCTGGGGCGCGCTGGTCTCAGGGCTACGCTGAACGTGAGGGTCAGCCTGGAGGACAAGGGGCACAATTGCTGCCATTGTCCCTGTCTTTCCACGTGTGCACTGAGCACCTGGTCTGTGCCAGGCGCCGCCCAGGCCAGCAGCAATGGCCCCTGCCTCAGCTACGTTGCCTTCAAGGCGAAGAGTCTTAGGGATCCGGAGACCAGGCGAACAGATGCTGAGGGTGGACTGCAGCAGGAAGGACTCTGGGACGGGCATGGCCAGTTGCCAGACCCCACGCGAAGAGGGCATCCGTGGAAGGACTCACAGGTCGCTTCTGTCCTTCAGGTAACAAGGAGGCCATGTGGCTGCACATCGATGCTGCCTACGCGGGCAGCGCCTTCATCTGCCCTGAGTTCCGGCCCCTTCTGAATGGAGTGGAGGTGGGTGTGCTCTTTAACAGGATCCCCTTTTCAAAAGCGCTATGTGGCCATTGGCTTCTCCTCGTAAGGATGTGACATTCAGTTTTTCAGCACATTATTTTCTAACCAATTCCAGTGATTTTGGGGGGTTACCTTCCTTATGACAGGAGTGAGAACCTCCCCGATGGGCAGCCTATCTTTCTGCCACACACCAGGCATCCACAGCTATTTTTCAGTCTGCACAAATCCTGCAGAGCTGTCTCAGTAGGAGAGGTTTTCACTCAGAAAGCTGTGGGAAAACATTGAGGAACAAAGTAAAACCTTAACGGGTGTCAGATCATGGAGGAATTTAAAATACCAACCCGCGATTCCATTTGGTCTCGTTCAATTCAGCAGCCATGTTCTGACCAATAGTGAATGAGGAGCTAGCAATGCATTGGAACGCCCTGTGCCATTTTCAGAACTTGTAAAATTGTGGCCTGGAATGCCAACTAAAAAACATCTGATGTTTTTGAAGAATAGCCAACAAAATTATGAACCAGTGCTCAGCCCCTCCCCAGGGCTGCGCGCGTAACGTGGTGCATGCACACAGCGTGGAGGCAGGACCTTGTAGACGTGTCTTGGATTCCCACAGGCTTTCATTGTTGGCAGCAGCTCACAGGGCTGGAAGGTCCTCCCTGCAGGAACTCAGATGTAAAGGCAATAAAGGGTGCATTTGGCAGCGACTTTGGCAGTGTGTCTGGGAAGGAGATATGTCAGAGGAGCCCCAGCAGCTGCTTTGTGCTCTGAGGCAGCGGCTCCGTGAGGCCTTGTCATGCATGGTGCAGGGATTAAGGGTGTGGTCTCTGGCGCTAGACCACGGTTTGGATGCCAGCTTTACTCTAGGATTCGCTGCATCCCCTTGGGCAGGTTAGGTATCCTCTCCACACCTCAGAAGATGGATTTAGTTGATGCCTCCTTCTAGGGCAGTGGTTCTCAACCTGTGGGTCGTGACCCCTTTGGGGGTTGAACGACCCTTTCACAGGGGTTGCCTAAGACCATCGGAAAACAAAAAGATACTTACATTACGATTTATAACAGTAGCAAAATTACAGTTACAGAGCAGCAACGAAAATAATTTCATGGTTGGGGGTCACCACAACATGAGGAACTGTATTAAGGGGTCGTGGCATTAGGAAGGTTGAGAACCGCTGTTCTAGGGGCTATTGTTAGGATCAGAGGAGTTAATCATATTTAAAGGGCTCCAAAACAGCATCTGGCACACAGTAAGCACTGTACATAAATTCGATGCTGTTATCATTTTTCACCATGGTCTGGAGAGACCGTCCCTCAAAACCTGTCTCCACTCTCCTGTCACCAATCCGTTTTCTAATTAAGGATTTGGAGCTCGTAATGCCGTAATACCGGGAACGTGAGGGTCCAAGCTGTAGAATACAAACGTCTGCATCTCTGAAAAGAACAAGGCCCTTAGTGCTAATGACTAAGTGGCATTCTGGTGTATGTCTCCAACACACGCATTCATTTGTTCCCTCATTCATTCAATAAGGACTTATTGATCACTGAATGCATGCCGGGGCTTAGATCAATCCTCGAGGTGTAAATGGAGCTTGCAAAGCCCCTGTGAATATCAGGGGATAGGTGAGAGGCTCTGCTAAGGGTGTACTGACACCCACCCTCTGTAGCTCACTGCTGATTGCTGGGTTTGTGGGTGTTTGGTGCTGGGAAAGGAAGAACGCTGTATGCCGGATAAATACCTTTATAATGGGGATGGTACCATCACTAGGAGTGTCTTTTCCTGCAGCTCAAGAGAAGGGCGAGGTGTTCCTGGGGGTCTGTGAGCCCCTCCTAGGCGTGGTCCTTTCTAAGGGTCAGGTTTAGGGTTTCCGACCTTTTCCTGCTACCCCCCTTTTTTCTTTCCCATGAACTTGAGGTTTCCCCTGTCCCGGGGGTGCCTCCTTGTCAGACCACCACAGCGGGGGATGGGGGATGGGGTAGCGGGATCCTATCAGCAGCAGACAGGATTTCATGCCTGATAATGAGGTTTCCATCTTCCTCCATGATTGCGACTCCTTCCTGTGTAGGGAGGGCCTCGCAGCTCAGCTGCTCAGATAAGGGGCTGCAATATCCTGCCCACCGCCCTGCCCTGCAGATAAGGGCCTTCTCTCTGTCAGCAGGAGGAAAATATCGCAGTTGGGAAATGAAAGAAGTTTAAACAGGTCAGCCCCCAGGAGCAAGCTAATAAAATTCTGGGCAAACAAAGCGTTCCTTTCACCTTTTGTTTCCTTTTATCAACAAATGAAACTCCTTGTAATTTCCTGTCTCTTCCTCAAAATTACCTTTATTGAAGCCTGGAAGGAAATTAATCTTCATCCCCAGAGTCGGCTGACATGCAAGGTTGTTACCAGCTGACCACCTGGCCCCTGGCCCCTCAGTGCCTCCTCAGGGCTCACCCCTAGAACTAATGGAAAGGAGGTATCCCAGAGCCCTGGGGAGATTTCCAGGTTTCCCATTAGGGCCTGGTGTGGCCACTGCCTTTATTTCTGCTTCAACTATGGATTCTGCCTGGTGGCCATGTCCCTGGCCCTCTAGGTGGACCCAGGTCCTATTCATCAGTCAGAGGACAAATGAGGACACGCATTTTGAAAACTGTACAAATTCAGCACTTATGACACCTTAGTGAAAGCACAGAGTGGCCCTGCTTGGCCACTTGATGCTTGAAATATCTTGTTTTCTGCTTGGAAATCGGCAGCACCTAAAACTGGTGAGTGATCCTAGAGGCAGTTGTTTGCAGGGGTCACCCACTGGGGACGCGAACCCCCATCTCTGACCCAAAGCTCCCCTCCGCCGACTGTTCTCCAGCCCCAAACCAGGTCAGCGTCTGCTTCCTGTTTCATGGGGTGATTTGTTGGTCCCACTTGAAAATGAATGAAGAGGTTCAGATGGGTCAGGCGGCTGCCCCAGCGAGTCCTGGAGCCCAGACCTTCCCCCTTGTCCCCACGTCTCCAGCCCCACGGGTGCAGTCACTGCACGTCCCGTCTGCATAGCCTGCTGTGTCCCTTGAAATGACACACTGATAATTGTCAAGTATGGCGTTTTGCCTTATCACTGTGACACATTCATAACTAACATGTCTTGTTTTTGTTTTGATTTTTCCTTGGCAGTTTGCAGATTCCTTTAACTTTAATCCTCATAAATGGCTTTTGGTGAATTTTGACTGTTCTGCCATGTGGTGAGTTTCTCTGTTCATTAGTCTTGAGAACGGCGTCTTGTGTGAGAGAAGCCGGCAGGTGGGGGTGCCAGGCGACGGGGCGGGGGGCACAAGCAGCTGCTGCCCACTGCGTGCTCCATCCTAACCCCTGGATGGGACCCCCGCCCTGATTGTACGCTGCGACCTACTGGGACCTACAGGTGCCAGACATGGGCACACGTGAGCACCAGGCCCCGGGAGCACACAGCACATTTGCTCACCAAATGCTTCTGGTTTGAAGAAACACTATGACAAGGTAAATTCCAGCACTGGATGCTATAAGGAGGTGACATACACGAGTGTCGGGCTGCTGGAGGGAAGGGCCTTCAGCCGCTGCTGAAACGGGTGCACACCGTCCTTGAGGCCAGGGATAGCCCGAGCCTGCCGTTTCCCGTAGCAGTGGGCTGGCATCTGAATTTTACATTTGAAATCATGTCTGCTCTTAGGTAGCACTCTGCTTCCTCGTTTATCCTCTCCTTCAGTCCCATCACAGCTCCACTGGCACAGGATCTGATGTCCCGACATTAAGGGGGTGGGGGTGGGACGCCTGGGGCCCTGAGGGGTTTAACCCTCCAGGGGGCACACAACCCACACCACAGCCACAGGTCTGTGCTGAATAGCAAAAGGGGCGAAATTTTAAAACCTAGGACTGAGGGAAAGGAGTCAGATAGAATTACATCTCTCACAGGATGGAGGTAAAGAACACGCGTGTGCAAAGCAACACACGTTTTTGTAAATGAAACGGCGCACATAGAACATGTCGGATTGTTACCCTGGACACAGGAGAAACTGGACACTGAGAGCTGGGGTTGGTGTGAATGAGGCAGAGTCAGGCCCCGGTTTTGTTTCGCTTTTGTCCAAGCGGTCGCTGACTCCACAGTCTTTCTGAATGCTGAAACTAGTCCTGGCTCTTAGTCCCGGCGTGCACGGCCAGAGGCCACAGGTGTAAGCTGGACCACAGCGTCCCTCTCCTGTGTGCAGGCAGCCGCCCCTCTGCCTGTCCGAGCAGGGGGCCTGCTGAGCACTGCTGTCCAGGTGGGACAGCACCGCCCGCATGTCTGCGGAGAGGTAGGACAACAAATGGGACACAGCAGGAGGGCTGACAATTGTGATCATTCTGGGGTGGAGTCCACGGAAGCAGCAAGCCCGAATGGACGAGAACCCCATGGATGCACGGGTCAGAAGCTCACCAGTGTATTTTTGAGAGAAAATCGCAGAAAATTGCACAGAGAAGATGATGCCACTTACGTTTACACATCATATGTTTATGTTGTTTAGAAACAAGCGAAACAACACCACAGATTACTTAGGGATTTGTATAGGAAATTCAGTGGAACCCTGTGGGCGAGATAAACCCCAGTGCAGCCCTGTGACCTCATCTGCGGTGGTGACGGGAGGGACGCCCACGAATTGAACTGATTGTGCATGTTTTGCTCATAAGCAGCGAGGTGGATAAATGACCATTTGTACCTTTCTGCAAGGTTTTAACGCTGCATATTTTTTTAATTAAAAACAACCAGCTGGAAGGTCATACTGGCCTCAATGGGAAGGGCAGTTTGATCTTCATGACAAAGGGGAGAGTTCTGCTGAGAGATGTAAATCTTCCTGCCCCTTTGTCTCGCGCTGCCCCCCTCTGTGTAAGGCCGGGCACAGAGCTTTCCCAAGTACAGAGAGACCCAAAGGGAATCCCTCCAGGGGTCCTCATGCAGTGGCCACCATGCTACAAAGTTCCCGTGCACACCTACACCAGCGCGACCTGTCCCCTCTGTGGGTCAGAGTCCACACCACACAGCCCCTTAATGCCGCCTTTAACACTCGGTAGGAATAACACCGCACCTGCCTTTCAGAAGCAAACCCCGCCTCTTGCCCTGCTCCTCGCTGGCACCCCAGCCTGCACCCTGTCTCAGGCTTGCTGGCTTTCGTCCCCCAGGGACTCTCCCATCTTGAAGACTTGCTTTCAAGCCTGAGCTACTGTCAGACTGACGCTTCTTCTCTAGTCTGCCCCGAAGATACTATTTGCCACAAAATTGCCTTGAGATGGTGTCCACGCTGCCAAATGAGGCAGACAGGCCATTGTCACAAAGCTGGGCCTGGAAGGACAGAGAGGAGACACCATCCTGCTGGGTTTCTGCTCCCGACGCCAGCCCTCCAGCTCTCCACATGCCCTGGGGTCCTGACACTGCCCCCCGGAAGTGGGCACACCCCACCGTGGAGGGCTCAGCCAGACAAGACCCCCCACCCCCCAGACACCAGTGGCTACAAAACCCGGGTTCCCACTACCCCCTACTCTTTCAGATAATTTGCCAGAACAACACAGAACTCAGGAAAGAGCTTTACTTACGTTTACTGGTTTATTAGAAACAAGGCAAATGAACAGCCAAATGAAAGAGACGGTCAGGATGAGGGGTGGGGTGGGGAGGGGGCACAGAGCTCCCCCCACCCCCCAGCATATAGATGTGTTCGGCAACCCAACGCTCTCTGAACCCTGTCATTTTAGGGGGTTCTATGGACGTGTCATTACGTGGCATGACGGATCACCTCATTGGCCATTGGTGGTGAACTCAGCCTCCAGCCCCTTCCGCTCCCAGAGACAAGGGGAGGGGCTCAACCTTCCAGCCTTCTGGGCAGGACTTGGTTTTCCAGGCCACCAGCCCCTGTCCTGAAGCCGGGAGCCCGGGCCACCTGTCACCTCCTTGGCATATAAAAGATGCTCTTCTCCCTGCACAGATCCAGGGGGTTAGGAGCTGTGTGCTAGGAACCAGAGGCGAAGAGCAAATATTCATTCATTATTATACCGCCCTCCCCCCCTCCCCCAGGTGCTCAGAGCTCTGGAGACACACGCAGTGCTGCAGTGACCCCAGGGGTGGTGAGAGCACAGCCGAGGGGCATGCGTGCAGAGCGGGGTCCCGGGAAGGGGCCCTGAAGCCAGGGTGCCTGAGCAGGGCCAGGTGGAAGGAGGGACAGGCGGCCAGGGCGTGGGGTCCCTCTGAAGTGTCTCCTCACGAAGCCCATCATCTGTTCTCTACAAACAGGGTGAAAAAGAGAGCAGACCTCACGGGGGCCTTTAAACTGGACCCGCTCTACCTGAAGCACAGCCACCAGGATTCAGGTAAGGGGGGCCCTTGCGTTCAGAGCTGCATTTGAAGCACCTAGAAGCCAGAGGCGAAGGTTCCGGCCCACAGAGGCATCCCCGCGGGCGCTGGGTGTGGGCTCAGGAAGGGCTGCCTCCTGAGGGAGGGCCGGTCCCGAGCCTCGGGCTCCGTCGTCCAGACGTGCTCATTGCCAGAGCGGGGAGCCGACAGGCCCCGAGGCGCACAGCACAGCTTCCAACAAGATGTGGACACCTCCCAAAACAATGACTGCCCCAGTGACCGTGACACGTGCGTCCACTTATGCCAGTGCCAGCCGGGGAAGAAAGGAAACCAGGAGCGTTGGGTGGGGGTGGGGGGTGAAGACAAAACTGGATAAGGCACACAAATGCCACCCTAGCGATCTGGCCTGGGGACCTGCCTTCTGTGCCTGGCACTGGTGGTGCCACAGTGACCAGGCCCAGCGCCCCCTAGGGGTGGGCAGAGAGGGGCATTAAGAAACCATTCTGCATGGCCCACGTGGCCCTGGTGGCCTGGCCCTGCCCGTCACCACACGCTGCAGCTCACCAGGTCTCAGCTAGGTGTCTCCTTCCTCTCATTACTGAGGTCCAGGACAAAAGTCTCCCTTTCAGGGACGTCTTCCCAGGCCTCTCTGTGTAAGCAGGCGCCCCCCTCTCAGCATCTCCATCTGTCACTTCACTCCGATGGCTCCTTTATGGCCTGTGACTCCAGCCACACACCTTCCCTCACTGGCCACCTCCTTACTGCCTTCTCTCCTACTGGCACCTAAGATCCTTGGGGGTGGTTGGGGTGGGGGCTGTCACCCCACAGCTCCCCACGAGAACAGTACCTGCCTGGACGGAGCGGGCAGCAACAGCGTGAGAGGTTAAGGTCACATCGCATCCCTACGTGTGTTCCGCATTTTTACGTACGGTGTCTCGTTGGATGCATTGCCACCCAGTGGTAGAACTGGGGCCAAAATAAATGGGACTTTTCTGTTTGTTAACAGAAAATTCTTTCACAACGCTGGTGACGGGGAAAAGTGGCCCCACTTGGTATATAGACTTTTCAGATAGATTCTTTCTTTATAAAAACTGTATGTTTAGGAAGCATGAGAGAGCAAATGGTGCGCCGGGAAGTTCCCATAACCCCACCCCCCAAATGCAGTCATGGTTACATTTGCTTGAATTTCTCACCCGTCCTCTCTTATGCGTTGTCTGGTTTCACTGTTTTTACTAGTTGCCACTTGCAAATTTAGAAGCTGCTCAGCCCGCAGATATGTTGTGTAGTTGTGAAGACTTATGGGGCACATTAAACGTATTAAGAAGTCCACCGTCATGGGGAGCTGCCAGCCGAGGGGCCTTGGCATGCTTTCTGGTGGCAGTGAACACTTGCGGGGACCTCCTAACTGAACCCGTCTTCAGCCCCCCATGGAGGGAGCAGCTTCACCGAGAGGCCGACTCCGTCTCATTAACCATGCGGTTTGGCTGGAGGGGCTACGCGTCTGAGCCCTTCCCTTAAAGCTTCCGTCGCACTGTCCAATGGTTTTCTACTGTGAAAGAGATGTCCTATCATTCTGCACTGTCCTTTACGTGGCCATTGAGCACCTGAGATGCGGCAAGTCTGACAGAACTCAATTTTTAACTTTATTTAATTTTAATGAAATATAGCCACATGTGGCTAGTGGCTATTGGGATGGTGCAGTGACATAAACCAAAAGGGAGGCCCACTCATTCTTCTTCATTCACGACGTCACCTGGGCTTTCGACACACCCTTTCTGAGTGCCGATTTCATGCCAACACACTTTTGGGTGCCGCGCATCCCTGTCAGGTCACTTCTGGTGACTGCTGTGGACGTTGGTATAACATCTCCCTTCCATGGGGTGTAAGGAAGAGGGGACGGGTTGGGAGCTGGCCGACTGTGTGACTTTGGGCTTCGTCTCAGGGTCCCTCATGGAGTAAGGAGGTTGGCCCTTGCAAAATGACCCTGCCGGCTGTCCCATCTCTGCCACTTTAGGACCCAAACTGAGGAGATGCCTGGTCTGCCCCGGCCAGACGGCAGTCAAGGAAGCACAATTAGCTGACCCTGGGTTTTCGTGTAAATACGGTGTACACCTGTCTGCACAGGGGCTCGAGAGCAGCCTATAAGGGTGATGGTGGATTGCGTCAGGTGGACAGCTTGTCCCAGCTGACCTCGTGAAGGCCGCTGTCCCCCTTCCAACCCCGCGATGGCTGCTTTAAGCAGGAGCGGAGACTGAACCGCCAACCAGCCGTTTTCATAGCCGCTGCGAAGCCCTTGCATCCAGGATAATGAAAATGACTCAGGGGCACTCACCGGTGCCTGCCCTGTGCCAGATACTGGACTGAGATCCGAGGATACGTAGACGCGCGCCCATCAAAAGTCTGAGTCTTTTTTATATTCTGATGGCTCTTTACATCGCACGTTCACCTTCCCACACGCAAATGAATGAATGAATGAATGAGGGCTTCCCTTGCCAATTCACTGCTAGAGGAGTCGTGGATTCTCATGCTCATGGAGATGCCGAGAGAAATGTATGGGGTCCCTTCATAATTCAGCATTTCCCGTTCGTGTTCGGGGCACCCTGCTCCCGGGGCTGCCCTTAAACCTCTGACCTTGAACGCCCAGCCCTCACTGGTCTTCCGCCTGGTTCAGGAGACAATGGACTGACCTTGAAGACGAGGATTGTTGGGCATGTTCTCAACCAGTGTGTGTCTAATGGCTCTTGTTTTCCTGTGTTTCTCTTTTCCAGGGCTTATCACTGACTACAGGGTAAGTGGGAGATGGTCTCGTGGAGCTCCAGGGCCCTGGCGATGCAAAATGTGATTGGGTACCACGTGCTGTCACGGCACCAGTTCCTGCTGCCTCCGCTTCCTTCATCTCACGATCAGGGTCCCACTAAGGGGGACACCATCTAACTGGGTCCTAACCAGGAAACCAGGCCAGGCAGTGGGCAGGTCACTGAGCCGCCACCCACAGGTCTCGGGTCGGCAGGAAATGGTCCCGCCAAAGAGGGGCAGGGACTCCGCACCCAGGCTCCTCCGAGGAGAACTTTACATCATGCTGCCCCTCTGTCCTGCACTGTTGCTGGGAGCCAGGAGCCCGCAGCCCGGGCAGAGGGAGCACCAAGCCAGTCATAACAAGGGCAGTCCCTTCCCACCCCCTCGGCAGGCAGCCTCCTTCTCCGCCAGGAGGTGCTGCGCTGCTCTGGCAGCTTCCGGAGGTGAGCAAGGCCAGTCCCTCCCTCCCGGACCCCAGGCTGCAGAGGGAGACAGAGGCACAGACAGTCACACACGCTGTGATGACCATCCTGCACGCTGCTGTGAGCTGCTATCCTGAGACACACCTGAAGCAGCCTGCTCCCCTCTGAGGGCTGCTTCTGGCTGAAGGGCGATGTTCCAACCCCTCAGATAGATAGCGGGGGAGGGGTGGCCTCCCAGGTGTTTGCTGCTTCCAGGGCAAACAAGAGGAGTGATGAGTCACAGGAGACCGGCCCCTCCCTCCTCCTGGCCCCTCCCTCCTCCTGGCTCCTCCCTCCTCCTGGCCCCTCCCTCCTCCTGGCTCCTCCCTCATCCTGACCCCTCCCTCCTCCTGGCCCCGCCCTCCTCCTGGCCCCGCCCTCCTCCTGGCCCCTCCCTCCTCNTCCCTCCTCCTGGCCCCGCCCTCCTCCTGGCCCCGCCCTCCTCCTGGCCCCTCCCTCCTCATGGCCCCTCCCTCCTCCTGGCTCCTCCCTCCTCCTGGCTCCTCCCTCCTCCTGGCTCCTCACCTTGGGCTCTCTGTGTTCTGTTCCAGCACTGGCAGCTACCGCTGGGCCGCAGGTTCCGCTCTTTGAAGCTGTGGTTTGTTTTCAGGATATACGGAGTCACCGGGCTGCAGGCCTACATCCGCAAGGTGACTGGGTCTGCATTCCTTACCTGGGAAGCCTCATGGAGGTCTTAGGGGACTTTGGGAACGAGTTAAGGTGTCCTAATAAGCAAGTTTGTGACAAGGGGCAGTTTGAGCCGTGGCGATGGGGGTATAGATAAGGCGGTCAATGTACAAGTGTGGATCTTTCAAGACACGTCCATCAAGACTGCAGGTTACCGGGTCCAGGAGGCGGTCAAAGTGAAAACCCCATGTAGCTGGTATTTTAGCCACATCAGCAAGGTGAAGTCAGCAATGGCAAAAGGAAGCACACACTAGGCTTCTCTCCAAGAACCTTCCAGAAAGGAGAAGGCTCGCGTTGGGGTGGGGACGACTACCCCACCTGTCATCAGCCTGGTGGTTCCCAAACGTGCCCCAGCCAGCAGCAGGGACCTGACTGGCTCTCAGGGTGGGTCCCCGCTGTGACGGACACTCAAGTGTGAGAACTAGCCCTCTTCTCCCGGCCCCATCACCGTTTCTTTTGTGTTTTTTTTTTTTTTTAATAAACAATCGAGGAAGCTGAGGCCTGAATATGTGCTGGGACTTGCCCAAGGCCCACCCAGTTAACTGGCCGCAGAAGGCCGGCTGTCTCCAGCTGGGTGCCTCCCATCCTAACGTCCCTTCTCAGCCGTGGCCCCATCTGGATGCACAGAGGTCCTCAGCCTTCACAGAAATGGGGCACATCTGCAGTTTCCAACTCTGGTGATAGTGACATGGCCAGCCCTTCCTTTGAAGTCTGGCTCTAGGGCCCGGCGAGTGGCTCAGTTGGTTAAGAGCTCGCTCAAGAGTTTGAGCTCTGAGCAACAGCAGTTCAAGTCCAGCCCGAGCTGAGCAGCCGCTGAGCTGCCAACAGGTAGCAGGATGGCTCAGCTAAAAAATAAAAAAATAAAAAATAAATAAAAATAAGTCCTGTCTCTGAGGCTTAGCGTCTGGGCTGGTGGAATGTCTCCAGGCCCCTCCCATGTGACAGGCCCCATGGCCCACACCTGCCCCACAAGGCAGATGTGGGGCAACCAGAGACAGCAGAATCAACCGGGGGCAGCAGAATCTATGTGGGGAGAGGTGGAAGGGGGTGTGTGTGCGAGTTTGTGGGTAAGGGAGCCCATTTGAGACCATGTTCTCAAATATAATGAGGATTCAGCTTTTGCGGGGAGGGTACCCAATCCTGCCTGACTTGAACAGTAGGGGACATTCAAGCCTGCCCCAGGCAGCTCGCTGTGAGGCTGGTCCCCGCTGTGGAGAATCCCCTGCCAGCTCTCAGTCTTTGCTGCCCTCTAGTGGCACCAGGTTTATTATGCGCCTGGGAACCGCTCATATAACCCAGGTGCTCATAGTCCCAACCTCGCTGAGCCCCAGTAGTTAGGCTCAGGTGCTCCTGGAGCACCACCACTAACAGCAACTTGCTGAGCACCTGGGTTCAGAATAAGCAAGACGTACTCATACAGCTAGACCATGGAGAGCTCGCTCTCAGATCGTGTACTATCTGAATCAGTTTTTGAGCTCCATACACATCTAGAAGTCAAGTGAGGTGACATTATTCAGTGAGAGGAAGGCAGTTCTCGAATGGGACGGGGACCGACATAGTCTCATCTCTCAGTGATGGCAAAAGCTGTCAAGTAACAAACAGCCATAGCGACCGAGAAACTGAAGCTCTGGCACTGGGCAGCTGTGTGGGAGTACGGCCCCAGTTTCCTAATCTGTGAAATGGGTATACTCGTTGCCTCGCTGGTGAGGTGGGCTATGGTGAGGCTGGCACAGTGGAGAAGCATCAGCACTTGCCTAGCACAGAGGGGCTATTCAGCAGCTGCTAGCCACCATCTCTTTTCTACAATGCTCAAATGCCTCTTCGCAATATTTACTCTAAAATTATTTTTAAAAAATTGCTTTGGTGGGGTAAAAACAGTCCCCTGAGCAGAAGACGGTTGGTGTTTTTCTGAAGACACTACCCTTTTCCCCTGGTAACACTTTTTTTTTTTTCTCAACCTGTTTGGGAACAGCTGGTGAGTGGATGACATAAACACTTGAAGAAAACGGCTAAAAGCACACAAATGAATTACAGATGGGCAGTCTAACAAGCTTTTCTAGGTGGTTAGCTCTGAATTAAGTCGTGACGAGCCGCTCAGACGCATTTCCCTTCCTTTTCCAGCACGTCCAGCTGGCTCACGAGTTTGAGTCTTTAGTGAACCAGGACCCTCGCTTTGAAATCTGTGCGGAAGTCACTTTGGGGCTGATCTGCTTTCGGCTAAAGGTATGCTTCAGTCTATTTTACCTTCTTCATTTTTTTGAATGTGACAGAGGAGTATCACTTATTACCTCCATGCTCAAAAACTTGCATGAGGTCCCCAGGGAGGAGGGACTTCGGGTGCACTTTCCAGTCTGCCTTGTAGGCGTCCCAGGCTGACCCCACCTAACACACAGTCTCCTCTAGGCACTGTTCACGCGTCCTCAGCCATACCGGACACTCCTTGCTTGCTCACCTTCCCCTCCATCTGTCCATCTCGGCACAGGGCTTGGGCCAGTTTTGAGTATCCGCAGGTGTTCACCTGGGCAGAACTGGACTCTCCTTGTCCCACTGTCCTTCCTGCCCCTCGACTCTCAAGACAGAGCAAGGAAACAAAGAACACAATCTTGTGAGGGTCACCTGACCGAGGATGCAAGGCCCCAAGTCCAGCCCCTTCTGTGTGGACTGTACAGCGTACGGGGGATGGGGTCACTGCCTAGAAACAGAAGAAAGGCTGAGGGGAGGATGTGAAGAGTAATACGAACGGCCGCTGAGGAGGCAGCGCCCTGGCAGAAAGGATGGCTTCCCATGGTCTGTGTGATACAGCCTTCCATCCGGTCCAGACAGGGGGATGGTGGGGCTCTGGGCCCCCTGCCCCAGGCTGGGGGCTGCTCCCTACTGGAGGGGAGTCCACAGCAGTCCCTTGGTCCCACAGTTCACAGGCCAGTTCCCAGATTCTATACTGGCAACAAGTTGACTGTTACGCTTCATTTTGTATATTGTTGAGCATTTCCTCTATGTGTTCCAGTGAGACCCCTTCGCTGCTGCCATTAGAAACCCAGGTTTGCTGTTTAAGTTCATCAATTTATAGACACCATATCTAAGAATCTTTATTTTTTTTCTTAAAAAACATGGACCATGGAAGGGTCATCTTTTGACAGCACATTACACCCAGAAGCAATTGTCTTGTAGGGCAAGGCTGCAGTCTGTTTGGGCCACGGAGCTATTATTTCATTGAAGTTTTACCATTGTAAATGACCGGCGAGTGGTCAGGTGGCTTCTTTTGCTGACATGTGGTCCTGCTTTCTTGATCCGTTCAGGGTTCCAACAAACTGAATGAAGCTCTTCTGGAAAGAATAAACGGTGTCAAGAAAATCCACCTGGTCCCATGTCACCTCCGAGACAAGTTTGTGTTGCGCTTAGCCATCTGCTCCCGCGTTGTGGAGTCTGCCCACGTGCAGCTGGCCTGGGAGCACATCAGAGAGCTGGCAACGGACCTGCTGGCAGCAGGGATGGAGTAAAAGGTGAGTGGCTGTAGGTAAGCTAAGTCCTCACTACTAAGACCAGTTTCCTCCACGTAAAAAGAGGATGATGACACCATACCCTGACCAGCCTGGAGAGGCAGAAGGAACTAATAAGGGTCCTTTAGAACCTCGGACAGACTTTGACTTTGTATCTTTCTATGCGACTATCAATGGTGTATTTCTATAACTTCCCCTCAGGTTTCTCCTGTGTTCTTTGAGGCAACTTACTATCATAACGAGCTTATACATTAAACTGGCAAACTGTAGGTAAATGAAAATGAATGAAGACATTACAAAAGGGAATTTGACATGATGCGTGACTTGCTGTCAGGGGGAACCAAGTTCTCGATGGTTTAGCAGCGGTTCTCAACCTTCCTAAAGCCGTGACCCTTAATACAGTTCCTCATGTTGTGGTGACCCCCAACCATAAAATGATTTTCGTTGCTACTCTATAACTTTTTTGCTACTATAAAAATTTTGCTACTGTTATGAATCGTAATGTAAATATCTCTTTGTTTTCTGATGGTCTTAGGCGACCCCTGTGAAAGGGTCGTTCGACCCCCAAAGGGGTCGCGACCCACAGGTTGAGAAGCGCTGATTTAGAGGAAGGAAACATTTAGGATTCTGGGTTTCTTACAGCTGGGAAGGATTTACTGTGCATCAGTGAAAGAATCCCCAAGAAAGCTTGTGGTTACCTTGTAAGGAAAACACCTACACAGATTCAGCATTGGTGAGAGAGAGGGGATTTAAAACCATGTTGGAGCCACAGCAACTGTAAACGCTTTCTCATTAGATTATTTTAAGAACGTCAGTCCATTGGAGTTTGTCTACCTTCTTCGTTGCTTTACCTTTCTGGCCCATTTTAGGGGAGGCAGGTGGCACCTCTGTGACCATCTTGGTAGCTCCTACTTCTCTCTACTTCTCTGTCTCTGCTCTGGTTTCCCCATTGCCCATTTGTCGTAACTCTTGGGGGATGCAGAACCTACGTGTGTGATAAAATGATTTCACTGATGGCCTACAACTGTATCTTCTTTGCTCTTAATTTTAACTGTGAACACCTGAAATATTATAGCACACACACACAAAAAAAATCAAAAGTTAAAAATTGTATTTCATTTATGTGAGAGGCCTGCCCATGGCTCCTGGCCTGTCAGGTGGGTGGCTCAGTCAAGGCATGTCCTGAAGCACCAGATCCTTTTCCCAGCATGACAAGGACATTTCTGAGAGTCCACAGCTCGTGAGCTGAGTGGGACCACCCTGCCCAGAGCAAGTGCAAAGTCGTAACTAAAGCATCTCTGGAAGGTGCTGGGCAGAGGCTCAGATTGTCGTTATTCCATTGCTCTGAGATATGATGTGTGTGTGTGTGTGTGTGTGTGTGTGTGTGTGTGTGTGTGTGTGTGTGTGCAGGCGGGGGGGATAACTGCTATACAATATATATTGAAACAAAACAGAGCCATGTGAGGCAAACACTCCTGACGAGCGATTTTGCAACCCTACTCATATGTTCGCACGTATCGCATCAGGATGCATCATACCATGATCGTGTTCCCATGTGCCCACAACACACAGAGACTAGCGCTCTGAAAAATGACCAGAAACAAAGGCACATGTCTGACAGAAATGCCAGATACCGTGGAGTCATTATACTAGCTAGCACTTCGAAAGGTAAAAATAGGATTTAATTTTTTTAATGCTGGATATAATAGTAAATCACAATGCACTTATGCTGTTTTGACCAGATTAATTAGAGCAATGAAAATATTAATACCATGGGTTTACTTGTGTGTAGTTGAAGCTATCAGATCAAACCCATGTGATCATAGTTCTGACAGAAAGGAGGGGGAATTGTCCCTATGTTACAGAGCGTAGAAAAAAGAGCACAGGTTCCAGCTCATATTGTCAAATGTGTCAGAGAGGAGCTGGGTCAGCAATAAACACTCATTTCATCCAGTTCAAACGCTTTTACACTGCACATCATCTCACTGGAGAAATTGTATAGCCCCTCTGTGTTCAAATGAGAAGTATACAAAATTCTGATTCCTTAATTTTTTTTAATGTACTCATATGTTCATGTTATTTTTTTCCCCTGTAGGGATCAAAAGCTGAAAAGAAGTATGTCTGAAAACTGGAAGGAGAGGAAAATAAGCACCACCCTGGCTCCGTGGAACCAAGCCTGTAGGCGGCTCCATGTTTCTTTGTCCAGTTACCCAGACGCTTGTGATTATGTCTGTTCAGTCTCTCATCAAAGAATATTATTTGCTGTATGAAAACTTAATCCTAGTGGATATAGCTTTCATTCATTAGCCTGTGATTTTTGTTGATTAAAAAAAAAGTCATAGGTTTTCTTGCTCTTGAAGTTGTCATTGGTGGGAAAGGCTTATTGAACTATTTTTCAGGGCAGTCTCTGATTATGGGACTTGAGGTTATACCTGTGGTCTTTAAATTGTTCTGTCCCCTGGCACCGTGCTGAATAAACCATTTGAAATGCAATGTTAACTGTGTCTGGTGTGCACTCTGCTCTACAAACTGATGGTTGTGATATGGACTTATCCTTTCCAAAGAGCCAACAATATGACATCCTTGGATATTAGTTTATTCAACAAATGTTTCTTGAGTGCCTAGTATCTGTCAGGCACTGTTTTAGATACTTTAACAACATGCAAGTTTTACTTGGAGACGACTCCAACTTCTAAAGAAATAAATAGCAATATTAACGTGCATAGAAAGTAGAAACACCATCAAAAGTGTGGGCTAATTTTCAGTCATTTAGATGTCACATGTGTTAGTTGCGACTCAACACTCATTTTCTCCATCCCTGGCTCCTGAGAGACACTTTCTCAAGAAAAGATAAACACAGGGCCCGCTGGGCCCAGACAGGAGGACAGCTGCCAGGGCTTCCTGGGAAATGCCATCTTCCTTTTTCCAAGAGAGAAGTATTCAGGGGAACAGGTCCTTCCCCACTTTGGCCCCTTCTTCCAGCTTTAAATACGTTGTGTGAGGCTGTGTTCCTTGGATCGTGGGGGTCCTCTTGGAACAAAGGGGTGACAAGCCCAGAGAGGAAAATCCACTGGGGAGAAGATGGCAGAATGGAAAGATGGTCCTCATGACATCCTTAGGTCGTGTCATCAGACCTGGAGCTGCCAACCTGCAGACTTATGTGACATAACGACACTAATTAGCGCCTAGATCGCTATTAGTGGCTATTCTGTTACTTGGTCTGAAATCGCAGTTCACTAAACTAATCGAAATATGGTTCTGTTTTCTGAAGCCCAAGTCCAAAGTAATAGTGGAGTGCTTCTCAGTCTTCCACGGACGTGTCCCTCACGGGCTCAGGCGGGAAAAGGGCTGTGCTGGCTGTGGGGTGGATGTGAGCTGCGGCACTCAGAGCAGGTGTTCCAATTTCCTTATTCTGTCTTTAAAAAGCGCGTCGGCTTTGCACCCACTCTACACAAACCTCAGGCGGTAACAGGTACCTACACACCCAGCGGAGGGGAGGGGCCAGTCTCACAGGACCGCGGGGACCATCAAGGACCGAGGCCAGGTGCGCCCAGGTGAGCGCCTTGCATGGGAACTCTCTGAATTCAGTTCACGTCGGCGGCTGTGTGTCTTTATATGGAAGGACTTTAAGAGCGGAGCTATGCGCAATGAAAGGCAGATAGTTGACGTTACCTAACCCCGTGCTGGCTGCACAGCTGGCGCGACTGCTCTAGCAGAGCCCGCGCAGTCAGCCTCATCCAGCTGCAGGAGCCCGAGCCCCGCCCACCGCCCCGCCCACCGCGCGCGCCCTCGCTCCGCCCCACGCAAGCACGCACGCACGCACGCACGCAGCGGCCCGAGCCCGTCAGCAGCGAGCCCACGCACAGCGGTCCGCGCGCTTTTCGGAGGCTGCAGGTAAGCGGGGAGACGGGGAGGCGCGGTGGAGCCGCAGCCGGGCCCGGGCGGGAGCGGGAGCGGGAGGCGCGGAGGGGCCAGCGCCGCCCCCGCGGACCCCTCCGGGGCGGCCGGCGGGGTGCGGCCTTCTCGGGCCGCTGGGGGAGGGCCGGAGCGCGGGAGCGTTTCTGGCAGTGGGCGTGCCCGCCGCGCGGTCAGGTGACCCAGCTCTTCGGGGAGGGGGCGCTGGAGGCTGCGGGGAAGCCGGCGTCCCGGCCGGGCCGCCTTGGGCTGCGAAAGCCGGATGGTTCTGATGGCCGAGGCCTTTCACGGTGTGAACTCGCTGGTTCTCTGGGCGGCGGTGGTCGCGGCCTGTGTGCGGCTTGCAGGAGCCTCGCTCTGCCCCGCCGGCCGCCTGCCTGCAGCCCCGCCCGGCGACCTGAGAGCGGGCGGCCGCCTCTGGGATCGGCAAGGGGGCGGATACGCTCAGGAGTGGCTGTTGTGAGGAATGAGTGACGTCTGAGGCGTCCTTTCTAAGTGCTGAGCGCTGTTGGGAGCGTTTTGCGGACGGAAGAGCCCCTTTGGGCTAAGGAATGCCGCTGTGGCCCTGAGACGGAGGGTCCGGGCTGGCTGGCTGGCGGCCGCGACGCGAGCCCCGTGCGGCTTGCTTGGCCTCTGCGGATGTTGCAAGTTCCATACGGGGCCGGCGCACTGGTTTTAAATGTAATAGAAAGCAGTTCCTACCTGCCGAAGTCAGCTAGTTAGACGAGTCACCTTCTTACAGGAAGCAGGAAATTATCAAAATAGAAAAACAACCGAAATGCAGTTCATATGTCAGTGCTAGCGAAGGACAGTTTTTAGAGCTAGGAAACGCCATAAAGATTAAAGTGACTTGGCAATGCCAGCTGGGACGGTGGCTGTGTCATTGTGCTGGCGGATCAGCTATTGGTTTGCTGTCCGTATCCATGTTTGTGGGGTAAGTGATTGAGTTGGAAGGAAGAAGTAACCCCTGGGAGGTGAATATGGAAGAAAACGGTGAAGGAGGAAAGGAACGGGGCGGGTGTTCTGGGAACAGGGACTAGAACTCAGCTGTTGGAGGGATTCCAGGATTGCAGATGGTAAAGTGGAATGAAGCCCTGGAGAGGAAGAGCGTGTTCATAGTGATGGGGAAGTTTGTCATAAATGTCCAAGTCACCTCTCTTTAAATTTCCCATTTCCATATTGCGTCTCGTGTTAGAACCGTGTGGTGGAAAAAGGGATGCTCTGCTTGTCAAGAGACGTCGGTTCTAGTTTTGACTCTACAGTAAAACCTTGGATTGCGAGTAACTTGTTCTGCGAGTGCTCTGCAAGACGAGCAAACACTTCTAATAAATTTTAACTTGACAAACGAGTGATGTCTTGCAATAGGAGTAGTACGTGATGCCAAACGTCACATGATCACAACTGAGCCAATGGTGGTTCTCTCTCTCTCGCTGCGGGATTGTGGGTGATCGTCTCCCATGCTCAAAAGCTTGGTCTCAAGCCATGGTGTTTGGCGGAAATCAGTGATTTTTCAGAACATTGGAAGGTACCCACAACTGGCACTAGTATATTTTTTGTCGCTTCAAAGCACCTATGGACAGTCCTTTGCTTTTCCATACAAGAGTAAGCTTAGGAATGCTTTGCTTCGTTCTAGGTCAGGCTGCCGGCAGATATAGACCCTTCCCTCTGCTGCCTTATTGCCAGTTACATTAAATACAGTATATGACAAGAGTTTATTAATACTGTACTGTAGTCAACATCCGTGCGAGTGTATACAATGGCCCCCATGCAGAAAAAGGTTGAAAAGAAAGGCGGTAAGAAGAAGGAGATGATTACGGTGGAAGTTAAGAAGGAAATCATTGAGAAGTACGAACGAGGTATGCGAGTGGCCGAAATTGCAAGATTTTATAAGAAGTCTACGTCGACCATTTGTACAATATTAAAGAAGAAAGAAGAAATAAGGGGGCTAGATGCAGCCAAAGGAGTCACGAGAATATCAAAGCAACGGCCGCGGGTTCTGGAAGATGTAGAAAAGCTGCTTCTGGTTTGGATAAACGAGAAGCAACTAGCAGGTGATACTGTGACCGAGAACTTTATCTGCGAGAAGGCAAAGGCCTTGTACACTGACCTCGTAAGTAAACTGCCAGGTACGTCAACAGAAAACGAAGAAGGCTTCAAGGCAAGCAGGGGATGGTTTGATAACTTTAAGAGGAGAAGTGGCATCCATAGTGTTGTGAGGCATAGAGAGGCTGTGAGTTCGGACGCCTGGGATGGGGTCACCAAGAGAACCCTCAATTCTGCTTGGAGAAAACTGTGGCTTGATTGCGTTCTTGGACATGACTTAGAGGGGCTTGCTCATGAACAGGAGCCGCCAGTTGTCGATGAAGTTGTGTCCTTGGGGAAGACCATGGGGCTGGAGGTGAATGAGGACGACATTCAAGAGCTGGTGGAGGAACGTGGCCAGGAGCTGACCACCGACGAACTGATGGATCTACGCCGTGAGCAACAGCAAGAGGTTATGGAGATCTCGTCTTCGGAGGAAGAGGAGCAAAAGGCGGAGGAATTGCCCACTTCAGAGGAGATTAGGAAGATGTGTAAAATGTGGGAAACAGTGCAAAATTTTGTAGAAAAACATCACCCGAATAAGGCTGAAGCAGTGCGAGCGATGAATCTGTTTAACGACAATGCAATGTCACATTTCCGCAAAATCCTCAAAAGGAGGCAAAAGCAAATGTCATTGGATAGGTTCCCTGTTAAAGTTGCACGAAAAGAAAAAGATTCCATTGAGCCAATAGATAGCAGTGATTCCATTAGCGATAGTGAGAGTCGTCCTACACAATAACCCTCCTCTCTCGTCTCCCTCACACCAGCCACGAAGGTTTTCAAAGGTAAGTGCATGTTAATTTGTTTATTTTTCTTTATATTTTGTATCGTCTGTATTATTTTGTATTATATTACAGTATTTGTAATCACTTTTTGTAATCATTTTTATATGAATATTTTTGGGTTGTGGAATGAATCATCTGAGTTTCCATTATTTCTTATGGGGAAATTCGCTTTGATATACAAGTGCTTTGGATTACAAGCATGTTTCCAGAACGAATTATGCTCGCAAACCAAGGTTTTACTGTACTCGGTTTTATAGTTTTAAGCAAATTACAATCTGTCTGGGTCTTAAGTGTCTTTATTTTTTTCAACAAAGACTTATGAATGCCTATGTACAGTGTCACAGATTCTTTGGAGGGCATTATGGGAGATACAAACTATTAAATATGGCTCTTGCACTAAAAGAACCTACTGATTCTTAAGCTGTATTTATAGGTAATTTGGAAAGTAAATTAAAATACATGAGTTCTTGGTTTTTACTTTATTGCAATGCCTTTAGGAAACTTAAAAATTGCCTTACAAATTTTTCTTGTGCGTTGACAGGTAAGTTCTGCACATCCAGCAGCATGATGCATTCATCTATACTTGTGTTAAATAAATTAAAAATGTAAGGAGGCTTTTAAAATTAACTTGTAAGAAGAAATCTAAAATGAAAGCACTTTACTAGCAGACTGTTTAACCTATTCTCATATTTCATTTGTCATGACAATTTCACCTCTTAATACTTCATGTGAATTTGGAAAATTGTGAGCGATTCTCGGGCATCCCATTTTAAGTGCTAGTTCTGAATAAGTCTGTAAAAGCATTTAGTAATGATGGTCGTTCATGTTTTTGATCCATGCTGCTGTGACCTTTGGTGGTAGCGTCAGGGAGCACCTTGCTCAAGGTGAAATGCGTCCTGTCTGCAGTGAAACCGCCTGTGTGCAAATTCTGCACTGTGCTAATTTGCTCTGTGATCCAGTAAGTTCCTTGACACTCTCAGCCCCAGTTTCCACATTTGTGCATATTGCTGATAATAGTAGTTTTCAGGGCATCTTTATATTCATTATTTGACTTGATTCTCACCGTGATTTCACTCACTTTACAGATAAAACTGAAGACTCGAAAGTAAGAAGCTTGCTTAAGATCATTCATCTAATTTTTCTTGGAGATCACAATTAAAGCCCAGGCTTGGTTTGTGTTCCATTGTTTTTCCGTATTGCCTTTCTTTTGCTGATTAATTTTAAATCATTTCCTAAACCGTATGAAAGCTTTCCCTATTTGCAGGGGAAATTATTATATAACTAAAGGGTTTAACCCATAACGAAGCATTATTAAGTTGGGTGTTTAATCTTTTATATCTTGAATGCTTGAGATTTATGATTAGCTGGATAGTTCCCTTGCAAATGGTCTGTCTGTGTAAATTTACCTAATAAATGAAAAATCCAGTACACCTTCCTTCAGATGAGCTGAGATTTACAAAGTACATTTGAAGTATCATCTTTTTTTTCTTCTTCTTACTGATTCTTCTTCAGTTTTGTCATTCGTTATAGAACCGCTAACATGCAGGCCTCCAGTGCTAGGTGTGTGCACCTGAGTGAATGGCAGAAGAACTACTTTGCAGTTACATCTGGTGCGTGTACAGCAGGACAGAAGGCAGACGCCTACCGTGCCCAGATACTGCGCATTCAGTATGCCTGGGCGAACTCTGAGATCTCCCAGGCCTGTGCTGCCAAACTGTTCAGAAAATATGCGGAGAAATATTCTGCAATAATTGACTCTGACAATGCTGAAACTGGCTTGAACAACTACGCGGAAAACATTTTAACTTCAGCAAGATCTCAGCAAACTGACAGTGACAAGTGGCAGTCTGGGTTGTCAATAAGTAATGTTTTCAAAATGAGTAGCGTCCAGGAGATGATGCGAGCTGGCAGGAAGTTCAGAGACTCCGTGGTGGCACCCGCCGGCGCATCGGCTGTGGTCCATCCAGGGGCCGTTGCCTTCAAGCCTCATCAGTTCAGTGTTTGTGGTGGTTCTGGGGAGAATGAGTCCTTAAGTAACTCAGCTCATGGTGCAGACAGGACCCAAGATGTCCCAGAGAGCAGTCGTTTGAAGGGCCCTCAGAGTGCCCAGCCACCCCCGATGACCAACACCCCGAAGACCTGTCCCACATTCTCAGCACCTTTTGGTGAATTGACCACTGCGAAATGCCATGACACACCATTGTTTGGGAGTGTCAGAAAGGAAGACAGCAAGTCTCCAAAAGCCAGCACAGGACTGAATATGTTCTCATCTGATCGGTCTCGTTTACCTTCTGGCTGTGAAAATCCATGGGAAAGGAAAGCTTTCTATGGTGCTGGTGCCATTGATGCTCTGTCCACCCCAATACCGAATAATGCTTTCAGTAAATCAGAAAATAACGGCCAGAGAGAGGAGAGCGGCCTGCCAACCTTTAAAACTGCCAAAGAACAATTATGGGTAGACCAGCAAAAAAAGCACCAGCAACCCCAGCGTGCATCAGGGTCTTCGTATGGTGGTATAAAAAAGTCTCTGGGAGCCAGTAGGTCCCGAGGGATATTTGGCAAATTCGTCCCTCCTGTGCCTAGGCAAGACGGGGGGGACCCGAGCGGGGGTATGCAGTGTAAGCCCGACGGTGCTGGGCCTCCAGAACCAGTGCATCTGGTAGATGAGCGTCTCAGGAACTTGGAGCCAAAGATGATTGAACTGATTATGAATGAGATTATGGATCGTGGGCCCCCCGTAAACTGGGAAGATATTGCAGGGGTAGAGTTTGCCAAAGCCACAATCAAAGAGATAGTTGTGTGGCCCATGCTGAGGCCGGACATCTTTACTGGTTTGCGAGGCCCCCCGAAAGGAATTCTGCTCTTTGGCCCTCCTGGGACTGGCAAAACTCTGATTGGCAAGTGCATCGCTAGTCAGTCCGGGGCGACGTTCTTCAGCATCTCCGCCTCCTCCTTGACCTCCAAGTGGGTGGGTGAGGGGGAGAAGATGGTCCGTGCGTTGTTTGCTGTCGCGAGGTGTCAGCAGCCAGCTGTGATATTTATTGATGAAATCGATTCTCTGTTATCTCAGAGGGCAGATGGTGAGCATGAGTCTTCCAGGAGGATAAAAACCGAGTTTCTCGTTCAGTTGGACGGGGCGACCACATCTTCTGAAGACCGTATTCTAGTGGTGGGAGCAACCAATCGGCCTCAAGAGATTGATGAGGCCGCCCGGAGAAGGTTGGTCAAGAGGCTTTACATTCCCCTCCCAGAAGCTTCAGCCAGGAAACAGATAGTAACGAGCCTGATGTCCAAGGAGCAGTGTAGCCTCAGCGAGGATGAAGTTGAGCTGGTCGTGCAGCAGTCTGACGGGTTCTCGGGTGCAGACATGACACAGCTTTGCAGAGAGGCATCCCTTGGCCCCATCCGCAGCTTGCAGACAGCTGACATCGCCACAATCACACCAGACCAAGTTCCACCAATAGCTTACGTTGATTTTGAAAATGCTTTCAGGACTGTGCGACCGAGCGTGTCTCCAAAAGACTTGGAGCTCTATGAAAACTGGAACAAAACTTTTGGTAGTGGAAAGTAAATGGGACGCCTTAACTTAAAAGATGGCTTCCTCGTAGTGGTCTTCCCATTCTGTAGCATAGGAAACTGGGAATTTATTCATTGTACTTTTGGTGTGTATTCCAAATTTGATACCTCAAATAGAATAGCAAGAGCTCAGATTTCACAACTGATTGACTCAGCCTATATGCTAAGAGAAGCTTGGTTTTTCTCCAGTTATGACCTGATGCGTGTGCCTGTTCATGCAGAACACGAAGGAACTTTTTTTGTTTTGTTTCTAATAGGTCTTTGTTTTCAAGATTTATAACGTGATGAATAGTGAGCTCAAATTGAAACTTTCAAAAATATTATTTGTATATGAGGATGTATGTTTTATATACATGTTTTATTGGAAAAAGTTTCTTCTGAAGACCACATAATTCTTAGTGTTGGCTAGTGTAGTGGTTTACATTTGAAACAACATTGCTTAATAAATTTAAGATCTCACGTAAAGCTGGAGTGAAAACACCAGTTTCTTTTCGTCTGGTTTGTAAATCTTACTGTTTTCTTCCCTTACTGGGACTACCTAACAAAGCATGTTCAGCGATAGCAAAGTGTAATCTGGTATCAGACACACCATAGAACTGACAGGTGAAGAATGTTTTCCAGGGCGTGGGTAATGTCTGTCAACATTTTCTTTGACACTGTTTCAAGGCCTGGAGTGTTGATTGGTCTCTTTCAAAAATAAATGTTTGCCTTTTTTATAATGGACTGTTCTGTTTTATAAATAATACATGTTCATTGTGGAAACATTAGAAAGTAAAGATGAACAAAAAGAAGAAAATAGAAACCACTGTTGTCCCGCCGCTTTGGAAACACTGTGACGTCTGAGATTGGTTGTTTGCAGGGCTTTATACAGGAGTGGGACGGTACTGCACGGTCCCTTGTGGAGCCTGATCTTTAACGTGTATCATCGCCATTCTCCAAGTTCACGTATGTCTGCGGCGGCTTCCCTTATAGGACTGCCTGGGCTTCCATTGTACGGAGGGACTGTAATTTAGGGCATCCGGGACATGAGACTGTCTTCCTTTCGTGATTGTAAACAAGTAAATTGAATGCCTTAGTGGTCTTGTACTCCCTTTATGCCAGCCACACGCCTTCACACATGGAGCCAGAAACATCAGAATGTAAAATTAGAAACTAAAAGTTATTAAAACACTAGCAAAAATGTGAAAATATTGACAGTACACAGTGTTAGTAAAGATTTGGAAAGTACCCTGGTTGGGGAGAGGACTGCTCAGTCTAGTCTTTCTGGAGGGCAGTTTCATCTCTGCCCCAAACTGATTCCGCTCCTGGATATCTGTACTATGCGGATAGGTGCACTGAAACATTTCAGTTTAGGAAACCATAGATAATAAATGCCCCTCAGTGGAGAATTGTTAAATCCACTCCATGGGGTTGTACACAGATGTATGTACGTACCAATAGGGCGAGAGCCCAGGACGCTGTTGTTCAGTAAAAGAAGCAGGTTGCATAAGTGCTCATAATGTGTACCTGTGAGTAGAGGCATGCGTAAAAGCCCCAGGAGGGTGTCCCCTAACGAGGGCTTCCCTCCGGGAGTGGGTGGGGCGGAGATTTCCCATATCTGACTTACACTCAGTGTCGTTGCTCTGACTGTTTTCAACAATGTACTCTTAAAAAGACTCAAATAGTATTTTAAAGTATTAAACATAGGATTGTTAATTAACTTTTTTTTTTTGGTGCCAGTAGGTTAGTTAGTAAGCGATGGGGAGGCAAGGGGTAAGAATTAAAAGCCCCCATTATAAATTTCTCTTAGTAAACATGGATTGCATGTGAAAATGGGGCTGAAAAGATAACCAAATGGTATATAAATCTTTAAAAAACAGGTTGGAAGTCCATGTTTTGCACATATGTGATTGTATTTAGAAGTAAACCTCTCAGAATCAGAATCCATAGCAAGTAGTCCTTCATCCAACTCCAAATTGAGCAAAACTGTCAAAATTGCTTTAAAAAGTAGTGAGGCTCATACAGATTTCTTCTGCATTTTAAGGAACCAAACCCGTTTTACAAAGGAATCTTTGAGCAAGCAACATAGATGCGTGCCACTACCGCTGTGACCATAGAAGTGGATAAATTCCATTTTACCAGAGTTCAGGGTTACAGATGATGTTGAATTCATATCTGGAAGAAACAGTCTGACCCTGTACATGGTTCTGACTCAGTGGTACACAGCAACCCCGGATGTGTAAGAAGCTTCTGGAAACAATTTCACAAAATATAGAAAATTGCTGTAAAACTAGGGCACGGTTGCAATTTAAGGGAAATGGTGCAGATAAATCTATTTTAATGGATAAGCTTAGTAGATGCAAAATAAATATGTCAGTACTTCATTATTTATTCCTTTCAACCGATCTAAATTAGAGTGGAAAATGCACACAATATCTACTCTGCAATTGTGCACATAGAAATGAAAAAAAAATTGTTTTTCATGAACCGTTTTAGTATTTTGGAAAAGTTTAATCCTGCTGTGTAATTAATTTCAAAGGTTCCTTCTGACTCAGTTCCACTGTGATCTGTTGTGCACCTTTTGTGTCAGACGTATCCCTTGGCTGCCAAGTTGCTCACCACGGAATGGCCTTCACAGCTTCTCTTTCAATTAAGTGAATCTTTTTTTGATGGATCATAGGGTCAGTGTTTTCATTCAACAAAAAACAGGTTAGCGATATTGGGCCAAGAGATCGGCCTGGCATCACTGCCAGACAAAGGGGCAGTGGGTCATGAGCCAACCCATGTGCCCTCAAAAGGCTCAGTGGCCCTGGGTCATCGAGCAGTGTGGTGAGCGATGCGCAGCATTTGTCCTGGCAGCAGGTAGGTGTAAGTAAGCGGGCTAAACTTAACCCTGATTACTTAAGACTAAAATCCTAGTCGAGGAATCAAGGCAGATATCTGTCCTCAGAAATAGGGAATTCAGTATACTGTTTATAGGGTTAATCTATGTAAAATGTAGGCACACTTTATTATAATGTTCTAGAAAAAGCAGGACATTTTTAAAAAGCATGGAAACCAACTCCCTGGTGATAAATGGTGTTATCGGCTTCAGATAAATGAGCTCCTCTAAGATGAGTTATCAGCTCCAAATAGGAAAAACATAAAAAACAGACAAAGTTGAATTTTGCATGAGAGAAAAACCCATCACATTTATTATGGTAACCGTAAAAGTATGCACAGTCCCAGGGTCAAAGGTAAAACCACTGAAACTGACTCTTGTATAAAACTAGAATATAAAATTATAGGTACTAGAATTTAAGAATCTTGGTGTTCCTTGTCTCAGTGTTCCCTGTGTTTTATTTTTCATAAGGATAATGTTTTCTAAAGATTATGATAAGGAGTACATGAGAAACATGTTTGGAAATATCAGGGATGTACTCAATATATGTTAAACCATTTTTCTTCCACTCTCCCTTTCCCCCTGTCTTCTCTTTGCTTTTATTTAAGTATTATTTGAAGCTTCCTGATTAATATTTGGAGAAATAAGGTCCTTTTAATATCTACTAGAATTAAGACATTTATTGCCAGGAAAATGTGCGTCGGGGAAAAGCAGAGGGTGTGACTGTACAACCTTTCAGCAAACCTTAAGGATGAAAAGCTCAGTGTGCCCAAGCACACAGGAGAACCCTTGGTGCCTCACAGACCCTCTCGATTAAACGAGAAGGCCTCTAAGGAAGCTTCAGGGCGCTGCTTGTCGGCCATGCTGCAGGGTCCGCAGTAGAGACGGCGATTTTAAAAGGTCTGGGTGAGGCTCTTCTAATGGCCTGAACTCATGAAATCCCCAGGAGGCCTGCAGAATATTTGAGAAAACTGAGTTAGCAAAAACACTGTCAGCTTAGACCAACAGGGACACAGGAAGAGAGTGAAAACTAATGGTGTCTGTCAGGCCCCCACAGTCCTCCTGGCAGGAAACGGGCTGATACAACTACTCACCTGCAAATAAATACCTTTCAGGAAAAAGGAAGGATGGCTCTGGGCAGAACCCCAAACTCAGCAGGCAAAGCCAGGAGCCACAGGAAATTATTCTCAGGCCTTGAAAGTTAGGACACTCCCAACGTCTGCCTGGCTGAATTTCAAAACGGCTCTGGGTCAGTGGCTCCTATGCCCACTGTGTCTGCCTGTTTTGAGCGAATGTGGATAGCTGCTGTCCTGGGCCTGCCCGCTGTTAACTGGTCCGCAGATCAAGAGAAGCTGTGCCTCAGGAGCTGCCCTCGAGCCATGCCTCAGGCAGTATCCGACCTTGACTTGACTCAGGTGATAAGATTTTGGACTTTGAGATGATGCTTGAGTGGGACGAGACGTGGAGGGGTGAGTGTATCTTACAGGTGTCAAGGTAGAATCACTAGGGGCCAAAGGGTGGACATGGGTGGACAGAAGCTAGGTTGCTCCCCAGAATCTGATGTTCAAGGTTTCCTGTAATCTGACCTTGAGTGTGACTCTAATGAACATAGCAAAAGTGAAGGGATGTCACATCCATGACTGGGCCACAAAAACATCACAGCTTCAGTTTACTCACCCTCTCTGGTTTCTCACCTGCTTATTCTGATGGGAGCCTGCTGCCACGTTGTGAGCTGCTCTGTGGAGAGGCCCACATGGCAAGGACGCAGGGAGGCCTCTGCCAACAGCCAGCAAGAACTGGGGTTCCCGCCCAACAGCGCAAGAGGAAGTGAACCCAGACAATCGTGTAAGTGAGCCTTAAAGTGAATTGTCCCCCAGTTGAGCTGTCCAATAAGACCTCAGCCCAAACAAACAACTTCACTGTGACCTGAGGGGCCCCTGAGCCAGAAACCCAGCTCAGCTGCACCTGGATTCCTGACCCATAGGAACTGAGATATCAAATGTTTCCTTTTGGAAGCTGCTAAGTTTGGGGATAAATTGAATGGAGAAATAGATAACTAATGAGGCCAGTAAAATCGTATTTCTTGCACACTTGAATTTGTGGCCTCAAATTCAAACATACTGTACTGTGCAGCATTTCCCTGCTGACCATATGTATTTGCCCCTAAAAGCTTGTAGTCAAAGAAATTATGATTTGCTTTCACAGATTCCAGAGTGCCTTTCTAGTAGCTACTCTTTAAAAACTCCAGGATCCCACTCCTTGTTCAAAACTTGCCAACTCACCCACTTTTTCTTTGATGAAAATAACTCCTATTTTATTCATTTAAAAATCCTTTGTTTCTAAAAATTTCAGACCACAAGAAGTTGCAAAAGTAGTCCAGAGGTCTTTTGCCTCCTCGCGCAGTTTCCCCTGTGACATGATACGTAACTGTAATACGTTATCAGCATCACCTGCTCCTTTTTTTGCGTAGAAAAAAACGCCTGGTAGACTTATAAGTAGGCTTCTAGCCTACATGGAAAGTCTTTCCTTTCCTGGAACCTGTCCCCAAATGAGGCTGCCGATCTCTCTAGTACCTCGAGAGGGCTGAAACTCAGAGCCCGTCACAACACGGGCCTCAGTGGGAATCCATACTTGTCAGCACAGGGAGACTCACGTCAGCCTGACCGCCGTTGTCCAGATAGCGCAACAGCCTCCAAGCCTAGCTGTCTCTTCGGGGGTTTTCCTTCTATGAAGGCCTGCCTCCCCTCCCCAAACCTTGTAAACTTTTTAACCTCAAATAAAACTATATGCCTTTCTGTTCTTGATGTGTGTATTGCCAGTTTATTTCACAGACGCAGCCACTGAACACGAGGGTACAAGGACATATTTCCTTCTCTGCCATGACATTAGCCATCTTGGCTCCGGGAACCTGGAGGCCAAAGGCGAAGAGACAGCAGTAAGAGGCCCCACAGCCTGGCCACATTCTTGTAGCAGGTAATGGTCCTTGAACTCCTGGCTCGGTCGAGCTCACAGTGGGTCCCCCGGAGGATTAGAATGGGGTATCCATCGAGGTGAGAAGAGCCTGGACCAGAGCAAGGTCCTCCCGCAGCCCTGCTCGGTGGGGGTGTTAGCCAACTTCAGGCAGGGACCGATCTCAGGAGGCTTAGTAGCTAAATAACAGATTCTAATGGTGTTTGAAAATCGAACCATGAGAAATGATAAAACACATTGACCTGGCTGCAAGCCTGTTCCACCCTTCACTTACTAAGGGCTAGAGTACGTTTTTACAGCCCCAGGGCTCAGCCTGTGCAGGATTGGCTTCCCCGGCTGGTGCTGGAAGACCCCAGAATCAGAGGTTGGCAGTCCACTCATTTGCTGGGTCCCACTGGCATCTGATCACCACTAGGTGGAGAGCTGCTCTCAGCTTTCCTCGGGGCTTGCGGAAGGCCTGGACACAGCCGTATAAATGCATCCCTTTCAATTTTGATACCATTTTAAGGAATTCCAACTCAGATGTTAGAAATTGTTCAGTTAATTATTTGCTAAAAAGCTCAAATTTTGAATTCATTTTTGTCTTTTAATGTACTACATGTAAATTTTTTTAAAAATGAGGCTTAATTAGATTTTTTGAATGTTCTGGCCTATATATTACTGGGAAATTTCCAGCACAACCTTCACTGACACTCGCTTCTATATGTGTGAAAAGTGCCTCAAATCCCTTCTAAGTGAATTGTTCTTTTCTTGATCAACTGGACACAGAGAAATGGTGGAGATACATTGGGGAGGCTAAGGGCCAGCTTCCTTTCAGCCCATGAGCGTCCGAAATTTCTCTTATCGACTAGAGTACTCCTAAGTCCTCGGCACCGAGACAAATTAACACACAAGATGCTGAGTCAGGACCTGACTACCTGGTAGGACATTTTGCATGTACTGTTTTTTTTGTTATCTCACTTAACCTTCCCTGCTCTCGGGGTGAGCCGTGTTGAGGTCTGTTTACAGAGGAAGCAGGTCTGACTGAGGTATTCACCATACACATCCTCACTCCCAGCATCTCACAGGGTGCTGGGCTCCAGGGACGGCTTTGACTTTCTGTGCCTCTGAGTGTGTGACCGCTGCAGCGCCCTCAGTGCTGTGTTTTGCAGCAGGGGCACAGAGGCGCCGGGACCTTCCTGGGGCTGCTGCTGGCTGATGGTCACAGGCCCTGCTGGGAGATCCCCAGTTTCCCGTGGACCCTTCTAGGCAGGGCTGCATCCCACCTGGCCCTGGGGTCCAGTGGGGACCAACAAGCTGCACAGAAGGAAGAACCACATGATTGAGCAGGCGTTTGTCCCCAAACAGATGCAAGGACAGCTGAAACTCCAGGCACACAGGGCCTTGGCGGTGGGAGGGTCCTGACACGCCCTGGTGTCCGGGACCCCGGAGTCCGCATTGTGGGAACGTGTGGAAACAGCGGCTTTCACAAGGAGCGTTTCTCTAACTGCAGAGGAAATTAGGCAAGCAGTTTACTAGGAGAAGCAGAAGCAGGGGGACAGCGAAGGCCGTTTTTCCTCTTTTCTCCTGAGAGGAGGAGGATCCTGCAAGAATCTACCAGCAAGTCCTTCCCTATTTGCTGGAAATCCCACCCTCCGCTCCTGCCCCTCCCAGTTTCTGTGTTGCAGGTTGCTGCTGCCAGGAGGTGGGGGACTGGAGGTCACAGGAGGACCCACCCGGGGCTCAGAGGCACCGGAAACGGGGTGGAAATCGTGGCGATACGGGGGGGGGGGAGGGTGCGGGCGCCCGCAGCACTGGGGGAAAGAGGGGCAGTTCCCACGGCCGCCAGCACCTTGCAAGGACCAGCGAGCCTGTTGATGAAAAGCGCATGTCCTCAGGCAAATGTGATTTCCCTGGCTGGCAGGGTGGAAGGCCTGCCCCGAGAGCGGAGGACGGGAAGTGAAAGTTGCTGCATGATTTGAATACTGAGGGCTGCCTTCAGGATTCACCACCCAGGGCAGGCTCGGCGGGGAGCCTGTGGGTGACTGCCGGAGGGATTCATGTTTGCTGGGCACCGCCCTGTGCCAGGTGGTGGGCATGGGGGTCTCGTCAGCACCAGCAGAACCTGCGAAGAGGCAGAGGTGTCACATCTGCAGCAAACATGGCAGCCGGAGCCACACGTGGCTTCTTGAGCACGTGGAATGTGGCTGTTGCACAGGGGTTCAGAATTCTCTTTTATTGCATTTTAATGAATTTAAATTTGAATAGTCTCGCATGACTCCTGTGGGAAAGAGCATCATTCTATGTAGAACCTCTGTTTGGGAATGAACCTATAGGTTCTGGTGTCTGCAGGCTACAGGTGTGGAAAAGGCAGCTGTTTGTCCAGGCAAACAGCCGAGGAGCCCCGCCCCCCTTGCTTCTGTAAGACGCCTTCCCAGGTCCTCTGTATTTCACCCCAGATGGAGTGTGTATGATGCACCCGCAGTGCGGCAGGGTGTGACATAGTACCAGGGGACAGCTCGGGATGTGAGTCCTAGGACAGGGACAGGCTGGCTGTGGCTCTGCCATGCCATGTAGCTTAGCTCTTCCCCTCCTGGAGTGATGTGCTTACTGATGATGATAAAGGCGGTGGGGCATTTGGGGTTAAACCCATGTGCGGGCAGCTGGGTTAAAGAACTGTAGTCCATCCTTCCCGCAGCCTTTCAATACTCCGTACCCTGCGATTCCCGAGAGGGCAGGAGTGTGTGGCTTTTCCATTCTCCTTTTTGTATTACTCATAGAGGGCTTTAGGAAATGTGGCTCAAGGGTGACTCTGTGACCTTGACAAAGTCACTGTGCTTCCCTAGCCTTAGTTTCAGTACCTGAAACTGATGCTCACGCCCACCTGCGCCCTTCCTCAGAAGGGCCCGAGCTGGCCCTGCTCAGCCCTGCAGCTCCAGCACCGGGAGGGGACCTCCTTTCGGGGTCCTTTCCCCAAGGCCCTGTGAGCCTGGGTGCAGAGGTCACTTCCCAGGCTCAGCACTGACTCTCCTCCCGCTCGTCCCCCCCAGGACATGAGCCACACTCAGCAGTGTGCATGTCCCCGTGTGTGCACAGCCGCGTGTGTGTACGTCCCCGTGTGTGTGTGTGTGTGTGTACACGTCCGCGTGTGCGCACGTCCCCGTGTGCACGTCCCCGTGTGCGCATGTCCCTGTGTGCGCACGTCCCCCTGTGTGCACACGGTGTGTGCGCACTCCTGCCGCCCCTCTGTCTCGGCTCCCACCGCCTTCCTTCACCCAAGCGACTCCTTGTGTCTTTCTGTGCAGCTGCGTCCTGGCTGACTTTCTCCCTGCTGGGTCTGCCTGTTTCTGATAAGGAGTGTCCAGCCTCCAGCTGTGATAGTGGGCCGGCTGTGTCTCCTTGAGCCCTATCAGTTCTGCTCGCGGAGGGTGCATACGCGTTAGGGATGGTTAGCCTGGCAGCACCTACCCCTGTGTCATCGCTAGTGCCCTCTCTGTCCCCGATACCGCCCCCTGCTTGTTTTTGATGAGTGCCGGCGTGGTGTGTCTTCCTCCACCCCTTTCCTTTCAGCTGGTTTGCAGCCTTACATTTAGAGTGGGTTTCTTGTAGGCCACATCTAGCCGGCCTGGTTTGTGGATCCACTCTGCCAATCTCTCTGCCTTCATTGGCGCATTTAGACCAGTGACGTGGAAGATGAGTATTGAAGCTGTTGGGCTAATAGCTACTACATTTGTTGCTGTTGTCTATTGCCTTCGTTCGTTGTTTGTTTGGTTGGTTGTCTTCTACTCTGTCTGCCTCCTCTGGTTCTCACAGAGCACTTTGTGTGCCGGCGTTTCTGCTTCTCTCCTCTGCCTGGGCCTGTCAAGGTTAGGCTGCCGCGCACAGGCCAGTGAGCCCGGCCGGCCTCCCCGCTCCGCCTCATAGCCCTTCAGCTCCCCGTCAGCGGCTTCCCCCCAGGACTGCTCAGCCCGTCCCCTGGAGGAGACGGCCCAAGGGGACCTGAGAGGCCCCTCCTGGGGAGCCCCAGCAGCCCCACTGCCTCCTGCCTTTCTCCGGGGAGAGTAACACAGGCCCCGAAGCAAGTGGGAGGCTGGGAGGAGACTCCAGAGGGAAGCGTCCTGGGTCTGGCAAGTCATCACCGAGGGCACCATAAGGCCTCGGGCCCAGGGAGCAGGACAGCGCGTCCAGCCTGCCTCCCACACAGCGCGCCCAGGGCTGCTGGCCCGACCCCGGGATCTGCTCTCGGGGAGGGGGAGGGATGGCCGAGGCACGACGTCTGCCCTCGCAGTCTGACGGAAGGGGTGTACCCTCGACAGCCCCATGAGAGCCCCGACCGACCTACACAAAGGCTTCAGGGACACAGGGACACACGGCCTGTCAGGAGAATCACCAACATCAGTTACGTACAGTGAGTTCAGCAGCTGGCGAGGCTTGGGGACATTCCAGGAGCAGCGGGCCATGTGACGTGGGGCTGCCTGGGAATCAGGGCTGACCTGAAGGGTGGAAGGAGGTTGGAGCGATCACTTGGGTTTGGGGTCAGGTCTGGGCCCGACCAGATGCCATTCTGGAGTCTGTGGACTTAAACCCTAACCAGGTTCCCCGACCTCTCGGGGTCACTGAGGGAGTCAGGCGCCCCTGACTTCATAAGCAAACCTGTTTGGTTTTCCTAGCAGTGGGTGGACACATACAACTGTTTCCCCTGGGGATGGGGAACCCATTTTAAAAAGGAGTCATGAGCCTTAGAGGGGTGGGACCTGGGTGTGACGAGGGGCCCGGCAGGTTTTGTGAAGGGCAGAGCCCCGAAGGGAGGAGGGCCCCGAAAGGGGAATTGGGGCCCTGAAACCACAGGCCTCCTGACTGGGGGCCTGGGCCCGCCCTCGCCCACAGGAAGCAGGAGGGATGGTGGCGATGAGGAAGCTGCCACAGGTGCAGGGAGCAGGGGCGTGACAACCCGCAGGAGGTGACGCTGCCCAGGAGGCACAGCGAGCACACCTTGACAGCCAGGGCGCCCAGCACGGGGTCCCCCAGAGCGAGCTGTCGGGTGGTGCCACTGGTAGAGGGGGCACTGCTCCGCGTGACCACGTGTCCTGGGAGCAAACCGGGAGAGGACCCTTGGGAGTGTCACCGTGAGGCCCAGGGACGTGTCTGAGTGGAGAGGGGGCCTGGGGCTGACTCACGAAGGGGAAACATCTCTGGACAATTCACACGGTCAACGTCACATCGAGCTGGTTTGACAGCACATGGGAAAGGGGAAGTGAAATTTGTGAGCTGCACCGAGATCCATGCAGTTCACTTTGGGGGGACAGCTCCGGCACCCAGTCCTCCTCGCTATGCAAATCTCCTCCTGGGCGGCTGGTTCCCAGTCGGGCACAGGGACCCTGGGCTGCACCCGCTCCCAACCCACTGGGTGGCCTGCGAGGGGCCTGCTGCCCGGGGGGTGAGGGACCCAGGGGACTGGCTCCTGGAGCATGGAGAGGACCAGCAGCCGGCTCCTCCAGGGCGCCCACTGGCCCCAGACAAGGGCAGCCCCCTGAGACAGAGCTCGGATGTCACCTTTTTCCTGTCCTTGGCCTGGCCCCAAAGTGTAAAAAGCAAGGGGACTTCACAGTTGAGGTTTTACCTTCCTCTCTAGGAAAATACAGTCCAGAACTTGGCATTTTTGAGGCATCAGGTCCAAGCTGAGGTTGGGCCCCGTGGTGCACTGAGTTCCCCATTTCTTCTGTCGACTTCTCTGTTGGGGCCCCAGCCTGCTGTGTGTGGCACCCACTCGCCCCCCCCCACCCCTGCAGTCACTCCTCAAGTGTCCTGGGTACTCCGCCAGTGGCTTTCTCAGCCCCTCCTCATTTCTGTCCTCTCTGGGACCTGCAGAGAGGGGGTCTGGGAGGCTGCACTCAGCTGGCCATCCTCCTGTCTGGAACTGCCGCTTCCCTGTCCTCGGCTGCTCCGGCTGTGTCCCAGCCTCCGTCCTCTGTCCTCAGGCACCTTCCTGTGCCTGTCACAGCCTCCCTTACAGTTACTGACCCTGACATCCACGCCCTCTCTCTAAAGCTGACCGTTCTCCTCATCCAGTTGCTTAAAGGATAGAGAATGTGCCCTCCCCCCGTTCAGCCCCCTGCCCACCTCCGTTCCTGTTAACGGCTCATGTCGGATCTGAGACTTGGGGTCAAGTCCTCATTACTCTTTCATGTACCATCAATTTAATCATCTTAAAGAGAGGATTACGCGGCACATATTTACTGAGCATGGTCTTGGTCCTCCTGGACTGCTGTAAGGAAGTACCAGAGACTGGGTGTCTTATAAACAGCAGGAATTTATTTCTCACTGTTCGGGGAGCTGGAAGTCTGAGATCAGGACCAGGTGAGGAGTCTTCCGGGACGCAGACATCTCACCGTGTCCTCGCGTGGTGGAAGGGACCAGGGGGCTTCCTGGGGCCTCTTAGAGGGACACTAAGCCATTCCCACCAATCCCATCAGGAGGGCTCCACCCTCACGGCCTCGGCCTCATCACCCCAAAACCCACCTCCTAATACCAGCACCTTGGGAGCCAGGATTTCCACATACAAATTTTGGGGACAGACACACTCGGGCCAGAGCAAGCACCTGCTGTGCTCCAGTCCTGCTTTGACCCGAGGCTGTGGCAGTGAATTAGAAGAGCAAGCCTCTGCGCAGAGATTGGGTTCCAGCGGCAGCGTTTCGTTGCTCACCTCTCCGCGTCCCTTTCGCCTAGCCCCGTCCACAGGTGAAGGCGCAGATGAGGCCTTGTCTCCTGCCAGGACGGCTGTCTGGGCTGTTTAGCTAAGTGTAGAGATGTTTTGTTCTCTGGACCCGATCACTGACGAAAGACAAGGTGTGGCTATGACATGGCGGGCACGATTCGTAAGTGGGTGTGTCACGTCATTCTAGGTAAGCCACACGCTCTTCAGTGAGGTAACCCAAAGAGGCCAGGCTCGACCTCAAAGGGTGCTGTCTCGGCCTGCGAGGGTTTTGAACACCCTCCTTGGGAGCTGATGGCAGGGCCTGGCGTGAAACAGGGCAGTCCGTTGGTCTCATTCAAGTTCCATCTCGTCTGGATAAAATGAGGTGACCATGTAAACTTGGTCACCTCACCGTATTTCCTGGGTCTGAACCCACATGACGTCTGGCTATTTCTCTAAAAGGGACAGAGGATTTCACCCATGTTTGCAGTCAGAGCGGGGATGAGCCCTCGGCACCGCCCAAAGCGTGCAGCAAGCGTGAGTGAGGGCCGAGACGGGTGCAGGAGTCGGTGTCCGTCCCCTGTGCTCCCTGGCATGGCCTGCCGCTGTGGCCTCACGCGGTGTGGTGGGCAGAGCCCGGGGTGTGCTTGTCGCCCACCACCTCCACCCCGCCTCAGTCCCACACTCGGAGGCCCCACGCCTAGCACAGCTTGGACAGGAGGCACTCCGTGGTCTGGAAGCATGGGATGCATGTGACCATATGACCTCGGCCTGGGAGGGGTCCGCAGGGGATGCCCACTGTAGCGCCTTCATACCAGGTGGACTTCACGGGAGGGGCGGACAGTATTTTTGCGTTTATTTGTTCTAGGACTACAGAAGAAGCATCTCAAAATGTGTACAAAAGGATACTCTATTCCTCCAGGGGTACACCCCCGTTGTTCACAGCTAAACAGAAATAATTTAACACCATTATACAGGTGGATTGGAAATACAACTGCATTTTCTCATTTACGATCTTGTACACATGTTTGCCACAATGGCAGTTGAAGACCCACAGTTGCATCGGATACAGACAAATCAGACCATGACAATTAGCGCACAAACATTGTAAAAAAGTGTATTAGAAAGTACTGGAAACAAAATTGCATATTAATATCTGGTTACATGTGTTCATAGTGAATGCTAACCACCAACAGCATATGTGCTGCTTTTGTGCTGCCCGTTCATCTTAAATAAGTCTGATTTGGGTTTATTTTAAAGTAGGAAAAAAAAACACGTTGAACTGAATGAGGCATATCTGGATTTTAAGTTGAGTTGACCCTTCGTTATCGCTGGAACTAAAGAAGTGAAGGACAGAGAAAGACACTTGCTTCTTGACTTGTCTACACACATCCATTTCATCTTTTGTTTTGACAAAAAGATGAGAGACTACGACTCACAATGTAAGCAAAACAAAATAAGAAAAAAAAACCCACAAAAGTAGAAAAAAACCAACCCACAACCAAACACAGTCACATCTCCATAACAGGTAGCTCTCTTTCTCAATCAAGACGTTAAGATTTCATTCCCTGGTTGACTCTGAACTAGAAGTGGGACATGCTGGTATCTGAAGTGACTGGTGTTGGGACATGCCCTTTGGTGATAAATCAATAATGCAATTCCTTCTAGTGACTCTCCAACCAGGACAAGCACATGTTCTCAGGTACACGTTCCGGAAGGGACCTGGGTCAGGAGCCCGTGTCCAGGCTTTCTGCGTCCAGCGAGTTGGTGGCGGGAGGGGCAGGAAAGCTACTCAACAGATGGCCCTGCTGCTTATAACCCTCCTCCCTATGATGTTTATCGTAAACACAATGACAAGTGTAAAAATCCCAGGCACTGCAGTACACAGCGGTCCCCAAGACACAGTCTCACACCGTCCAACAACAGGACAAACGACAGAACAAAAAGGCAGCGGGCATGTGAAACCCTACTTTTACCAGCCAGAAGAAAACTTTAGTAGCTTTTGGTACAGACTATGACCAGCTTTCAAACATAATTTAATTACTCACTGACGTTATAGGAAACCTTATTTAAATACAATGACTCAAAGGAAAATGCTTTTACAATATAAAACCACAATAAAAAGTGTGTAAATACAGTTATGTTAGCTACAAAAGGCAATGAGAGGAAGGGGAAAACATTTTAGAAAAGAACTGCAGCCTTTATTTACAGCTCTGGGTTAAGCTTTGTGAGAGACCACCGGGACTGATGACTCCTGTCTACCAGCTGACTTGGCGGGCTGGAGGGAAAGCGCAGAACAGGAGAAACTGGCCAAACCACGGGAAATCTAAGCACCCCATCTTGAATCTGCCCATTTCAATGAGGTGTATCTTGCTCTGTCACTGCGTATTGAATGACAGCTGTCAGCAGCCTGGTTCCACTATCTGTGCCTGTGTTCCGTGCATCCGGGTACCACTGCCTGTGTTGTGACAATTTTGTTCCCAGTTTCAAAATGCCATGCTGTCTGTATGCACAGGAGCCCGTGCATGGCTCAATGACATCTTTGTGGGCTCCACCCTCTCCACAGAACTCAAATGCACATGGGAAGGTTTGTTTCTGAAGGCTGGAGGGGGCTTATTCATTTTTAGAATTTATAATGACTCCAAAGCAAGGAGGCAGACTCCAGACTGCTGACTAGGAAATGCCTCCAGCGCTTTCATGCTTGGAAGGCTTCCCAGGCCTTAGCTTTAGAATTCACTCAGAGCAGTGGTTCTCAGCTCGGGGGCAATCTGCCCCCAGGGGACGCTTGGCAAGGTCTGGAGAAATTTTTAGTTGTCAACTGGCAGTGCTACTGGCATCTGTTAGGACGCTGCAAATATCCCACAGTACACGGGAGAGCCCACAACATTTATTCAGCCCCACCTGCCAACAGCAGTGAGACTGAGAACCCTGGACTTGGACTAACAAGGGAGGTGCTTACCTACAATTTTTCCTCTGTGTCCCCGTGGTCATCTTGGTTCAGTTCCGGCAAAGACAAAGACTGCAAACATTTGAAACTGTACATGTCCTGTCTATGTAACTGAGGTGAATGTCCCCAATGGCAGGTTAACTTTGAGGGAAGCCCTTCCTGGCTGGACTGGAGCCCCCAAACACGTGAGTGGGGCTTTAGGGAGCATTTGCTGTCTTAGCTTGGATGGGAAGGGCTCTACTTCCAGAGTCACCCGCCTCCTTCCTGTCCGACCCTGTGGGCTCGTCTGGCGATTGCCCTGAACACTACACTTCCCCAGTGAGAAAGGGCAGGGCCCCGTGTCGGAGTTGTGTGTGTCACCTGGTGCTCCTCTGTCCTTACGGGAGAGCTTCAGGTTATTTGAAAGTGTGGTTTGAAACAGGTGGGCTCTCTGTGTTAGCAGCATCTGCTGGGCTTCACCTGTCCTGTTTCCTTGACCTGAAAATTAATGGTCATTGCAAATCCTCCTTCTATGGGTTTTAAAGCAAGAATGATATACAATGAAGGTCAGGAGAGTCATTTACCGACAGTAAGAAACCCAGGCCTGCAGCTCCCAATAAATATGTTGAGTTAAAATGACATCAGGAATGGGCTTTGGGCAGGAAAATGCTCCCTCTGGGGGTCGGCACAGCCAGCCGGGGCAGGGACAGATAACCAGAGGAATGAATGTGGAGTTTGGTTAATGAAGCTTTGGTTTCTGAGGAATTTCACCGTTTGAGACGGTCAAAAGGAATTAAGGTCCAAGTCTCAGGACTGGTGTTAAAATGTAGTGATAGACTTTGGGGGCCATTAAAGGCACGGGGATGAAAAAGCAAATACCAGATATGCCCAGAGAAACACTGAGATTACTCCACCTGCTCAGGAGCCCCAGAAGGCTTGGCAGTCATCTGAGCAACATCCAGACGCTTGGAGACTGAGGAGGAGTCCAAGAGGCCCCCTCCCGTCCCTTCCCCACCTCTGCCCAGGGAGCCCAACAGTCACAACTTCCCCCCAGTAACATCTTTTTCTGTGCAGGAAATGACTTAGAATAATTTCTTTTAAAAATTACTTGAGACACTTGTGCGGTTTCCAGGCCCTGCGGGGTCCGGGCGCCCCCTAGGTGCGCTCACCTGCATGCCCAGTGGGGGCCACAGCCCAGCTGCCCTGGGTCTTGGCAAGCCCATCTGTGGCCCCAGCACTGGAGCAGCTCCTTCCGCCCCAGGCTCTGACCTGCTGTTACAAAATGCACAGTGAAAACGGCCAATTGTGTGCAGGCGGGATTCTAGGCCGGTCCGGGGGACTTTAGCCAGCAGAGAAAGGCTCCAAATGTAACTCGGCATCTAGCAATAAAACGCTCCATGTTTTTTTCGAAAGCAAATCAAATTCTCAAACTTTCAACTTAAAAAAAAAAAAAAGAAGAAGAAAGAAAACAGAACGGAAGACCACCTGGAAATGAAAGCGCGCAGGGCCCTGTCCAGTGCTCGTGGCGCGGCGGGGCGGTGGGGGCGCGCGCGCTTAGCTCAGGTGGAAGCGGTGCTCCCCGCGCGTGATGTGCGACGAGAACTCGTAGCGGTCCTGGCTGTGGTAGCCGCACATGTTGCACTCAAAGGGGTCGCGGAAGCCGTGGCAGCCCATGTGGATGGTGTACATGACGTGGTCCAGGAACAGCACCCGGCAGTGTTCGCACTTGTACACCTTCATGGGCTCCCCGCCCGTGCCGATCACGCGGAAGGCGTCCTGGGAGCTGTCGGAGGCCGCCCGCAGCATGTCGTAGGCGGGGTGCTCCTCCTTGATGGACAGCCCGTTGCGGGCGTGGGCGCTGATGTGATTGGTCAGGTAGATGAGGCCGCCCCGCTGCTCCTCGGCGTTGCTCTCCGTGTCTGTGGAGTCCTGGCAGCTGTTGCTCGGGGACGCCTCCCTCTCGGACGACACGGACTTGGCCTGGGACAGCAGCAGCAGGTTCTCCACGGCGCTGTCCTGGGCCGAGTGGTTGGAGCGCGCGGGGCCCTCCGCGTGGGGCTTGTGGAGCTGGTACATCTGGCTGATGACCGGGACCACCTCGGAGCTGCCCGGGGGCGTCTGCACCAGCGGGCGCAGGGACTCGGCCCCCAGGTAGCTGATGGCGTTGTTGATGGCTTGGTCCATCACGTGGGTCTGCATCATCTCATTCTCCTTCTCGTAGCAAGCGGTGCTGTCATAGGACATGTCCGACAGGCACTTGTCCCCTGTGGGAAGCAGGTGACAATCAGTGAGGCCAGGATTACCTCTGTGTGTGGCAGCAACAGACGAAATCTTCACCAAGGGGTGCCCCGGGGTGCCACAGACGTGCAGCACGAACACCTCCCCAACCGGGGAGACTGAGATAACTCTGCCTGTGGGCTCCGCCCTGGACCTGCCTGGTGGGCGTTTAAAGACACTCTCCTGGACAAATCAATAAGTGAGTAGGTGAACCAAGATGGTGGACATCAATTTAAACAGCACGGGTTGGCATGGGCTAGACCAACAATACTCACGTCTGTCACTGTGGATGGTACAATTCAACATTATAGGATTTAAGATTAATACTTGATGTATTTTCCATATAGTGTCCTGAGTAATTTATAATTTATTATAATTTTAATTGAAACATGTGATTATATGATTATTTATAATAATGTGCAACGCATTTGTTTAAAATATTACATGATATATTTTAAATTCACAACTTTAATATCACAAAATATGTGATAGCCGTGTATTCTGTACAGTAAAATAACAGCATCCTTAAGGGTGAATGAGGTCTGACCGGGGCGAGAGTCAAGAGGTTGATCAGGTGTCACAGCCATTGTCCCCTCCCTCCCTTGCCTGAAGTCCCACTTCCTTTCCCTCGTCAGTAGCACTGGAACCATGTGCCCCAGAGATACGTGGTGGGAACCTGGAGTAAACCAAGCAAGCTACAGGACAGAAGGCGAGCCGTTCACTTGTTCTTTCAAAAAATTACTGAGCATGGCTGATGCCCAAGGACCTACTGCCCGGGCCTGATGAGCGAGTGACCTGTGCCTCCCGCGTCGGCAGGAAGCCCGCTTCCCCGGGAAAGCCGAAATCTCAGACCAGCTTTGGCTTTCTGTGATTAGCTTTGGAGTAAACAATTTCATAAATGAAACAGATTTCCTTGAAGATACACCTTCTCGATCTATTGGTTATAAGTTTGGTATGAAACCATGGCTTCAGAGCAAAGTCATTCATTAGTGTTAGGACTATTGTTTTACTTTCATGGGTGGTTAAGTAATAAGTCAAGTACCTGAGGCCATCCAGGGGGGTGTCTGACGGGCTTACATTTTACCCCTCCCTGTTTCTTTCCTTACTTCAGCACATCTTCATTGAGTGTCTACCATGGACCAGACAGTGGGGACAGAGAGGTGAGCAATAGCAGCACACAGCAAACACGGGACAGACGAAAAGCCTGATTATGCAAACAGGACATCAGGTCTGGGAAGTGCTATGAAGACAAAGGAAGGCTTGCTAGGAAGTGTCACCCAGACTTCTGATGGGGAGGAGTCAGCCAGGCCAGTGGGGTTTTGTGCCCCACACTGGGAGTAGCAAGAGGAACAGGTGAGAAGGAACCTGGAGCTGTGGAGGGACGGGTGAAGGTGGTGGGGCCAGAGGGCTGGGCACAGGGCGAGCGGGGGCAGCTCGGATCTGCAGGCAGGGCTAGGCAGGGCGGGGGCTTTGTCCGGAGGAAGGTGGAAGGCACTGAAGGGTTGGAAGCAAGGAATCCCTTCTCAAGTCACCAGGGGAAGCACAGACTGGGAGGCACAAAGGTGGGGGTTCCTTCCAGGCTGCCCCAGAATCCAGGTGATGGCTGATGGTGGCTCACCAGTGAGGGTGGTGCCAGGGAAGGGCCTTCATCTCCCATCAGAGCCTTCTGCTCATCCTTAGCAACAGAAGGGCCAACTCTCCCATAGTTCACAGACTTATTAACAATCCTTTATTTTTTTAAAAAAAATCTGTGACCATTGATGCTTACTGAGGAATATGCCTCATCATACTACAAAGTATCTTTAGGTTTCATTTCTTGCTTTGTAATGGATACTTATCATATAACGGCCTGACTTCCATTCATTTAATCTACTGGTGGTCAGGTGGGGGCATGTGTCTCATAATGGTCCAATGTGATCCTCTGATTACAGACAGAAAACTTGGTGGCCAGTCACACCCTCTGCAGACACTGAACAGAAGGGGCCTTCAATGCACGTTGGGCAGCAGGGATCACAGAGTGGTGTTTCTCCTCATCAAAGGTCAGAAGGAATCGGACAGCATTACAGAATCCACAAAACGATTTTTTTCTGTTTTTGTGTTGTGCTCAATGTCTTATACTAACCGCAGAATAGAATTAACCCATTCTGGCTTGTACCCCAGCCTATCCCTTCACTAACCCCTGGCAAGGGGAGAAGGGAGAGTGGACTTTGCAGCCAATTCTAATAAACCTAACAGTGCTCACAGCCCCACCAAAAGCTTTCCCATCTCATCATCCTGTTTCTCCCCAAAGTCATGGTTTCCCAAGCAACCATTGAACTCTGTTGTTTTTAAAGCTTGGTATCAACAACAAATGGGTGTAGAAAGAAAAACACATATATTTCAGATTACTGTGGCATATCGAAACAACACACAGAATTTCTTTTCCCTGATACTCCAAAAAATGAGAAAAATAAAAGCCCACAAAATTCTTTGTGGCCATCAATTTTGGTAATCAACTAAAGAAAGGAACCCAATCTAATGAAATACATATTTTAAAAAGTCAAGGACCAAGGAAAGAAAATTCTGGCATGAGTCATATGGCAAAGTGTGGCGCTGATCTCACTTCCAGAAAACCTTACGCATGAATCAACACAGCCCTCAGCATTTTCCCTAATACCCTCATTTCGGTAGAGAATGAATTGAAATAGGTGTGTTTTTTCACTTCTGATCAAAACGCAGTTGAAACTTCCAATAGTGAGAACCAGGTGACACTGGACAAGTGAGCGGTGAGGTTGGCTGTCTAGACAGGAGCAACGTCCTCCATGCTGTATGTACCCTGAGGGGGGCATGGCCCGAAGTCCCAGCATATCTCCTGAGGATGGGGAACACTCCCCAACCAGGTACAGTGACAACTGGTTTAGGGCGTTTAACCCAATCTCAGCACAAGAGGGAGAGCTGAGAGAAAGCCTTTTAACAAAGACTGCACTCCGCCTCACCTGAGTCCCCGTACCTCATCTTTGGCATTCTTTCAAGATTTAGAAAAGTCAATAGCTCTCACAGGAAATAAAAGTGTCTCAGATACAGTGGGAAGAATCTGAAATGTCAATCAACCTATATCAGCCCAAGTAGAATAAGCAAGATGAAAAGAAATGCCATGGTTACTGTGAAAATATTTTCTAGCAATACAAGAGAAGAAAGGAAGTAAAACACAGACCACTAAGCCCATCCTAGGAAAAAAGCTTAATTCAAAGAAGAGAGGAAATGTCTCATAATTGCTTTGTGACATGAGCTCAATTAAAAGAAAAAATACTGAAAGAAGCATGCTAAAACAACAGAATGAGATGAGCAAGGAGATTGCAGATCTCAGGAAAAAAATGATCCAAACAGTATTATTACAGAATTAATACCTGGATTAGAAACAGCATGTAATAGAACAGAAACTACTAAAAATGTAATTACTGACATAGAGGAAAAACAGAAGATAACAGTGAGTAAATGTATAAAGAGCAAAAAACTTTTTAAAACTTGAAATGCTAACAGATATGGAAGACAAATTATCCAACATAAGGATGACTGGTATTCCTGAACAGAAATCACAATAGATGGAACAAAAGATGCATTTATAAAAAAGAGAATTTCCCAGAAATAAAGAAAAAAAAAAGGGAATCCCCAGATTAAAATGGCAGGAAACTTTTATTCAGAATGCAAAACACCAAGATATAATATCCTAGTGAGGGTATTTAAGGTTAAAGAAAGAACTCTTCAGCCATTCAGGGAGAAAGTGAAAAGCTTGCCCTCAGTCATGGAAAGATCTACAACAAAAAGTTCTCAGGGGGGATGAAAGAGTGACCCAACACCACACCCTCCGTCAAGATGCTTTCCAAGTAGAAAGGCAATGGGCAGACACCCTCAAACACCAAGCAACTCTAGACATACTAATAAACCACCTATAGAACCTTCTCGCAAAAAGTTGCTTGAGTGTAAAGCCCAATCAGTTAAGAGTTTATGCAAATAGAATTAGTGACACCTGAAACTAATATAATATTGAGTATGAACTGTAACTGAAAAATAAAAAAATGAAAAAATAGGAACAGTCGTAAAGGGGTTGGATCTGAGCCTTGAATCAATTTGAATGTAGAGCTAATAATAAACGCCTAAGAGGACTCTTATTACAGAAAAGAACGTGGAATTATGGACCTGAGCACTGTAAAGATAATCATCTAACTGGGAAGTGGGATAATGCCCTTATTTTCCGAAGCAGTGAGTCAGTAGATACTGCTTAAATGGATACAAATCGATTAAAAATGACTTAAAGGTCTTAATGCTTTCCATAATATATTTTTTAATCTTAGAGAAAGCCTTTAAAAAATAATACCTTCCTGTGAGAAAATACTTATTTGAAGATGAGCCAGCCCTCCTGTTTTGTTTGCTTCATGTTTGCCTCTTAATTTCAGTCATGTAGAAACAAATGCTTCCATTTGAAATAGCACCTAAGATATGATAGAATCTTTACATATTTATTTCACACCTTCATCAACCCACCGAGTCCTCATCCTGTCTGCTCACATACAGTTGCACAGAAATAAAAAGCTATTTAGAATGAATCTCAGTTACTCTTAATATTGGTAATTTCTGGATGTTGGTTTTTGTGGTGATTTTAATACATTCACCTTTGCATGAAAATTCTTTATATTTAGTTCATGTGTCATTTAAATAATATAATAGGGTGTTTTTTTCTTCTGAAAAAAAGAAAATAAGATGATTATAATGAGTAGCAGGAATACTGATTGTTGTATTTTCCTCTTCTGTATTTAAAACATGTTTTCACCACAATCACCAAACAGACTAAAGAGAAGAGCAGCTTTGCGATACAAGGGCGGCCCCTTCCAAGGCCCCTTGGTCCTGCTCACCTGTGTCTGTTCCTCAGCGGATGAGCTTTTTGGTGACTTAGAGTGGTGAGGAATGCTACTGGCAGAGCTTATTTACACTCACATCAAAGTTTAACTTAAAGTTTTTCACCACAGATTACGCAAAAATATATGCCATTCTGAACAATATGCAACATGAAAATGCTACCAGCGGCCGTTTGTGAGGTGCCTCCTGGTGCTGAGAGCACTGCCACACCTGTCACGCTTCTGGTCCTCAGAAACCCTGAACCCCTTGTGCTAAAGGAAACCTGGAGGGCTCTCAGCTCCACCCGGACTGGGCAGCGTGTTAGTCAGGGCTTGCTCCCCCACAGTCTTTCTGGGTTTACATGAAGGACAAACTCAGCACCTGCACAGAAGCTAAGAGGTCTGTAGAGAGCCACCCCGTTTTGATTTTAGAGAGCGAGGAACTGTGACGAGTTCGGCGTGGTTGGCTGAAATCCATCCAACTGAAGTGAGGGCATTCAGGGGCAGGAAGAGCCATTATTTTAGAAATAAACTGCCAGCCGCCAAGCTCGCGGAGAAACGCCCACAGAATGCACAGCGCTGTCGGCACTTCTTTCTGATCCCCCCTGCCATTCGGGGACTTCCTGGTCACCTTTTCCTGTTCCTAACATGGAAGCATCTACACGTCAAGGTGACACGTCACTGGCGGCCTCACCCGAGGTGCCAACTGCAGAGTTTCACAGGCCGCCACGTTCGGCCTGAAGTCTCCAAACGCTCAACGGGCTGCATGTGCTCAGTGACGAAGCCCCGGCAGCCTCGTGTCCTGACCTGAAGGGCCGAGCCGTCCTCAGCTTCCCAGCGCCAGTGACCGTTCCCAGCCTCAGACACGCGGCACCCTGTGCTCCAGCTCCCTGCTGCAGGCAGGGTCCCCCCTCAGCCCACTGCGACTTGAGTCCCCACCGCCAGCCTCCTCTGCTCCTGAGCTCGCGCTCACCCTGGGAGGTGGACGGTCTCCCCCACTCGCAGGCTCTGAAAGCTCGGGTATGGCGGCGACCCCGCACACGGTGTGTCCAGCCAGTGGTTTGCCAAAGCATCTTCTAACTTCCTCCCCCAGCCCTCGCAACCCCCCCAACCTAAGACAAGCCTCTATTTAAAACCTGATCAAAATGAAATCTACTTTAAGTGCAAGAGGGGGGCTGAGGCCCCAGAACTTGGCCTCCCCTGTGTTCCCCTGCCTGCTGTCCTGTCCTGTAGGACCGCAGGCACCCTCTGGAACCCCAGCCTCATTAAACATGAACCCCATTTTAGACCCATCCTCTCTCCCAACACTCATTTCCCAGACTCCCATGTGGCATCTATAGCACGAAATCCTTGGAAATTAGCAGATTAAAAACGGAAATCTTTTTCCAGAGCCTCCTGGCTCGATCATTTCTGTAACTGGCACTCTACTGTACCAGAGTAACCCCGACTCGTGATTCCCATCACCCACTCCCTGCGCTGGCCTGAACCCCCTCTTTCATGCCCCCTCTCTCCGCCATACGCCCCTGGTCTCCTCTCCCAATCAGCTTTCAGCACTGCCACCTCTATTTTCCAGGATGTGGCCCCAGTTAAGAATACGCCAATGCTTTTTTCTGCCTACTGAACGAATTAAGGGTATTTTCTCACCTTGGCATAAAAGGCCACTCATCCTGTGGCCAGATCTTACTGAGCCTTTATTTTCATCGCATCTCTGAGGGCACATGACGTAGCCTAGACCGCGCTCGGTTCCTCGGCCATGGCCCCTTTGCCTCCACTCCAGCCCCCACAACCAGCATCACCATTTCTCGTTCTTTTTATCTGTCTGCTTAGAACCCTCTTCCATTTTTCCACTATCAGTACTGGGCTGAAATCCCCTTCTCCCATCAAAGTCACTGTCAACTTCAGAAGCTTTTATCGCTCCTCTTTCTGTGTTATCCCCATGATAACAGTTGACCTTTATACTGAGAGTTGCTAAATGTTGTCACATCCTTGGTGTTAATTCATGTTCACAAAGCCTTGTTTAGATAAGTAAAGAATAAAACCAAGGCTTGGAGAAGTCGATTAATTGTGCCAGGCGGCAGTGTTCACACGTGGCTGTGAGCTGACATCCTCAGGTCAGTGGTCCTTTCAGCTCTCACACCTGCCTAGGTGTCCTTCTCTCTGTACGGTCAGTATCTGGCCTGGCTGATGCTATCAGTGCACTTATCTGTCACCACTGGACAACAAGCTTCTGGGGGACAGGGCTGCCTCACTCTGCCTTTGCCCCTGAAAGCACCTGGCGCAGGTGGAGATTCAACTGTGAAAAGCAGGAATTGTTGCTGTGTCCCCTCGTCACTGGGCACCCTAGGCCAGTCACAGTGCGGTTCTGCCCATTAAACCTTCAAAGTAGCCCACGTGGGGAGAAGTCTGAGCTTCGTGGGGAAAATGACCATCTGAAGCTCAGAGAGGCTGCTCAGGCCGGGGTGCCAGGCTGAGCGGGGAGCCCTCCCCAAGCCAGGCCCGAGCTTTTGAACCTGTGCATGCTGACCCGGCCACCCTGGGGGACACGGAGTGTCCACAGCAGACCTCACTGAGTGCCCTGGACACTGCCAGACCATCTGGGAAAACTACAGGAGAAATGTGTCGTTTCGAATTGGTCGTTCTGAAAAACATTCCAAGATATTTAAGAAATGCTAAACTTTTAATTGTTACTTTTTAAAAACCTGAGATACTTTCTTTCTCCTTCCCTCAGCTGATTAGCACCTGAGTCTAAAACACCCACACAATTGTTTTTTAAGAGACAGCAAACGTTTAACTCTTACCAACAAATTTCTGAGGCATAGAGCTCTTACGTTTGGCGACGTTACTTGCTAGTCTGTCCAGCACGAGGGATCTCTCTGATCCTGTCTTGCACAGGTCTTCTGCCATTTCACTGTGATTAGTTTCTTCTTTAATGACTAAAGTCAAAGACAGTTAAGAGAGGCCAATTTAGAAATGCTTACGGTGAGAGGATTCAGCCATGTCCAGTGCTAATCTGACATTTGCTACGTGCCTACAAAGGCCAGACCCTTCGCACAGATTATTTCTAATCTTGCCAGCAACCCTGCCAGGCGGACAGAGGCTGACCAGAGCCACCTGCTAAAGACACCTGCTCACCGCACAGTATCCCCCGAGCCCAAAGGACCAAGCGCCCCCATTGTCACCAGGAGGTGGTCTGTGGTTAAGTAACTGTGTCCCTTTGACGAGCACGCTTCCCTTCCCAAGGGCTCCAAAATTCACTAACTCAGCCAACCCTGATGTCATCAGGTGTCTGCAAATCAAAGACCTGTCAGAGCTGGAAATGATCTAAGCGTCCGACTCCATCCACAGGCACAGGGACCCGAGAAGCAGCAGAAACGCTCAAGACCCAACAGCAAACCCTGGCGACATGGGGACAGAACCCAGAGCTCCCGACCCCGGAGCACACAGCGAACTCTGGAAAATCCAATGATACCTGCAGAGTGTAGGAAATTTAGGAACTGAGGAGGTAGCCACTGGGGTAAGGAGTGATTCTAACCCATCTTTATTTTTCTTACATCACCTCTTTCTTTTCACAACTGAAGATGCAACTTTTTACCCTGCGTAGTCTCATCTATACCCTAGTTTTTACAGTTGGGTTTTTGGTAAGATGTCGTCCATCTCTTGGCAATGTATCCTAGTGTATATGGAGCTGAACATGTAAATCGGTTATCTACCAAATGGATAACCAGTTCCTCCAACACCGTTTCTGAACAGACCATTTAAACCCCACGGCCATGTGCCTCCTCCTCTCACAGACGTGACATGCTGGTTTATCCTCTTCTGTTATTGATTTGTCTTTCTCTTCTTCAGGGTGCCCATGGTACAGCTACATTTTAATTAGCACACGACATCATTCTGCTTTCCAAAAAATGCCAAATCCCTCCCTGATTTTTCCAGAGATACTTTATGATATATGGTTACCAAATTCCAGTAAGGTTTACAAACTAGTTTTATGTTAAGCCATGCCTGGATTTGGGAGGACGCATGCACAGCGTCCAGCCCTCTCTCCCCCTTCAGTCTCCTCTGTCTGCTTTCATATGGTTTGGTAGCTTTCTTCCTTATGTCCTGCACATTACCTGCTAAGGTTAGTTCTAATTATTATATGTCTTCCTTGTTTTATTATGCATGCCACTTTGAAAAAAAAATTTTCAAATTTGTTATTATCACTGGTATATGTAATTTTTGACACCGAAATGTGTGTTTCTTATTAAATGGGCAAACGTAATACCCTAATGTATATGAAGGATACACACACAGCCCATCAAGTTCAATCCCACTGGTTGCACTATTGACCTGTCAAACTAACGTGCTTCCTACGTGTCCATCCTTCTCCGCAAAGCAGGGTGCTGTGGCGTGGCCAGGGTGCCTGCCCGGCTGCAGGCTCCTGACAGCCCCGACCCTCAGAGTCGTCACCGTGAGAGACAGCTCAGCCCTGAGCTCCCGGGCTGCTCTGCCCTTGAGGCATTCCTTCCCTCCTGGGGCTTGTAACACAACGTGTGCACCTACGGCTCAAGAGAAACTTACGTTTTCCATAAAGACATTAGGAAATTATAACAGGTGACCAAAACGCCTTTGCCTAAAAGACACTGTGATTCATAAAACTTATTTTTTTCTACGTCCTGTAAGCTAGATTTTGTTTGTACCTACGCTATAAGACTGGCCCCAACCTCAGGGGGAAGAGCCTACTGGGTGTCCATGTGAGAGCTGAGGAGGCCGGGCCTGGGAGCATGGCAAGGACGTGATGAAGGTGCACAGAGGCACATGTGCAGCAGACCCTGGCACAGCGAAGCTAACTGACCGAGACCCCCCACCCAGCCTGCTACCTGCCCTCCGAGCCCCAGGTGACCCTGGAGGACTTCCATTAAAGTGCTTTTATGGATTCCCAAGTCCCTTCAACCCGCATACGAGACGCCCTCTTATCTCCTGAGCACAGGAGCGTAAAGACATCACTGTGGGGTTCCAAATAATCTGACCACCAAAGGGGGGAAATTAACACTTTAGGACTGAATCGATTCTGACCATCGGGTGACGTTCAATGTCTGTATTGCTGACCTATACGCTTACTGATATCGACAACCAATAGAAGAGCATTAAATGTCAATCCTCGGGTGATCCGAACTTGTCTGTTCAGAAAAGTAGGCACATCTGTCCCTGCTCTCACGTTTCCTGCTGCGTGGTTGGCCGGACAGGAATTTCCACTGCCACTTAAGAGATGCGCTCAGGGTCACATTCAAAAAAAGATTCAGAGCTCAAACTCGAACCCAGGACTCAGAGAAATGCACGCTTCTCGCCCCCTAGAAGCTCTCAGCCTGCTGTGACTTCACAGCTTGTTTCTTTAGAAATGAGGACAGTACAGAAAACCAACGTACTCTGTCTGTTTCTTGTTCGTTTTGTCCTCTCAATTCCCTGTGTAGTTTTAAAGGGAAATTCAGATTACTATGCTCAGCAGGGCATGGCATTGTAGGTAATACGTCCTCAGCAAATATTTGCTCAGTAGACAATGGCTATTTAAACATCAATCAGCAGCACTTACTTCTGAAATCCATTCATCTATTGTTTTGTTCTTTTTACAGGAAAATACAATATCTGAGTGTCTACATTTTATTTTCAAGGAGCATAAATCATCTTCTCGTCCCCCAGCCTCCTGCCCTGGGGTCTGGCCACAAACCCATGCGTTACATCATCATTGTTACAATTGCTGTTTTCAATAGCTGATTTTCCCCTTTCCATGGGCCCTCGTTACCTTTACATCCTAGAAACAGACCTTAGACTCTAAAGGAAGCTGAATGACCTCCTCACGGGGTCTCCCCATCTCCCAGGTGAGAGGAGTCAGGCCCCAGGCCACCAGCCGCTGGGCAGGGAGGCAGCCCGGGGACTGCAGCGTTCTCACCACATGGCAGGTGGCCTGTGAGTGCCGACACCGCCTGACTCCCAGGGCCTCATTCTGACCTGTTCTGTCCTGCTCTCTCTCCTCTGCTCCGGTAATCGGAGTGCCCCCTGGCGGATTTCCTCTATGAGCCGTTCACTGAAGTCTGAAAGCCGAACGAGGCTTCATAAATTCTCAGCCATTCATTTAACCCCTACCCCTTGGTCTAGCGACGATTTCCCAGTGGTCGTGCTAAAGGAGCCGTGTTTTGGAAGAGGCTGATCTATTCCTCAGTGTCTTCTGTCCTAATGTCCTGCCTCCCCTGAGTGAGTCCCGCCTACCAGGCACTGTCTCTGCGACTTTCACTCTGCGTCATGGGAGGTCGGAGTGGGGTGCCCTCTCGAGATGCGTCACGCCGCAGAGCATCAGCCCATGTGGACATGGCAGCCTTGCCCTGAACCCGGGACAGCGCCGTGCTGTCCACTGCTGGCTTTTCTGCCGAGCTCCCTTTCTCGTTCCAGACAGGTGTCCACGCCCGTGAGCGGAAACAGCCTGGACGCTCTTATTTGATCAACTTCTTGAATAGTTTTTCAAACAAGAGTTCACATCGTATTTTGGTTACCAAGCACAAAGAAGCAATCAATAATCCAGGTTTAAAAAAACAAAAAACCCACAAAAAAAGCCAACTTTCAAGGGTCACTGCCATCTCAGAAGCTTCCCAGGTTGAGAGAGGACGGGGTTTGAAGGCCCCGCTCTCTGGTGAGATGAGGACTTTGGCACAGCATGCTCCTAGTGGAACTGTGTGGGCAGAGTGGCTAAAACTCCCCTGGGTCCCAGCATGGTGGTACGGGGGGCCCTGGGCGCGGGCCGGGCTCCCGGCGATGGCCTCCGTGCTGTGGGCTCTTACCTGGGTACAGCGTGCCTGGGAGGCCCATGCTTTGCAAGTAGTTGTGGCAACGCTCTTTATGTTCCTCTAAAGAGCTTCGCTGCTTATAGCTTCGGCCACAATATCCACATTTGTGAGGTTTACCAACTGCAGAAAACACAATCGAGTTCAAGACTCCAATTAAATGCCGGCCTTACATGGAGGGGGAATGCATGCAATACAGTCATTACCAAAAAGTAAAAAAAACTCTGCTCTTGAGAGCTCAAAGCGTTATGGACTCGAGCAGAATTACTACCACTAAAATGCTGACGTCCAGGCGTTTCTTTGATTGTACCAAGAACTGTCAATCCTGTTTCATCCTAATTTGTCCACTGTACTGACTACCAAATTCTCTCCGATTTAAGTGACTGACATCTGTGACGTCCTTTAACTGGGGGAAATGAAGCCCATGGTGTTGTAATGTGGATGGGGGACAAGTGGACAGAGCCGGGAGGAAGACGCCCAGTTGGCTGGAAAACACAGAGTCACGTCCACGTGTGGGCCAGGTCTGCATGACACTGCCTCTGACACAACCACAGTGAATTCCGTGCCAGGGAACCCAACTGGGTAATTTGAGGGCTCTAAGGAATCATAGTTGATCGACAGACTTGAATGAAGTGAGCATTTTATTGCCAAAATGTATTTTCTTGTTCTGAGTAAAGTTCTGTTTTTGTCCCAAAGAACGTTAGGATGATGTGGTTCCTAGGCCAGCCCTGTCCAGCTGAACTCACTGTGACGATGGAGCTGTCCTGTAGCTCTGCCTCAGCAACCAATGTGCTGTTCAGGGTGGTGGTTACCAGCCACCTGTGGCTAGTGACCATTTGAAGTATGACTAGTGTCACCGAGGACTAAAGTTTTAATTGTGTTTAATTTTAATTGGTTAAAATTAAAATGTAAGTACCACATGTGGCCAGTGGCTACTACATTGAGCCGTGCAGTTCTGTACAATGAGTTTAGTTCTTCCTGAATTTTATTAAGTAGTATTTTAGGAAACGAAGAATGCCACAGATTCATATCATGCCTGACTTCAAAGACTGATAGCATTTTAAGAGATGAAGTGGATAAAGTTTCTTCATTACTCATATAAAGAACATAAATTTTGATCCTAAGACTAGAACAATCTTCTACTTCCTTGTCATATTGTTAGGTTTTACATATTTGAAAGTGTTATATAAAAATCAATACCATCCAAATAGGAATGTTTGGTAAAATGGTGTATCTAAAGTTCATATTCGTTAAACCTCTTCCTTAGGTGAACAGAAGCTATGGTTTAAGAAGACTAAGTCGAAACCCCAAATTTGACTTCTGGAACATTGAATAGAGGAAGAAGAGGGTGCTTATCTGTAAAAAGTGTTGTATCCCTAACATGAGGGAAATAACATTGAAATGTTATACAATGTTGCCTAAAATTGCGCATTCTACTGAGTACTGCCTCTAGAAATTGACAGAATATAGAGAACCCCTCAATGTCCTTTCCTGGAAAAGCTGAAGCTTTAGCCAATTCCTGTACATATGGCATCGTGTCGGGATATCCACTTTTCTGATCTAGGGTTGATTTTAACTCTGGAACCTCACTGCAAGCAACAGAGCTGAAGTATATCTTGAAGCACAGCCCAGTGTCCTGGAGGAAAGACATCTCTAGCTAAACTTGCAACTTGCAAAGAAAGCAGTGAAAAGGGAAGGGAATCCCGACCCTACCCTGCCAGACTGCCCAAGCCCTTCTTGTTATCATGAGGGTCGGATTCTGCAGCTATATCGCCACTGATGGGTTGGCCTTTGGAACCTCAGGCCACCACCGGTTGCTAGGGGAAGTTCGTGTGTGCAGTGGAATGGGGGAGTGGCCATTTCGCAACGGACTAGAATGTGGCCACATCTGAGTTTACAGACACAGGCTGAAGTCTTCGTTTCATTCTAGTGAAATCATCTTGTAGAGCCTGAATCGTTTTTTTTCCAAGAGCTGTGTGTCAATGGCACCTCCAGATGGCAGAGTCACCAGCAAGCAGCCCTGGATCAGTGATGGTTTTCTCACAACGGTATTATCTACTTGCTCATCGGTGGGTCCCTGATAGGAATAAACCGTCCAAAGTCTACCACTGTCAGAGCAGGACACCGTCATGCCTCGAGTGAAACGAGCATGCGTGGGGCCAGAGGTACCGAAACAAGACTGTATTTGATGTCCCTGACATCACAATAGGAAAGAAAAGGGTGCAGCTCCACTTTAGGTTTTAGGGGTTGATATGCAGGAGAGATGGCTGTTGCACATTAGGGTATCAGGCTGATGACGATGTGCTTGGGGGAAGGCTGAGGGCGAGTCCGCTTTCAGCCCATGGGGGACTTCCTGCTTCCTACCACCCCCACGCAGTATTACTGTCCTCTGGTGCTGCTGTCGGCTTCACACCTTATAAGTGATGCCTGTGGGGTTTCTTGGTCCTTGATCATCTGTTAGGCACTGTACACAGACTGTATAATTGTCACATCTGAAGCCTACATGCCCTGGCTTGTCATTTAGTTCCCCACCCACCTTCACCTCTACATGGGACAACACACACACTCCTCACTATTGTCACAGGAAACATTTTAAAATGCTCACTGTCACACTGTCACCATTCCACTTTGGAAGAACCCTCTATTCTCCCTGTCCCTGCCGCAATGCCCTCCCCAGGCCTCAGCGGGCGCCCACCTCCGATGGGGAGGTGGTAGCATTGGAGCCGCTGTGTCCCCCCCCAACCCCTCGCTGACCTGCCTGCTCTATGGAAGTAGGAAGTTCTGGGCTTTGTATGGCTCTTTCTTGGACTATTTTAAGACCCTCACCCCGATCATCATGGTTTTCTAACTAAGAGTGTTTCGGGCACCTCCTCTGTGTTGGGGATCAGGAAAGAGGTCAGAATGGAGAGGAGGTGCTTGGCTGAACCCTAGCGCTCCAGGACCCCTGCCACCCCTGCCTCTTGCTCCTGGATGGACGCCTGCAGGTGCCACTTGCAAGAGAGCAGCCAAGTTTCCCCCCACACTGGCTAAAGTGCATATCACACCCCTTTCTGGGGCCACTTACAGACTTGCACATGTGTTTTGGCACATCTCTAAAGGTGAACTTTGGAAACTTGCCTTTCGGCGTGGACTCAAGCCCTTTTTCTACGGGAGCCTCTCCTGATGCCTCCCGCCCCAGAGACCAACTATCCCCGCCCTGTGCTCCCACCGTCCCCTTGGATGCTGTGTCACAGCACTTGTAAGATGCTGGTGATTTGCTACTTTGCCCCTATCTCCTCCACTGGAGAACAGGGTCCCTGGGGTGTGCGGTACATGGGTGACACAGGAAGAGGATTCTCAAACCCAATGTTAACTACACTCATCACATTTGGGAAAGAGATGGCCTCAGCCCAGGGAAATCTCCCCCAAGGACACAGCACCCCTGCTCTGGGGGGAGGTGCCTCCTTATGGTGCTGCCCTGGGGAAGTCTGGCAGGGGCTGGTCGGAAGCCTCTCTGTTTCCCACAGCACCCTGCTCGGGATAAGTCACCGAGACAGGAAGGTTTGGATGGGAGTTCCATGAGGGTGCTGGCCCATCATCTCGGTCCCCAGAGCCTCCCCCGGGCCCCCCGGGGATGGCGTGTGTGGCATAGCCTCTGGCCTGTAAGATTCTGGGGCCACTTGACCACAGAAAATAGCAAGAAAGATTTCTCAGGAGGCAGAAGACCTAATCCAGTCAAAGGTGGATGTGCTTCACAGGCTGGGAGTGTTTCAAGAGCTGTGAACACCCATGCTGACTGGGACCTAGCTGGGACCCCAGATCATTCAGGATGTGTTGACTAAAATCTGATCATGGCCCCAAACTGGCCTCTCCAACTGAGGCCTTGACTGGCTCCTGGCATGAAAGTTCCACTTGGGCCCAGTCCGGGCAGCATGTCCTCCGACGACAGGCATTCCACTCAATCAGGACAGGTGACTACAAGCCCTGAATCATCTCACCTACCACCTCTGCAAAGAAACCATCCCAATAACAGCTACCAAAATGCTCTGCATAACCCCGTAATGCACGTGGCTTAACAATCACCATAAAGAAATGTATTGGGGAGCTTTGGGGGCGCTAGAGGGCACCCAGTAAAAGTTCATCTGGAAAAGCCTTTACAAAGACCCACTTACCTGAAAAAACGCATGAGGCCTCCTCTGACAGCTCTACCTAAGGCAGGACGTCTGTGTGCGTGAGATTTCCCCCCCCCATTTCCTCCGGCTCATGGGGAAATCACAGAATGTGAGGGGTACACAGTCATCAGGGTGGCCGGTGCTCAATGGAGGGCTGTGCCCCGGGAACGGGCCAGCCAACAAGGAGGGCCCCCTCGCCCACGTGCAGTATGGGGTGGCCTCCGAGCCCCCGAACCCTGGCCTGCACCCAGAGGACCTACCGGAGTGCGTCCTCAGGTGGCCCGTGAGGGCGTCCCTCCGGCGGCAGGCATAGTTGCACAGGTGGCACTTGAAGGGCTTCTCCCCCGAGTGTAACTTGATGTGCCGGAGCAGGTTGCCCTTCTGCGTGAAGGAGGCCCCACACTGGCTGCACTGGAAAGGCCGCTCCCCTGGGAGGAAGACAAGAGCTGGTGAGAGGGACCTCCGCGGGGGGAAGGATGCGCCGGCCAGCCGGCGAGGAAGTTGCTCCCCCCCGGGGCCTGTGACTTCCACCGACGGCAGGTCTGATAGAACACGCGGCTTTCAGACTGAACCTGCCAGCTCCGTGACGCTTCACTGGTTGGGTCAATTTGATCTGAAAATCTAATTTTTTTCCCCTAAATCAGAATGGCACATCACAATGCAAATTCAAACTCATTTAAATAAAGTGACTGCAACATTTTGTGATGAAGAGCCACTCTTCCTGATGAGCAGTTTTGGAATAAACCAATATCCAATTTTGCGTGTTGTGGCATTTGGTGGGGTTTTTAATGTGGCTTTTTTCAAAGGGTCTTTAAAATATGCCACTGAAGCAGCAAAATAAAAAGGAAACTCATTAAAAATGCATTTCAGGATCACAAGTTCATTTCAGCGTTACATTCTTATATTTAAATGAAAGGCACTTCATTATAACAGTTATAATAACTTCTTTTCATTTACATTTTCCCTGCATTTTCCCTTTCAATTTCTTCTCCATTACCTGTCTGTCCCTACGCAGGCAAATCAGGAAAGAAACAGAAGAGAGAGTGTGAGGGGGAGAGAGCGACTAAAATGAGAAGTGAGGAAACTGAAGGAAACTCCTTGTCGTGCACAGTGAAGTCTCGGGCCCCCGGGTAGCAGCAAATCGGGGCTGCACTGAGTCTCTGGCTCTCTGCTGTCCTCACAAATCCTAAAACCTTGATGCTACACCGGTCTAGATCCATAGAAGGCACGCAATGTTTTCAGTACAAATATTCTAAGAGCTGCAGCTTAGGTGTTCCTAGGAACCCTCTCCTGGTGGTGCTGCGGGGTGTGTGTGTGTGTGAAGGGCGTGGCCAGCCTCGGCAGGGCGTGGCCACGCGCATCCCGCTCAGGGCCCAACACAGGGATGAACAGGTGTCTGTGAACAAGAAATAAGCTATGGAGGAGTCACAGGTCTGGGGATCTAAATCTGTGAACTGTCACCTAAAAGTGATTGATGCATTTGTCATGTTTAAGTAAGCATTACAGCTCTCTTGAAAACAAATACTTTTTTTTTAAGAGCTCTGTGTGACCATAGTATCTGCACTTCCTGAAAACGTACTTCCTAGGAACAGTTTTTTTCTTTAGAAAAAGGAATGTGTTTACTGCGTATATTTACCAGTCTTCCGATTGACTAACGACTTTGACACACGAGACAGCACTTACCCAAAAGTGATTAACTAGCAGCGTAGCTGGTCCCATTAAAATCTACACAAATCAAAAATGTAAGTTGAAAAGGCTCTCTGGGCACCTAAATTTCATGACTACCACCAATTCTATTTTTAGGGAGGCAGGAGAGAGGTGCTACTATAAAAATGGAAACTAATGTACAATGAGACTCCGTTACGGGTCAGTTGGAAGGACCCCAATACTAACCAGCATGCATTTGGCATTTTCCCAAATCTTTATCTGATGGGACTTGGCTGACCAGAGAAACAGTTTGAAGTCATGCAGGTGAGAAGGTGATGGTAACGCTAACTAACTATAACTAAACCTCTGAGTTACAAGCCCATGCGGTGATTAAAAAGGCTGGTAGCCAGGCAGCCCCAGGAATGTCCAACAGAGAGACATCATTAAATTATGTTAGACATACTTCTGGGCCTTTCCCACACACGCGTGTGAACATGCGTATTTAGCTCCAAGCAGACGAAAGGGCAAAGTGAAGTGGGTGGTCCCTGTGTGCCTCCCACCGCAGCTCTCATTCTGCCAGGCTGGCCCCTCAGGCCGGGTGTTTGCGTAGGACGGTCAGTCGGGAGGTCTGATGCCTTGAAAACGCTATGAGAAGGAGGCAGGACACCCCTGCTGAGCCAGGTGTGCATGGGCGACCCAAAGCTCCTAAGCCATCCCATGCTGTGTGCGGTCCCCCTTCCCTGATGACGGGGAGCTGGATCTCCCTGCTTCTCCTGAGGTCTGACGGAGGGCTGGGCGGCGGTGGGGGGAGTGTGGGGGGGAAGTCCAGGGAGGGCCCCACACTTGAGCCAGCGTGTCTGCAGGAGCAGTGAGCCAGCTGAGACAGAGACAACGTGCCCTAAAGGTTTGTCTCCCTTCCTCAGGACAGGAAGGAAAGAGGCAGCTGCCTTTTCGAGTAAATCTGTCTTCTAATTTGAGCCTCTGCTTCTTGTGTAGCCTCCTGCCTGGCGTCTTAATCCTGCTGACAAGCTTTCCTGGAAATCTGTGTTTCTGATGGTCTGGGCGGGCGCGAATACGTAGCACAGGGCATGGGGACTCGTGAAGGGAAGAGTGCGCTCCCTGAAGCGACAGCACAGAGCTCGGACTCAAGGCAGCTTCCCTCTGCAGGTGTTCACGGGGGAGGGGCCAGAAAACGTGCCCCGTTAGTCGCGGTCAGGGTCTGTGCTCGCCTCCCGCAGGGCGCTAGCTGGTTTACTGGTGCAAAACGAAATCAAGTTTCTCCAAGGTTATGTTTCCTCGTATTTAACTGGGACGAGGACTTTCATGGCATTCATTTCAAATTTAGTTTTCGATCCCAGTGGCTCTATACTCTGTCATTCCAGGGACTCTGTTACAACGTCTGAGCCCCTTTTAATAACTTCATTGGGTGAAGAAGAAAGTCTTCACGGATGCCTACATCAGAAAGTTTCTGCAGGCGTATCAGAAGAGGGCGGGTTTAAAGCATGGAGCCTGAACTGTGGGCGGGGACTATTCGATGCTGTGCTTAGGAAGCATGGTGACTGCGCCTGGTCCCCGCAAATGCGAACAGAGGGGGTGCAGGACTGTAAGAGAACCATCATCCAGGCCCTTTTCTTGGTCTTTATTGTTAAAAGTCCCATCGTTTGGAATACCGATGCTGCAATATTTGCATGGCGCTCTTCACTGCCTGGCCTTCCATGCGCTCTACCCTCTGATTTCACGTGAACCCAGAGATGCTGCTGGGGTAGGCATTACTCTTATACTGGCATTTAAAAAAAAAGTAAAACTGAATACACCTAGGGCAGTCAGGTGGTGGCATCAATAAACCGTTTAGAGGGCGGCCCCAGTGGCTCCTCACCAAGGGAGTGACATGGCACAGGCAAGGGTTCTGTGATGGGACAGGGACAGGGAAGCTGCAGTTTATCAGGGAAGGACCCCGGGGGCGGGCTCACTGGGTGATGGGCAGGTGCATGTCTTGGCTGCCTGGGGGCAGTTAGTCGTACCCGGGCTCCCAAATGACGAGCCCCGCGGAACGGCACTGTTCACAGACCACTCCACGGCACTCCCTGCCATCTCCATGGGCTCTGGTTCCATGCTCAGCATCCCCAAGGTCCTCTGGAGTCTGAGGCAGAGTCTGCATTTCCCCAGGAACCCCAGGGATTCATATGGTCTCTAAGTTTGAGAGGCACTGCTCTAAAAATATTGTAAACTTGAAGAATTCAGGGCAGGGGTGGCAAGTTAGTAAAGCACGCCTTGTCTCACGCCGTCCACTCACATCCCTGGAGAACGGAACCCCCCCCACCCCCACCCCCCGCCTGTCTAGTTATTCCGACCTTGCTTGGCCCATGCAATTCTGTATCTACCTGCGAGCCTCCTCAGTTACGCAATTGGAAACGTCTTATGGAGGCCGCCCATGCGTGTGCTGTTTCGGCTTTTTTTTTTTTAATTTAAGTCAGGGCAGGAACCATAAAACTGATGGCAGGTCTGTCCCTGTTTCTGGAATTTCTTGTTCTGTAGGCAACGGCCTCTGCGTGCTGGTGCGGATTTGGCACTTAGCTGATCTTTGTGGAGAGAAGTGGGCAGCAAACAGTTGGTGCTTCTGTGCGTGTCCTCAGCTGGCAGGTTTATTCATTAGACACAATTATTCTTTTTCTCAGGGAAAGCACTCATTCTGTTTTGGCAATTCAGTATGCCAGAATTTGATTCATTTATCAAATATTTATTTAAGAGAATTTTCACTGTATAGCCGGGCTTTCCATGAATTAGGGAAAGTAATTCATTTGCGAGGGCTATTTGTCCATCGGGAATCTAGTCACACAGTCCCAGTGTATTCTGCTCAGTGTCTATCACCAGGTAACCGACCTTCACTGTAATTTCCACCTCAGTACAAATGGCGAGAGCCCGACTACTCTCATGCATGTGCTACTTACGGCGGGATGTGACGGGCCTATTTCACTGGACAATTGGAGGATTCAGGATACACTAGGAAAAGCAAATTTTGCTTAATTTTAGAAGTTAAATTTCAATTGAAAATGAATGCTTATTGAAAATAAACATATGTTATGGTTTCCCAGATGTACTACACATGGAAGACACTGTGTTTAGAAGCTGCCTTGATTCAAATTTAAAAATTTGAAAAGGTTACCTTGTGTTAGACACGTAGCAGAATACACTGGGGCCGTTGACTGCACTCCCGATGGAGAAAAAGCTCTCGCAAATGAATTAGGTTCCTGCTAATTCATGGAAAGCCCAACAATACCGTCAACATTCTCTTATTTCAAATTTAAAAATTTGAATCTGCACAAGTGGTACATTTCCTGACAACCAGCTCTGGTGCTCAATGGATTTTCTGAATTCCTGCTTAATTTTTGGTGATCCTGAATTTGTGTGACCCCATGAGAGATGCACAGCAGGCTTCTTTATTCCGAGATGTGAAACCGGCTGTGCCTGTAGGGTTTGCTTTTGATCTGTGTGGTCTGTTCCTCTCCCTGTGCTGGCAGGTACTGGCTTTATGATGACCTGCCGATGCCACCCCCCAGGCAGCAATGACTCAGGGTTTCTGTGTGTTCTGCTCAAACATTCAGTGGCCACTAGAATGGGTGAATTTATTGTGGTTTGCCCACCTTTAAGGCAGAGAGAGAATAAGCTTTCTGTTCAATGCAAAAGACACCTCACGTATACAGCTAGTTAAAGGTAAAATACATCCCGTTCATACTGTATTTTGAAGACCCTCTAAGGTCACTAGCGGTGACTGGACAGTTTGGTGGAAAAGCATGTGACTGGTCAACCGCCAGGACTGGGTGCTGGGCACTCCACAAAGGGGGCAGACCTGAGACTCTACCTTCCCCACCTCCACCGTGACAACATCTCGGGAGTGCGGACACAGCCATCGGACACAAGACTGTCCTCGCTCCTTCGTTTTTGGACACAGAATACTATATTCTCATATACCCCCAAAAGCCTCCAATAGACAGGGGTTTGGGTATTAGATTCTTTACTGATTTCGAGTTGGAAACTAGCGGCAATGAAACGATCGTGTTCCAAGTGTCACCTGTTGGACAGGCGGTCGGAAAACCGACCTGAACTCATTCTGAAAGGCTACCCTCTGCGGCTACTCTGTCCTTTACTAACAACTAAGAACCAAACCCTGTTAGCGCGAATACAAAAACATGCAATTTTATTCAGGGTTCCTCAGTGGCAAATCTGAGGCCTACGTTTCAGTGCATCAATCTTTTTTTTGGGGGGGGGATTTGTCTTGTTTTCTTAAGGGGGAACCCCTTGGCAGGCGCCACCTAGCAGCGCAGCAGCCAATCTTCAGTGGGTGTCACCGCCGGCTGTCGCACACACTGACTTTCCCTTTCTGCTTATGGCTGCATTGCCTGCGGTCGGGATTGGTGCATATTTAGCAGTCCCGCCCACGAATTTGCAATGAGAACGCTGCGGCCCACTAGGGGCTTGGAGCCCAGTCGTCCTGCAAAGCCCTGAGCACGTCAGTCAGCCGAGACAGGAGGCGGGAGGGCCTCGTGCAACCCCCCAGGCCTTACCAGTGTGGCTTCTTTTGTGGACCATGAGCACATTGGGGCCGATGCAAATTATCCCACAGACATCACACTTTAGTTTGCCGTTAGGAAGTCGAATGCCTCCAGCTCCCGACAAAGCTCTGCCGCCTTGGCCACTGTGGGAGCCATTCATTTTCTCGCCCGAGGCATCAAGCACTCGTAAATCCTCGGCACATGCTTCCCCATTCATTTCACAGGCACGCCCATTCTCTTCATCACTCTGAGTCTCTACTTTAACAATACTGGCTGAAAGACACAATACAGGGCGCCACTCAGTGTCATCGCAAAAACAAAACAAAGCAACACAGCAGCAAAAAGACGACGCGACGGGAGCAGAAAGCTCCTAAACAGAGGTTCTTAGCAGCTTCCGCCACGGGGACGGGGCCCTGAGTGGTGGACCGGTCAGCCCACGGGGGCCTTGAGGGCCTGTGACCAGAAACTGAGGCTTTGGGGACAACTGGCCTGCCCTCGCCGCAGGCACGAGTGGCAGTGTCTGAGAAGGCGTGAGGAAGCTATTCCTAAATCCTCGCTGCGGGGTGGGGTCCTCGCCCTAAGCAGGTCAGAGTCACCGGATCCACAGTGACAGCCTTGTGTCACCTCTGGAGTAACCAGAGGCCTGAGACCAGATGATGCGTCTGCCCGAGGAGCCCCTCACAGCAGCAGCTGAGTGCTGTCGCGTCATCCAACTCCCCAGGGGCCGTGACCTTGTCTGGCGAGATCCCTGCTTAGTGGTTATCAAGCCTGAGGAACCCTGCTACTTACAAGGCTGCCTTTCCTTGTTTCGTGCACTTGGGAACTCTGGGACCCAACAAAGCGAACGCACCCTCAGCCTCTGACCACGGACTCCTGAAGGATTTCTGTTTGCTTCTTTAGTACATAACCATTCTCACTCCCTTTGTTTTCATAATGTTAATGAAAACTGCATCCTAAAATAGAGACATGATTTCGTAGATTTCTTGCAATTGCTGAAGGGTGGTTGGGGTCATTGTGAGTGTAAAGGGGCCAAGACCTGCTTTTCAGAGAGAGCCCGCATGTGGGGGTGAAGGGCTAGTGTCGGGGGCACAATAACCACTGTGTACCCTGCCTTACCCTTCCCTTTAAGTCACATGAGGGCAATGATTTCTGTCAGTCACAGATTTTTCTTGGTAAAGGAAATGAGAGGCATTTTATGTGCTTTCTTCTGAAATGCAGACTGGCGGGGCCTGGAGGAGCCCAACCCTGTCGTGACAGGGAGGCTGCAGTTACACTGGAAAGCATCCTTTCCATCAGTCTCCACAGATCGGCGAGAGCGGGCAGGGAAACTCTGCCCAGGAAAGTGCCCGTGAGACAGAGCATAATGACGGCTGCCAGCTGTGCTCAAGGCTTTGAGTGGGTGGTCCTCCACGTGGAGTCCCTGGAGCACCAGCAGCAGCAGCAGCAGCACCTGAGAACTTGTTAGAAGGGCAGATTCTCACTGAACTCGCAGCCCTGGGGGGGGGGCCTGCAGGGGCCTCTGATGTGCACTCATGTCTGAGAACAGCCGTTTAACACAGTCAACTTAATAGTAACACTCCGAATTTATTTTATTCACATGTCCCTCTAGATTTGGGAGTGTGGAGCCCGGACTCTGATATCAGGCTTCCTGGTGTGGCATCCCAGCTCCACTTTTGATAAGCTGAGACCCTAGGCAAGCCATGTGACGTCTCTGTGCCTGGGTGTCCTCATCTGTAAACATGGGCACTGTCGCCACACTGGCCTCATAAGCGGTATGAGGTTTTGGTGGGTGAACAGAAGAGAAGTTAGCTTAGCACAGTGAGTGGACGTGGTGAGTGGCGGCACATCCCCCACAGACCCATCGCTGTGAAGGTGGGGGGACCACCTCACCCCAACGATGCTGCCGGCACTTACCCCGTGCAGGCACACGGCACTTTAACTCTCAACAAGCCTATGAGAGAGGCACTGCTCTCGTCCTACTTTACAACTGAAGACGCTCAGGCACAGAGAGGGTGAACAACTTGCAGAGCGTCACACAGCTACCAAGTGGCAGAGCTGGGAGGTACTGCAGGCAGCCTCACCGCTAGTCAGCCAAGGTTTTCCCATTAAGGCTTTGGAGCGAGGACTTACAGAGAGACAAGAGCATGGACTGGATTAGCTGGAGCACGACCCCCACTGTGGACTGTGCGATCCCGTCAGGCCCTGGCATCACACGAGTGTTCTAAGGGTCCAGTCGCAGGAGTCTCAGAAGCGGCTGCCTACAAGGTTCTGGACTCTGGAGGCTTAGCAGCGCCCCGCGTCCCAGAGGCCTCCTGGCCTCTCCCGGCACCAGGCCAGGGACGGAGTCCTCCTGGCAGGGCGAGCGGGACACAGACCAGCAGGGAGGTGGGGCGTGGCCGGCAGGTGCTCTGTGGGCCCTGTCTCTCGGGGGCGTGTGTTTCTCTCTTCAAGTGGAAGTGGACTCGTTCACCAGGCCCACTGCCCACCGTGTCTGCACCGGAAACATGACCATCCAGCTTCAGAGGCCTCTGAACTCCTTCACTGGGACTGTTTCTAGCCATCACCTTGTGGTTTTTCAATGAGATCGGGGGCCCCAGAGCACAGTGGGGCAAATGGCGGCAGATGCGACAAGTTCTCCAACACTGCAGCTGACAGCCAGGCCAAGGGCACCTCGGGCTGCAAGGAGACCACACGAGGGACAGCGCTGGGGTCACCCCTTCACTGGCCCTCCACTCTGCTCCCATTTCATGAATTCAGGGGCCAGAAGTTAAAAGAATCGACTCTCACTTTCCCAAAGACATACAACAGTAGATGGTGTGTGGCACTTGCCCAAAACGCCCACTTGTTCTGCGTCATTAGGAAAGATGGGCGTTTCTGCGACCCTATGGCGTGTGCTGCTGGCTGGTGACGGTGTGAGGAGCGGTAGGCCAGCGAAGCTTGAGGGTGACGTTTGGGTTTCGTCACCCGAACAGGCTGCTGCAGAGGAGGTGACGCTGTGTAGGAGGGGAAGGGTGAGGACAGCGTGATGGGAAAGCAAGGGTGATGTCACCTGAAATGCCACAGAAGACGTGACACCAGGCCCCACCTTGACTAGTGGTTCATGAAGGAGGGACGTTATCGTGAACATGCCATGGGGCATTTTCTCCGAGGAGCGTCATGGAACCAAAAAGCAGGAAGCTTCATAGGCACGAGAGCATCTGACAGACCATCCTGAGGCCACGGAGGCCCCCCAGGTACAATGTTAGGTACAGATGTTCAGCACCAGAAGAGCCCAAGCTCGAAGAAGGAAATTCAGGATCCTGTGCTATTCTAGGTTTCTGAAAAAATGCAGACAAAACCCCCAAACCACTGCGGCTAAATCAAGGAACCATAGATAATGGGAACTGCACAGAGGCTCCATGTAAGCAAATGCCATACACATTTCGAAACAGGCGTCAGACAGCAGAGGCCCAGAACTTTAGAGCTGGAAGCTTGCTAGCAGTCTGGGGACAAACTCTGGGCCTTCTTATGACAGGAAAGGTCTGTGGGGACTGAGAGAGAGGGAAGGATGACTGCTGGCGCCTAGGGAACCTGGTGAGAATGAAGTGGGACCGTTGTGAGCGTGTCAGGCACAAGCACGAGTGGATTTCCCCTTAATTCACTAGAGGGAAGGTTCCCATCTCTGTGTGGACGGATGCAAATGGGGTGCTGGCTTCATGGAAGAGAGGGAGAGATCGCGGGCCCCCAAGGGGGTGCCTGTGAAAACGGGTCTTTGATGGGCTGGGGGGAGAATACAGACAACGTGCTTACTATTTTTGTAGATGACAGAAATCAGGGCATGAAACTACCTTACTAAATGGCAAACATAGATTGGATCTCAAAAGTTGAAATCTAATAGATGTAAATGTAAGGTCCACTTAAGTTAAAAGACACATTTAGAAAACATACGCTTGCGATGGAAGCTGGGGTCGGGGCTTGGCTTCGGCTGTGTGCTTGTGAAAAAGGTTTTGGGGGTTTTAGCCGACGGCAAGCTCGCTTAGCAACGAGGCTGGAGAAAGAGCCTGCAAGATGCAGTCTTCAGGATTTATTAATTTAAATCCGGGTCCCTCGCCCTGCTCAGGCTGTCCGCCTCCCTCAAAGGTGCCAGCAGAGCCTGGAGCGGTCAGATGGAAGGAAGTCAGTGGGAATGGAAACCAATTCCTGTGGGGGCATCAGTGGGAAACTGTTGGTTTCCCTAACTGCGTTTTCTGTGCTTGGGTCCAGCCCACGGTGTTCTCTGTATGGAAAGCTGACCAGGGCTCGTGCTGACCGCTTGCGTGCACTCTGCTCTGAATTTGTAAACCACTCCATCTGCGCCGTTTCCCCAGACCTAGAGTGGCTTTGCTGAGATACTTTCTGTGAAACGCAACCCTCTCCCTGAATATGGGGACTATACTTATACATATTTTGTAACTCCATCCCCCCACCACTTAGAAACATGTCCCCTCAGGAAGGCACTGACCTGAACTGATTAAATATAGGCCATGAGATGGAGCCTGCGAAGGTCTTTACCCTGGGACCCCGGCCGAGGCCTCCCTTGCAGTTTTATCCCATCGACGGGCCCCAATTTTACTAGTTAATAAGTGCGGCCTATATTAAGAGTGGATGTCTTCAACCCTGAGTCAAAAGCTACTTTCCTTCCCAAGGGCTATGAAAAATTTGGAAAAATTAAACTCTCTTTGTTCCATATTTTAGAAGCCTTCTACGTTATTAGGAACACAGCAGTCCTAAGAGCGACTCCAGGCCCCTGAGCGCAGGTGGACGTGAGCACATCGACACGTCAGCCCCGGAGAACCCAGGGGACTCGGGTCGGCGGGCCGAGGCCTGGTCTGTGCCCAGGGAAGGTTCGTCTCAGGCCCGGGCACCGCACGCACGGCAGCCCCCGCCTTACCACTGCGTTACGCTTCCTCTGTTGTTTTCTTTTCCCTTTGAGGACGTGTCTTTATATTGACCAGTCGGGTAAACGTTTTGTGCTCAGACTGCATTTTTCCATTGACGAGATATTCTGAGATCTTCACTATAGTATCAGTTTAGGCCGTGTGCGGAAGCTTGGCGTGCTCAGTATTTTAAATTTTAAAAAAATGGGAGAAATATTCCTGCAGCGCAGGCGACTAGCCAATACAAATAAAATGGAATAAAAATATTTATACTGTCTCGGGAAAGAGTGTCATTTTGAGATGAAGAGGAGGTTATGTAGGTGTTTCTGAGGTGCTCCTAAGAGGTGTTTATGAAACCTTTTAAGCATTTTAAAGGTT